TGGCAGTTAAACAGTTTTTTGTGAAAATTTAATTTTTCACATATTGGCATTTTCAAGGTGTGACTTTAAAGTTCCATGATCTTGAAGACTTTTGCTTGTCACATTTTCTGAATGTCCATGTTACTAATATTTTATTAATAACATTTGATTGTCATTATGCTGTTAAACATTATGTAATGTTGCATCAAAATTTGAAGAAACCCCTATTTTGGGCACTGCTCCTATGATGACCATTTAAGGGAAATCATGTCACTTACTGTTCTCAAACTTACAGGAAAGAAACATGGGTCTAACATACAGCTTCAATAGGCAACGCAGTCTGTTTGGTAAATTTTTCTGGCAATTTAACAGTTTTTTGTGAAAATTTAATTTTTCACTTATTTGCATCTTTATTTTCTGTTCTTTGTCTGTACATTTGACAGCTTTGCTGCCTTGTTTTGAAATATAGATTTCATACGAAGAGTTGTTATCCCTTTAATCATTATTTTTCTCTTCTGTAAATCTTTTCATCTCTTCATGTTCCACGAAAAGGTATGCCCTCTTAGTTTCTGTTCAACTAAATTTGTAGGAAAAGAAGAACTTAAAGCCAAACTTTTTATGAAGGGAAAATGTGGTAAAAGACTGAGATGTAAGTGTTTATTGCAACTGTAATAGATTAGATCATTGGTATATTTACAGATATTTGGTTTTCTGGATCTTAATCATGACATGGTTCTCCAGTGGGATGAGCTGCTGACTTTTAATATTGATGACTTCATTAAAGAATTTCCCTTTGTTTTTGGAGAAGATGATGGAGATATGGAAGAAGAACCAAAAGATTTTGGAAAACATGAGGAATTGTAGATTTTATATCTGATGAGATTATCATGTTAGACAAGTTAACATTTTTTTTTTATGTACATTGGTAAAATGTTCATTAAGTCTCTATTTTTGTATGATTTAATTTGTGGATATCATGAAAACCCAGTGTTCATATTATTAGGTTCATACTGACTTTAGACTTAAAAGAATATTTAACCAGTATATTTTCCTTCAATTTGGAACATTGTTAATTGTATAAAATATTTTTGGTCCTTTCTTTCATATTATTCAATTCTTTTGTATCAGTGATATTTTACTGCAGCTGAAGTTATTTAACGTGTTAATAATTACAGATAATTAAGCAAACTTTCTTTGAGATAGAGAACCTGTTCTTATAGTTTATGTTAAAGTTTTTATTGAATATTAATGGTAAATTTGAACCATATGAATGTTTAGCTTGATACATTATTCAGATAGAGGATTAAGTGGACAAGAAATGTAGAGTTTAATTAATCTGAGAGAATCTTTTTCACAATATATCATTTTTTCATCTAAAAACACCACAAGTGTTAATGTTTTATAATATATATTGAAATATTTGTGCAATATTGTTATTACAGTAAAAAAAGCCTGATTTGCTACAATGTTTTAACATATTAACAAAGATTTTATTTTGATAGAGAATGTGATAAAGTTGTTATTACACCTGCAGGTGTAAAGTTATGTAAGCAAGTGTTTGTATTTATTATTAGTTGTTGGTGAACAACGAGACCATTTTTGAACATTCAAGACTGGTTGGGTAGGCATTTTTTTATTAAGAATGATTGTGGTAAATAAAAAGAATTATTTAACAAAAGAAAAATGAAAAAAAGGAAGTTATCAAACTGCTTTTGACAGAATATATTAATTGGGAAATGGGTTTTTATTTGTGAGGATAAAATGGTGCATAACTGCAATTTATGTTGTTATTCAGAAAATAAAATCCATAAGAAAATACACTTTAACTGTCTAAGTTAATCAATTTCTGAAACCAATTTCAAAGTGCAAATAGCTTAAATAATTGTGGCCAGGTAGCAGTTTAACTTAACAGGAACATTTACCCCTCATTAGCATTTTCTTTAAATTACCAATTTCTATAAAACTATATATGGATAAAGGTCTTAGAAAGTGATGAGGGCTGTGGAGTGGGCAAAGGAGACCAAAGAAATTAACCTACCGGTGCCTCCCCGTTTTTCTAGTATTAGTACAGGTTAGTGTTAGCCGTAGTATTGGGTTAGTACATGCATATGGGCGAATGTGACCTGTCACCGACCTGTACAAAGTAATGAGGAACGGACTACAGTACAGTTCCTAGCGTGCTACCCCCCACCCCCCACCCCCATTGCCAATCTACGAAAATATTTGAAAGTAAAATTTCTAAAGTTATGGCCTTTTACGCAGAACAAAAAATTTACCAGACGCACAAACTAGCAGACCGAAATTTTCGCAAGTAGGCCTAACCTCATCTGGCGACACTGACCCGGCGAATTTCACGTGCAGCTTTGTTGACATTTTCTGCAGCAAATTGTATGCTGGTCAACGATTGGTTGATAATAATTTACAAGCATGGATAACAACAGCTCGAGATTCAAGCAACCACAGACATTTCACCGGATACCGGCTGGTTGCATGTAGGCTTTCTTCCTCGACTATTTAATTCAACATGTACGTGATAACACTGTCATAGGTATAAGGCAGTAAGCCCAGAGAATTTTATGCTTAAAGAGTTTTTGTTTTAATTATTATTACGGGTTCTCCAGCACACGGCAGACCACTGTCCACAAGCACTAGGTGCAGGTACTCAAGGTGTGATGACATTGGGTAATTTGTTGTGTTCTGTCACGTACAGCCGGATACGACATAGCAAGACAGAGATGGGAATGCAATAATGAACCAATAGAAAGAAATGTTTGTCTTTGTTTTTATAACTTGTTTCTTCTTGTCTGAAAACAATGCGGAAGAGATTCCAGGACATTTGCTGTATCTAGGTTCACATCAGCCAGCAGAGGGGACAATTGAGGTCACTGACACATGGCCTGATCCAGAAACATTTTATAAAACCTATGTTGAACCTGGGAAGCCACTGCTGTTTAAAGGAAAGGCCAAAGGAATACCAGCATATAACCTATGGACCGATGATTATCTCCGGTTGGTACAGTATATATTCAAATTTGTCTCTCTGTAACATTGCTTAAGACATAATTATTAATTCTTTTATGCAGAAACGAAAGTAACATGCAATGAATATGAAGAGATGAACTCCCCTTACTGAAATATTTTGGCAAATAGTTATTGGTGTCACAAAATTTCAATTGCTTCGCTTGATGAAAATGATGCTGAAAATATGAATTTAAATTAAAATCAAGACATCATTAAGTTACCCCCTGTTTGCAGTATGCTCACCTGGTGATTTTGAAGGAGGTTCTTGTCATGTACAGTAATTTCAGAAAAGCAGCATAAGTGTTTTTTAATCTAAACAATTGTAATCTTGCAATTTTAAACTGGGATGTGCAAATGAAATTGATTTGTCTGTTTGATTTCTTTATACATTAGTGTGCTTCATTATTCCTTCAAAACATTTTCTTGAAATTGTTCATTAAAATATTGTCTTCAGTGTGGCGGTTTGTGTTTAGTATGAACCTGATAAAAATATTTTAATTTTAGAAAACAGTATGGGCAACTAGAAGTAGAAGCAGAGGTGGGAAAGAAAGAAGACAGGAGAGGCAATTTAAGAACAATGCTTTTGTCATCATTCCTGGGAAATTACCAGAAGGCGGATATTTACATGGTCCAAAATATGCTTCCAGAAATGATGGGTAGGTCACCCTCTATGGCATTTGATTAAAACAGTTGATTATACTTCCAAAGAGAGTTTTGTCATAATCCAGTATGACAGTACAGTGTACTTATCTTTGACCTTTTTCTTACAGTAATGTGCAATATTAGAAACAATGTTGTGCCAACCAGTAAGTAAATTCTTTTCTTTTTTTTTTTTGGTATAAGCATGTCAAAAAAAGCTTTCTTGACTAAAATGATAAATCCAGATTTGCATCTAAAGCTAAATCACAAACAGAACAGAAATTACTGTGTTTCAGGTGATTTCCACATCCCCAAGCCTATCCTGTGTGGAGGGTACACTAGGTTTCTGCAGGATGCTGTGATCTGGTTCAGCAGTGGAGGAACAAAGTCGGTGCTGCATTTTGACAATATTGACAATATTAACTGTCTTTTGGATGGATCCAAAGAATTGATATTCATTGATAAGGTCAGTTAAATTATTGCCAAACTGATCCCAATACTTATCATTTAAAGGTTAAAGTAAGAGTCATTATCTTGACTTCACTGCAAGGTCATTTGTTAGTCTGGCTGTTGAAACAACTCTGGGTTGTATAAAGGTGTGGGTCTGTATAAAGTTCTGGGACCCATTTGCTATTCTATTTATTATAACAACCTGTATGGTTTTTAAATATATATATTTTTTAACTTTTGTTTTAGAAATATAGCCATTTAGTGGAAAAGGATGGTTTTAAAGAAGACGGTAGTTACAGCACAGTAGATGTTGAAAAAGTAGACATGGAAAAATTTCCAGGGTTCAGAAATGTGCCCTGGTGGACAGCTAGTATGGAGAAGGGAGACTGTCTTTTTATACCTTCTAGATGGTACCATCATGTTTCCTCTGCTGGCCCCCGTAATCTTGCCATCAACATCTGGTTCTCCCATCTTCCTAAGTTCAATCAGACGGACTGCAAAGAGAAGGGGGAGCTTCCAGAATCTCTTCCTCTCAACAAGTTCACAATTCATTCACTTGACTCCAATGAGCAGCCTAGGTAGTCATGCACCAGCTCCTCCTCTTTTGATATATTTAAATAGGGATGAATAATGCATTGATCAGTGTGCCTCATAGTACTATTTTTCATGCTTTTTATCTCTGTGATGATAAAAGCATGCCAGGATTTTTTTAAATGTAGATGGTTGATCTAATGCCACTAAGAGGTTTTCAGATGTTAAAATAAAGTAAAATTTTAACCATGGCAAAATGACACCTGATTATGTTGTTTATTAATAATGCTTTTGTTGCATTCTGCTGCATGTTAAAATTATTTTTGTGTATGGTCTTTTAGGTCTGAGTTCTTAGAAATTTTCCATCCATTTGAAGAACGAGATACAATCAGTGTGGAAGAATATATGGATGCTGTGCGGGCTGCATACGATGTCAATAATCAAGAACTGATGGACGTAGGAATTTATGTTACTTTATAAGCAATAAAACAACTGAAAATGATGACACTATATATATTGTCTTGTTTTTAGCTTACTTTAAAAAAACTACTATTAACAGTTTTGAAAGATTTAATATATTTGTGTTAAATTGGCATTCATAGTCATTTTGTACAAATAATAGTATAGTACAAATACCACTAACTGGTATCATCATTATGGAAATCACCCCACTTTTATAAAGAGTAAACATTGCTTTTAAATGAGTATTAAAATACATGAAGTTAAAGCTTAAGAAAAGAAAATTTTCATCAAAATGACAGACAAAAATAGCAGGCAGGTGCAAAATGTATGCAGCAAGTTGGACATCTTAATGTGACATTGCTATTTATCAATTTGCAGATGTTTGGGTTCCTGGATATAAATCATGACATGACTCTCGACTGGGAGGAGTTGTTCACATTTGACATTGATAAGTTTATCATGGAATTCCCATTCCTGTTTAACATGACTGAAGAAGAGGAGACACAAGGACCTTTGCATCATGAAGAATTATAAACATATTAGGTTGTGTGACTGAATGCCAACAGGAAAAGAAGGGCAAGCAATTAAGTTAACAGGTCATCTGGCTATCTACATGAAAGATGCAGAAGTTTGGATCTAATCCAGACTTGTATTTTCAAAATATAACATAAGTGCTGATATCAAGGTGCTATAGTAATTGAAAACATGCTCGAATGGCACTCCTTGTAAACAAACTTTAAAAGAGTCAAAATAACAATTTGTAGTGAATGAGATTTGTATAATGTAAGTCACTGACTGTTTATGGTCTTATTAAAGTTATTTGAGTTCACAGGCAGCAATCAGCATGTTATATAAGCTTTCTGTATTATCAGATTACCTGAACATCTTTGTGTAAATGACCTCGTGCATCACCTACTGTCTCATTTTAGGCTATCGTAGTTGTTTCCCATTCCAATAAAGCAGTTACTGCAGGTGTCATGAACAGAGCTTAAAGTGTTTTATTTTTTAAATCTATTTATTTATTTAAATAATCTGTCAAAAAAAAGAAAATGAAGAAAAGTGATTTGATAATTAAATACTTGGCACATAAAAATATATTTGCTTCAAATGAGGATGAAAAATAAAAACTCATCAACTTAAATCAAGTTTTCTTTGTATCTCACATAAAATCTCTGCATAGATGCCAGACAGAATTTTAACTTCAACAGTAGGAATGATCACTGATATTATCTGAACCTGCCACAGAAAATTTGGTTTTAATGTTTTTAAACTAATGTGCTCACGCTGCAGATACATCAACCTTTACTGGCACTACCTTTCTCTGCAGGCCCTTGATAAAGGAAAACATCTTGTTGCATGCTATAATCAGTTATGAGGAGGGAGGCTGCAGACGGAAGAATCACTTTTGTCACCTTTGGTGAGCAAAACTAAAGAACATTGCCAAAAAAAAAAGGGTCGCATCAAAAAGGTTAAATCCACCTACATTGTGAACACAACTTCAGTTTGAGAAAAATTAATCTCTCTGTCTTGACAAAAAGAGTTGGTGACTCGAAATGCACTGTGCCACCAAAATATTACTACTCTACCATCCTTCACTGAAATCACAGCAAATCTTGAAAGAACTTCGCCTTGAAAGTTCAAGTATAGTAGCTCAGCAATCTACATAATTTTCATAAAATATAGACAAAATTTGATATTTTTTCACTGAAGTGGACTGCAGCAATATTTATAACAAAAAAAAAATGAAACTGCTGTACAACTTAACTAACTCTAACACATAACTTGTACTTGTGCCAAAAAGAACTGATATAATCCTCAGAACTTGGCTCAGAATTAGTGGTCCCAGTAAACTGATTTATCCGAATTCTTTCCACAATACAGAATTTCACTTGTAATATTTGACAAGTTTCCAATGTCTAGAGACATCCAAGATCATCCTCCATTTAGTCACCATCCCCCTATATAGTCTTTTTCTGTTTACTAGACATGATATCTCTGCCATGTTTTCACCGTGGTGTATGTTTGTTACCCTGAAACAAAATCTCATAGTCAATTTCTCTCATATGATGTATCTTGCACTCATACTAAATTAACATCTACGACAGAGAGCACATATTAGGACTGAATTACTGTAACAATCAATCTTTTTTGCGCATTTTGTTGATAAAATCTGTGGAAAATAATTTAAACAAAAAGTTGCAGAGCATACTAAACAATTATATAAGTAAAACACTAAGTGGACAAAATGTCACATTACATAAAAAATTGCTTTAAAGCATGGTGTTCAAAGGCATGGTACCAATGGAGAATGTACATTTTTTAAAGCAATCTTGAAACTCACCTTAAGCTTGTCCAGCTCTGACTTATAAGCATGGACCTTGGAACGTTCTTTTTCTAAATCTGCCCTTAATTCTGTCACCTACAATGATAAAAAAACTGGTTGTGAAACTTAACATGTCTTTGATTATTTTACACTGAATGACAACTACAAAGGATTTGACTATAAATCTAAGAAAGCTATTACAGTAAAAAAAAAATCTACTTTCAAGAATGGTCAAGTTGATACAGTTTACCATATTTGCCAACTGAAAGATGATCAAGTATAGCATCATACCTCTTCTGTTAGTTCATCTTTGACTTGAGTTAGCTGGTCAAGTTGGACTAGAATCTCAGCCTTGCCTTTCACTACAATGCAAATTATTTTAAAATCAAGATCAATTAAAATTGCCAGACACAATTGCACCCCACCTCCAAATAAGGGTTGTGTATTAAGTATGAACAGTAATCTCATTTTGTATATGCAAACATTTTGGCTAAGAATAATATAAAACTAACTATTGATGTATCCTAACAATCCATATGGCACAGTCAGTGCTTATTTACTTACTTTCTCCTTGACCCAAGATGTGGCATAATTGTTTATTCCTCTTTTTTACTTGCTTAAGTTCATCCTGTAAACAATTTGTAATTATTTAATTCTTTAACAAATAAATACAAAGCACCCTGCAATAATATTAAATTTTAAAGAACTTAATACTTAGATTTCTTCTCCATTTCACTGACAGAGAACTTTTTGATCTCACGCTACATGCACATTTTTAACAAGATAATTTATTTGATGCACAAAGTAGTAAATTTATACTAGTGACTAGAAACATTATAAGTCTGAATTGGACAAAGCATTAACAGCAATATACAACATAACCTACTTCATAGTTTTGTATGGTCGCCTTTAACTTCATGATTTCTTTGTCCTTGCTCTCCAGTTCATCTTGATATTTGGCAGATATGGCATTTTCTACAGCATATTGCTAAAATAAGAGAAAATAAAACCCTTTTATTACATATAGCACAGAATACATATATCCAGGTATTTGAGTTCTGATAAAACACAAAATCTACCGCTGATAACAATGCAAACATAATAAAGACCACTGAAGTAACCAATGGTTTTTCATCAATAGGAGTAAATGAAACATATCATGTCATTAATCACACAACAAACAACATGGTGGATTACAGCACTGCTGCAACTTTTATGTTATCCTACAGGACACGGACATTCAGGTTGAAATTATAAAGTAAAACAATTTTTGACTTGCACTCAATCTGTTGTTTTGCAGACCTCACAAAAGAATAAATCTTCTGCTCTGCCTTGGTCCATAAGACTTTTCTGAGGTCTGCAAAACAACATATTGATGTCAGCCGAGGTCAATACTTATATAATATTAGATTCTCCTTCTGAAAAGAACACTAGAATTGCCCTGGTACTGTTATAAAAAAAATTAATGCAAAAGTGACATATAAGCACAGATAATGTTAAAAGAAACTGCTACTGTCTGGATTTCAACATATTTCTAATCTGGCTTCATGAACAAACCTTTTTATATTCCTCTTGTATCTTCTCCTTCCTGATGATGTTCCCTGCATCTTGCTCTACTTTATCAAAAAATTTTCTCTCTTCTTCAACTGCTACTGGTGGTGTTTTCACACTGGTGGCCAGGGGTATAGGAATATCTTCTATTTCTTCTAATGCTAGTGGAAGACATAAAATGTAAGTAAAGATTCATGGGAGAACAAAAACATCAGGGATTGTCTTCTGGGTCTTCCAAAAGATAATAGATAATCCTTTTGGAAAATACTTTATAAAGAAAATGCATCATGTGCTTTCTGTATTGATTTAGATACATGGCTAGATGAAAATTACACAGCATTCATAGTTCTAAAAAAACTTACAACAATTGCATTTGCACTGAAACATTGTAAGGACTGATTTCATTGGGAAAGTTGCATAAATTCAGATTCAGATTTAACTAAATAAGTTAGTTATCAACCAACTGGTTTATAGTCTTCCCCCCTCTCTATCCACTATTTTGTCCTCAATAAAAAACTCTCATTCTTAATAATTCATTTAAAGAAGGTAGAAGTAGGGTACAAATAATTTTCTTATCCTTTTTTCATTAGATATATGTAGAGAAATATGTTTTATGGGAGTGGGTCAATATTTCTCATCTAAATAGTCCTTACACTCTGGATTAGGTTGCCATCTTCTGCTGACTGTCTTTTGGGAGGTTTTCCCATATGCCCTGATGCAATACAACATGACTAGACAAACCTGAGAATGATGTTTTCCCATTGATATGTTCCCCTCCTCCTCCTCTAGATCTGTTAAACTCTTCAAGTGTCATTACTGGTTGAATATTGGCTCTCTTCTTTTTCTTAGGTTTGTTATTCTGGCCTTTGTCTGTATCTCCTACTCCATCTGTGGCTCTAAGAAACTAAAGAAACAGACTTTAATGGTTAAGGTCCAGTATGCTTACTCAATCTTTCTTGATATAACACCTTTCAGTTGGTGGTTTGATTATGATAAGCTCAACATTGGTAGCATATAACCTTTCCTGTTTCCAGCACACCAACAAATGTTGTAAGTGTCTCAAATGTCACTGGAAACACGCCATATAACTTGTACATAAAACTAACCTCATAAACGAAATTTCAGACTTGAACTCATAGCCAGGTCAGAAAAAATCTATCAGACATTAAACCCATACACACGTAACTAGAGTGTGCCAATCATTAAAGCATAAAATTGATACAATTCCCTACATTTTAATCAGTAAAAGCATGTTTTAGTACTTACTTCTTTTTTTGCCTCAAATTCCAATCTGCTTTGAAGTAATGCTTCTTGAAGTTCTTTCTCATATGTCTCTGCTGCGAACTGTACAGAAAAAAAAAAAAGATGCAAATATGTTTAGAGTAAACAGAAGTTATGCCGTTTCCAATATCCATACACTCATCTCTACAACCAATTCAACCATTTTGTATTTAAAAATCATATTTTCATCAAATTGAATTACAAACCTGCCTATCAAATTTCAAAATGAACATGAATTACCTTGAAAATCTTGTATCCCCATCATATTTTCTTCTCTTCCCACAACTGAGGCCTGGACCCTATCTTTTCATTCTTATTTCTCCACTCCCCTACCTCTCATTGATTCTTCTACCCTGGACTTCCACTTGAGGAACTTTTTACTTCTCCAACGACCCCCCCTCCCCCTTTGCTCCCACTCAGACTGTGCCTCCTTATGTTCATCTCCCACCCATACACATACTCCCAGTACACACTTTAAAACCTAACCTCTTCATCCTTATTCCTCCACTCTTCCCACTGTCTAATCGGGGCTGCTGATACATGGTGTTGCTGGTGCTGTTGAGGTTTGTGCTTGCCTGCTCCACCACCAAAAGCTAGATTACGGAGCTGAAATTGTATAACAGAATATACTCATCATTTCACCAGTGAATATTTGTGTGTATAAAATATGTTGTTGTTGCTTTTTGAAAAATGCCTGTTAAAGTACAATTCAAATATGTATTATGACTGCTTAAATAGAACATTTCACAAGATCTGATATAGTCCTAATATACACATCAAAAACAATGTACACATGCAACATACAAAAACAACCATATACATTGCTAACATGCACATTATTATACTTACTCAATAAAAAGGGCCATGGTGTCTAAACATGCCAATAGCTGACATATTGCATTGAAGGTGTTCATACTATAATATTACATGTCAACAAAATGTTTCGAAACATTACATGCTGTTTTCTCCCCTTTTAAGCTACTTCTTGTCATTTTCTCTCCCACTGAACATAAAAAAAAAACATAGCTAGAGCCATGTTTAGGATTGTAGGGCTGAACAAATAAAATGGATATCTAAATCTTTTTAGTTTAATCAGAATCTTTTCGAGTCCAAAAGAAAATATGTAATTCATTAAACATTTCCATAACATTCAGATGGCTTACAGTAACTAAAGACACATGTACAGCACTTAAGGCAAGTTTTTAAACTACATTCGTGAAAAAAAAAAAAACAATCTTCAATGTCACAATAGGTAATAATATTGTAAATTTTGAATTGTAAGCTGTTAAAATTATTCAACTTTACCACAAGAGTTATCAAGTTTCCTATCACGTCTACCAAAAATGAATGCATATCTAAAGAGACATCCAGAACCAGTTACCTAAAGTTTGAGATAAAGTCAATTAAGTAGGCTAATCGACTGCACACAACTATGTAACTTGGAGTGAACTAGTAGGCTGGTTAGTTTAAAAACAACATGGAACCTAATGCAACACCCAATATCTTACTGCACTGGTTTTGATATAGTTTTAGTAGATGTTATATACTCAGACCATTCTAGTAATCAGACAATAAAATTCAATAGACTAAGAGCAGAGTCTGAATACAAAGTTCTTATCATTAAGCACTCTGTATCAAAGTCTGAATAATGGTACTCCAGCACTTATGCATATTTTTTACTACATGTGCAGTGCTCAAGCATAGAGTAAATTATTCTGACTTATTGCCAACTAGCACTGGATGCTCTCCTTGGTAAATCACCCTGTTCATGTGTCTTTAATAAGAAAAAAAATATTTTCTATAATTTACCCTTGAAAACATTGTATCCTTCTGCATGCAAAACGAAAAAAACNGCCCATGCAATATATACCAAGCCACGACCAAGATGTTCAAGAATCTAAACACACCAAAATCTTTTATAATCACGCATTTGAAAAGTGCAAAAAACGTTCAGGCTTTTGGCCGTAACAAGCGTAACACTTTTTGATCTGGACTTATGAAAATTGACCCTTGTCGTATTCAAGCTAGACCACATGTAAAATCGAAAAATCCAACAATACTGCTCAAGAAAATGTATTGCACACACACCAATTAGTTAAATTTTATGACTGTCATGTGACACAAGTATCAAAAAGTAGGAGGAAAATGTCTTTTGGAGTTATTTTTTTCGAAACATAAACAAGATGGCGGCTTATGCATCTGCTTGTTATTCGGCTACTGAAAGTGCACCTACGTTTTATTCTATGCTATTGCCACAAATAACTAAACAATTGCAACTGTATAAAGACCAAACTTTCTTCATCTGATACTATATTTATAAGCACTTGTTATGAGTGGGAAATATTTTTCGTGCAATATTTATTGTCCACACACCACCTCGCGAGATCGACGTGGAGCTGGACACTTACACAGTGAGACCCCACGGCATAAAAGTTGCAATTTATCTTCATATTTCGAGTAGTTATGCATTTAAAAGCACTTACCTGTTTTTTGATAACCTTATCCAACATTGTATCCTCTGCACTCTGTAATTCTCTCATTTTAAGAAACTTTTGACTGCGTTTCTGTTTGTGACCTCTCCAAACGACAGACGAAGGCACCTATTCTGACAAACGAGATTTAAACGAGAGTAACAGAAAGCGTAACAGAGATAGGAACCCATTGTTCTCTGGGTTCTATTCATTCCGACCAATGAGAGACCGTAATACGGGCTCCGCCCCCACGCGTGTAATCTCCTTCTGTTATAACTCCTTGGTTAAAGTACAATTAAAATATGTATTATGACTGCTTAAATAGAACATTTCACAAGATCTGATTTAGTCCTAATATACACATCAAAAACAATGTACACATGCAACATACAAAAACAACCATATACATTGCTAACATGCACATTATTATACTTACTCAATAAAAAGGGGCATGGTGTCTAAACATGCCAATAGCTGACATATTGCATTGAAGGTGTTCATACCATAATATTACATGTCAACAAAATGTTTCGAAACATTACATGCTGTTTTCTCCCCTTTTAAGCTACTTCTTGTCATTTTCTCTCCCACTGAACATAAAAAAAAACATAGCTAATGCCATGTTTAGGATTGTAGGGCTGAACAAATAAAATGGATATCTAAATCTTTTTAGTTTAATCAGAATCTTTTCGAGTCCAAAAGAAAATATGTAATTCATTGAACATTTCCATAACATTCAGATGGCTTACAGTAACTAAAGACACATGTACAGCACTTAAGGCAAGTTTTTAAACTACATTCGTGAAAAAAAAAACAATCTTCAATGCCACAATAGGTAATAATATTGTAAATTTTGAATTGTAAGCTGTTAAAATTATTCAACTTTACCACAAGAGTTATCAAGTTTCCTATCACGTCTACCAAATGGATTATGACATGAATGCATATCTAAAGAGACATCCAGAACCAGTTACCTAAAGTTTGAGATAAAGTCAATTAAGTAGGCAAATCGACTGCACACAACTATGTAACTTGGAGTGAACTAGTAGGCTGGTTAGTTTAAAAACAACATGGAACCTTATGCAACACCCAATATCTTACTGCATTGGTTTTGATATAGTTTTAGTAGATGTTATATACTCAGACCATTCTAGTAATCAGACAATAAAATTCAATAGACTAAGAGCAGAGTCTGAATACAAAGTTCTTATCATTAAGCACTCTGTATCAAAGTCTGAATAATGGTACTCCAGCACTTATGCATATTTTTTACTACATGTGCAGTGCTCAAGCATAGAGTAAATTATTCTGACTTATTGCCAACTAGCACTGGATGCTCTCCTTGGTAAATCACCCTGTTCATGTGTCTTTAATATGAAAAAAAAATATTTTCTATAATTTACCCTTGAAAACATTGTATCCTTCTGCATGCAAAACGAAAAAAAAACTAATGAGCAAAGCAAGGCCTTCATGTATGATAATGCCACCATTGCAATAACAAATAGAACCTTTAGGCACAAAGAATCTGCGCAAGGATTATATTTGACTGTAATATGGTTTATTTTTTCATATATGAGAGACAATATTGAAGACAAAGAGAGCGAATAAGAAGTGCTTTCACAACAATATCTGTAAACAAAGATAAATTTCATTTGAATAATGATTTGGATCTGAATCTGCCAGACACAATGACTGTGTCGTCGAATACCTCGTCGGTTTCAGCTTTAGATGTGTCATTCTTCTTCTTTTTCTTCTGTTTTTTCTTTGCATTTGCTGTTTGTGTTTGATTTTGTGACTTTCCACTCTGGGGTTTTCTTTGATTTTCTGTTCCATCGCTGTCTTCGTCATCTTCTACTTTGAGCAGCGAGAAACGTGACGATACTGCTAAGGCCATAGTTTAGACTCTATCATGGGAGGGCAGCACCTGCACTGGACCTTGGCATAATTTTTCAAGAAAGGTGAAAAAAGTTAGATTATTTCAAGACCATATTTGGAAACTAAAAGAATCAAATGCCCAGTTTTCTGTGATCTACTGCAATATTTTGCAAATTACTTCTAGCTGGTTTAAATCTATAATAACAAGTCGTGAACTCATTATTATTATTTTTCTTTATCAAAGATTGATGTCTTGATAAAAAAGTTCATTCTCCAGCAAGTGCTGCCCTCTTTCAATAAGTAGACTGCTACGTGGTTGTGCATGCGCATTGCAGACGACAACATGGCAAGGGAAGCTGATGTAGATGAGCTCTTCGAAATCAAAACTTCTTTATACACTGGAAATTACCAGCAGTGTATAAATGAAGCCCAGAAGCTCAAAGTAAGTTATATGTTTGCCTGAATTTGTTTGATTGCTACATGAAGCTTTATTTGTATGTAAATATGTCGCCGGCTTACAAAATGAACTAACGTAACAGTAACATCAAACATTATAAATTAAAATAACAATTTGTTCATTCTTACGAATACTGCAGATTAAGTGATAGACATACACCATATTCATATTTCCTTTCATAGCCCTCACCCCAACTGAGAGAGGAAAGAGATGTTATAATGTACAGAGCTTACATAGCCCAAAGGAAGTACGGTGTTGTGTTGGATGAAATAGGTGCCTCCTCCCCTCCCGAGTTACAGGCAGTCAAAATGTATGCAGACTATTTGGCCAATGATACAAAAAGGTCAGTCAGCTGGGTAAACTTTTAATACAAAGGCAAATATTAAAAGTAGCAACATCATGTCAGAGGAAAAGAAACGCTGCCCTATTTGTTGGTCATAAAACTAGCTTGCTTGTTTATCACCCATGTTCATTGGCATATGAAGGCATAGGCATATTGAGTTAATGATATATTTAGCCAAATAATTTGGATGTATGAAGGCAAAATTTTAAAGCTTAGATGAAGTATATTGGTTCACTTTTTGATTGAAATGTTCTGTAGGTCTGTATTGTGAATGAAGCAAATCTGTATTTTATATTATAGGGACTCTATTGTCAGAGATCTTGACAAGCAGATGAGTGGAAATGTGGATTTGACTAACAGCACATTCCTTCTTATGGCAGCATCCATATATATTCAGGAACAGGTAGCTAATAACTAGTTTTCAAGGCTCTAAAAATGGTTACTAGTAATGTATTAAATTGTATAATGATTTATCTTACGATGTGTTATATGGGTTCTGTACTGATTTCATTGTTTCATGATAATATTTAAGTCAAGTTTTAGTGTCTCTTACAGAAAAATACATTATTATGTGTTAAGTGGCTCAATTTTTTCTTTTTAGGAAATCACTGACAATTTGAATAATCTGTTTGAACAACAATATTATTATTTCAATCTTACTTTCAGAATTTTGATTCTGCTCTACGGACACTTCATTCATCAGATAATTTAGAGTGGTGAGTCATGGACATTAGTTCTTTTTGTCTTGCAATAAATTCTATAAATAAAGGAGCTCATCAAATTTTTGTTGGAAAAAAAAAACAATGAAATGCACATTTTTATCTGTAGAAATTGCTTTTGAAAACAATCTTTTTTTCGCATGTTGTGGTGTCCTATGACATTTGAAATGTGTGCAAAGTTTTTTCATCTTAACTGCACCTTATTTATTTAATTTTACAAAATTCATTGGAACTTATCCTATTTTACAGCATTGCCACTATGATACAGATCTACCTGAAAATTGATCGAGTTGACCTAGCAAAGTAAGTGCAGATAGTGGTTTCAGACCACAACTTCCAGGAAGTCATGTATGTAGGCCACTGAGTTTCCCTTTATACTTGCATTTAATCATTCACTTCTTTTTTGTTGTATTGTAACATGTCTGCAGCAATATCTTAAAGTAGAAATTTTGTTTTGCTTCATTTTTGGTCATGTCCCCTTTAGGGTCAAGTATGGATCTGATGAGATAATTTTTTTGAAAAGTTCCATAGACATCTTGTCCAGTTTTTAGTCAGGTATCCTCCTCCCTCTTTCCCCTCTTAATCATTTTCTTCTGAAGCACACCTTCTGGTTTGTACTCCTGTTGAGTTTAGTAATTGATTAATTGTAGCATTTAGGTAGAGTTATGAAAACTGCTTAAAATAATTTCAGTTATTTTGAACTGCTAGTCACAACATAGATTTTCAAATACTAAGGGCTCTTAGTTATCACCTATATCAGTCTGTCAACTTTTTGCAGTGCTGTCATTGGCCAAGAGTGGCTGTACACTGATAGTTGTTACACTTGCATTATGCAAAACATTGCTTTGTCAGTAAATACCTCAAAAAGCTCATTCTAAAGTCCTGATATTGAACATGTATTATGCTGTGTTATAGTATTTTCTTGTTTCACCAGGAAGTTTTTGTATAGATGGTTTTAGAAAAAAAATCATATATGTTTACTATTATGCTATTAGTCATCTAATTATGAAATAGTAGTTTTCATTGAAATCCATTAGTGATCAATGTACCATTCTAATATTTCAGGAAAGAGTTGAAGAGGATGCAGGAAACGGATGATGACAACATCCTCACTCAAATGGCCCAGGCTTGGTTTAATCTTGCTGTGGTACGTACTACAAACACCACATTTATCTAAATAGATAGTTTGACTTCATGAAATCTACCTTCCACAAATTAAGTTAAAATTCAAATTTTTGTTTGGTTAGTATATTTGTTTTAGACATTGCTACCCAATTTTTTTATGTTAAGATATTTTCAACTTGTAAACATTTTTCCCAAAATTAAATCCATTCATTTCTTTCTTTTATTGTTTTACATCATGGGAAAACAAACCATAATAAAGTTCTTAAAATAGTTCTTAAAATTTATCTCTTCTAATACTTTACTGTTTTTCGTTAAGTCAAGCCTTGCATATCATCAAAAAATATTTTTTCTTGCCTTCTAGGGAGGTGAAAAGTACCAGGATGCCTACTACATTTTCCAGGAGATGGCGGACAAGCATGTGTCCACCCCTCTCCTCCTCAATGGTATGGCCGCTTGTTACATGGCACAAGGGAGGTTTGATGATGCTGAGGGGGCACTACAGGAAGCCATGGATAAGGTAGAATTAAATTGAAGGAGTTTATATTTAAAGTTGAAAATCTTTTAAGTCCACTATGTGGAATTTATGTTCACTTCATTTACTCCACTTCAAAAATGTGCTGGAACAGACTACCACTTAAATGTTAGCAGTATTATGGTATGTTGATTGATCAGGACATGTAGCAATCAAATATTTTGCTTTTAGCATTGTTTAATCTGTCATTTCTTCTTCCAGGACAGCAACAATCCAGAGACCTTGGTAAACATGGTGGTGCTTTCACAGCATTTAGGAAAACCTCCTGAGGTACAGTCTTGCTGTTAATTTTTTTCCAGACACTGAATATTTTTATTTATTTATTTATTTATTTATTTATTTATTTATTTATTGAACATACATGAATTGAGTTTTTTACAATGAATAAAGGGAATTTAAACTGAGAATTAAAGTGAAAATTTGCATATGTTAGCTCTGGTGTGATGACACTAGTATTTTAATATGTAGCGTTGATCTGATTTCTGTCTACTGATATGCTGATTTCAGTCGTTTTTTTTTAGATAAAATGTTTAAAGAGCTTCTTTTTTCCTTGTTTTTCTAGGTTAGCAATCGTTATATTTCTCAGCTGAAAGATTCACATAGGAGCCATCCATTTGTGAAGGATTATCTCCAAAAGGTGAGATTAATTGCACTTTATGCAGAGATGTAACCAACGAAAACATTTGCTAAGTAAATTTTGTACATCATGGGAAAATATTTTAGACCAGCTAGGGAACAGGAAATCCTTTCCTTTGGTCAATTTAGTGAAATCTTGATCTGTCTTACAATTTACCCCCAAATGGGTGATTATCACAATTATTCTGGAATCTGTGTTTGCTATCGCACCATGTGGACCTTCATAGATAGCTACACTTCATAATTATCTGCAGACTAACAAATCTGAGGATCAAATATGGCCGACCAACTTGAATGCTTGTTGTGTAATCCCCACATTTACCCCAGGACCTGTTTTGTGGCACTCTCCCCGCTCAAATGAAGAGTTGTCATCCTTTAAAGACGTGAAAAGTTGAATACAATTCAAAGTAATGTCATGTACAACTTTTTCCTTCTGGCACAAGGCATTTAATTTTTTAATAACACAAGTCTTATAATGCTTTTATTCTTCTCTTTTTAGGAAAATGAATTGGACAGATTAGTAAAGAATTATGCTCCATCAGTATCAGCATAGGGACAAAGTCAAAGTTAATGGAACTATTAGAGTGTATACAGCAGCAAATCTGTGTTCGCACTTATTGTATTATAATATTTTGGACACTGTATGTCATTGGTCTTGTTATTTCTGATATCTTTTCTGTAACAAAGCTTCTAGGACAAGATTGGAAAGAGAGAGTCTGGATCTTAACAAAATCATGCTATAGTCACTGGGAAGAAATGTTGAAGAAAATGAAAGTTGTCATGTATTTATAATGTAAGGAATGAGGGATTTTCAAGAGTATCTATACTTTATATTTAAAAAAAATAAAATTATGTAGATAACTATTATTATTATTATGTGTTATTGCATTAATTTCTTCTTCAGTATTTACATTTGACACCTATAGCCTTCTCTAAAACCAAAGGATATCGTACAATCATGATAATGCCCCTCTTTTTATTTGTACAGTACAAAACCTACATGTGAAGTGGGACATATAGTTCTTAAGCTATTTTTCTGATATCTGAGCTTGTCTTTAGATCACGTGACCTCCACTGATGGCTATACTCTGTTAAAATCTCTTAAGAGATTTTAACAAAAAAACAAACTTTTTAGAAAAAAAACAGGGACTAACTTTGAATGTAAAAATGGATTCATTAACCATTGGTAAGTATGGGAAAATTGTTGTTTACTCCAGGAAAATTCATTTTTTGGCCGAAACGAAGAGTTATTATCCCTTTAAGATTCTTTTTGTCTGGACTGCGCTTCACATCCCTGATTACTAAACAAATGTTACAAGTTCATTGTGTTGCCATTTTTGAAAAGCACCTTATGAAAGTTCATAAATTTTACTAGTTTATTTGCAAGTGGATCATAAAGGAAATCCATAACAGTTCGACGACAGTCAAGAATTGATTCACCGAAAGCTCCTCGAAAAGTAAAAAAAAAGAATAATAATAATAATAATAACAGCAAAATTCAAACCTATTTTCAAGATATTATTTAACTGAATGAAGTTAAGCAGAGGATAAATTAAAGCTTAAATCCATGGATCATGAAAGACGGGTATGTGTTTTTATATACTCGATTTTACGTGGAACGCGCTTTATTTTTATTTCTTTTTTAATTGCTGTATTGAATCTCTGCCATCTTTCATAAAAACCGAGTTTTCTCACTTTTAGCTTAACAAGCGTAAAATATATTAAACAAACATAAAAGATTTTCAAAGTGCTGTCGTGTTGAATGAAATGCATTTTTTGCGGAAAACTGCGCTAGATGTGGATTTATATACATAAAAAGATAGTAGAAAGAGTTACGCAATGAGCATTTTTTCCAAATCATCCACGGAAGATTACTTTAAAATCTAAATATTTACTTAGGTACACGGTCTAAGAAAGACGAGTAGCATATACATTCATTTGAAAATATCATACCCGGAAGTTTTCTTAATGACTGGAACCTATCACCTGCTGATGATTGTCCCTCAGACCCCCTACGTATATATGTCCCTCTTTATATCCTAATATGGTTATCTCACCTATCGGCTGTAAAGAGATAACTATAATTTCATAAGCGAAATCAAATTGACCAACAACGGATTCTGTGGGTTTCTTATTCGAAATTTTATTCATATTCAACTAGGATGGTTCTTTCTATTGTTTTGTGTCCGGGCAACCAAAATAGATGGTTCCTTCAGTTTTCATATATAGTATACTTACATGCATGGCCTCCATTGTGCAAGCATGTGAACTTATGGACGGTACGTAAGGAAGAAAATAACCATCATTAAAAAACATTTCTTATTCCTTTTAACGGGGATTTGTGACAGTTTTCTGAGCATTTTCATTTATTCAGCGTGTCCGGTCAACCAAGATGATACTTCCAAGTTTTTTTATATATCGATTTTACAAGGAATAGCTTCCTTCCGCCTTTGGTTTCCACACCTGACCATAGAACAGACGATTACATTTTATGATCAATTGAAATTGACCCCTGACAACAAGTGCGTGGAATTGAGTTATCCACAAGTCGCAATGATTACACTTTTTATTATATACAAAAAGTGTATTTTTGGCTTCGTGTCCGGTCAACAAAATAATGCCCACACTGTCCAACCCTTAGTATTTTGAAAAAAGGTAAATACTCGTAATTGTTACTCAGCATGATAAAACAATTGGGTCCCTCAAGTTCTGTCCCGACAAATACGAAGGTAATGTAGCCATAAGGACATACACCGGGGGTTGTGTTTTAAGTACGTTTTCTTGTTTAGCTTTCCCAAGTCCCCATCAGTTTACGGATCGCTATGAAAAGAAATTATATTAGGACTGATTGACGCTTACCACGGCACGGACTAAACTCTTTCTTTTTCTGTCAGCACTGAGCGAGTGCATGGCATTGCGCACTGCAGAGCACACATATGGGTCTATATTTTTACACATTATGATGTGTTGCGACCAATAACAGTCTTGGGGAGACCCACATCCAGCTGCATATCTCATACATTGTGGCTAGAATTCTCCAGTGTATCCTCTGCATGGAACCGTTTTACACCGACTTAACGCTCTTTCCTCTTGATTACCTCCGAGAAAAGAAGAGAAATAGTTTAGTGCGTTAGTATCAAATAACAGCCATTCAAGTAACATTACCTATTTACAATAAACATAGTATCATATTACCATAGTAATATTTAGTTAACGCTAAGTAGACAATGATAATGCGTCTGTCTTATTCCGTGGTATGGTATGGTGAGTCACCCAGTGACGTAGCACCGCCGCCGGATTGAAGCCACTTCTCGACCTTATTAAAGGTATAATATGCTGAGGATCCAGCCCTAACCTGACAGTAGTAGTATTTCCGCGTTCAAACTCACAGTTGTAGTTGAACATGGCGCGTTTCCTGACACCCAAGGGACTATTTGCTTTATTGCTTTCCATGCTCGCACATCTCTGCCAAGGTAGGTGATATATTTGGCTGTATATTTTATTCAAATCGTGGCCACCTTTCCCCTGTATGCGCTGTGTGTGTGTGTGTGTGTGTGTGTGTGTGTGTTAAATAGTGGGGGCGTGAGGGATGAGGAAAAAACGAGAATAGGTAACTGCCAACACTATTGTCAATCCAAATTAGCAAACGTTCACGCAGTAAAGCAGGAAAAGAGGCAACATTTTCCCCTTTCTGTTTGATAACACATATAGGTCACTATACTTTTGGTGTCTGTAAGTTCAACTCTATCGTCTGCATGAGCGCTATCAATCTATATTTGTCTGTAGCTTTTATTGATCGACAATGAGTTTTATTACGTCTGGCTGTACGATATTTACATTTATATGGAAAAGTCACACTTGTCGAACTTAAACCAAGTCGACATGGTATAAACACAATCTTATTACATTTGCTGCATGGTTTGGGAACGAAATACATTTGGTTTTATTTTTAGAGCTTTGCCCCATGCTCACATGACTGAGAAGTGTGTAGTATTCCCACGTTTGGCGGAGTGGTAATTCAATAACCTAATTATTATATAAGCTGACAAATCTATTACCTTAGCTGTAAAATACGCCTACTGAGAAACACTGACTCATTATGTTTGAAAACAGGCAAAATGATGTCTGAAATTCTATTATCCAACGCAAAACGCCATATCATGATCTGATCAATTTGATGATGTCACTCGTTCAGATAAAATTACTTTTTTCGCAACAGACCTGCTTTTAAATTATTTTTAGAGAATAAGATATGCATGTGATTCACTTGGGATTTTTATGTTAGTCATTAATTAAACTTTAATATTCAACCGTGACAGTTGTTGGCGACTGAGAGCAGGGATAATTAATGATATAATCAATGAAATGGATATTTCCCAACATGATCCAATTAACTAGAGCGGGAATAACTACATTTGGGTTACTTTCTCTAAAAAATTCAAGTACACCGATATAAGAAACCGTGATCTTTCGATACTCGACACGATTCGGGTTAAGACAGCGCATATTATCATTACCCTCTACCAGCGCCACAGATTGAGTTTTCTCTAGTTATTCACAGATATGCCTCTAGATAAATGATGGTACTTTTCATGCACTGTCACTCGTCAGGGAGAAGTGCACATAATTATCTGCGACCCTTGTGGAGGGTGTATTATCATTCCATGCGTGGTGTTACATCTCACTCAATTAAAAGTTTTTTTTGTTGATTCTGAGACACCCAGTCTTAAGATACATACGAAGTTTGCTAGTAGACAGCACAGGTGAACATATTCGACCTTTCTTCCCCTAGCAGCAGTGCACTTTTAAAAACATTACAATGAATGCGATTCACGTATGATAGGCACATATGATCCTGAGAAATAAGGGTTTCCATTAATACGTGTTTTTCCAGTGAACCTCTCCATGGTGTTCTTGTTATAAGCTAATTACGGTATCGCATACCCACTTTGTGTGGATAGGCCGACAGCAGAAGCTAAACCTGAATCAAGGCTTTGACATCTCAAAGAAGGAAAGAACTGTATTTTTGGGCTGACTGTGTATATGCATTTTGGTATAAGCTTATAGTGTATACACAAGTAACAATCAGTGCGCTGTTCTGTGGAAATCCTTTGTTACAGACGCACACACACATGCACACACACACACATACACACACATAAAACCGGTCTAAGTTACAAACTGATCAGAAATTGATATAGAAATTGCAAAATACGAAAATAAGAAAATGTTACTTTAAAAAATAAACAAATTTCTTTTTCAATAAGCTAATCTGCTGCTCCCCCCATCCCCTTCGTTCCATCTAAGTATGATCAACCATTTTGGGTTTGTACCATCTTATTTGACACTTTTTAGGTGTTATTCATTTGTCTGTCCCCTTTCCGTGTTTCCTTTCAACAGCCTATAAAATAAAACAAAGGGCGCCTTAAAATACATTTCAATTGGAGTTTTAAGCGAAATCCCGCTGAGCTCCGTTGATTGAGTCTTTTTTCTTCACGTGCGGATTTCATCCTCAAGAAAGAGCCGCCATTGTTTTACCCGTTTCACCTTACAGTGGCCGTCGCGTCTATCTCGCCTTTTCCCCGAGAAACTGATCCACATTTTCATGTTTTATTAACAATGACACACCATGGACAAATTTGCGGTTTGGTGAATATATTTTACATTGAGTCAAGCATTTTACAAATTCAAAGAAATGTGGTAAGGAATCATTAATGCCGACATCTTGCCTTGTTTCTGATGCAGTGGTTTGTTATCTTTGTTGTCTGCAAGTTGTAAATGCCTAACTGATGATATTTCTTTACACAGTTCGTACCCAGGTTACAAAAACTGAAAACGATACCCGTAATCTAATTCAATCTACGTATAGCCACTGCCAAAAAACAGCAGAGGTTTTCTTTTCTTTTCTTTTTTTTAGAGATCTGATCAGTTGCGTATGGAAATCATCCTTTTCATTTCTGAATGAAAACCCATGCAATTTTTCTAAGGCCTCGAGATAAAGATTGCTGCATCACAAGATTTTATTGTGACCTTATGTAATTCATTTGACCGATTTCGTTTGCAATTTGGGCGCTGTTGATCTTTGTATCACATGGTCATCAAGACGATCTTCTAGTGCTATGTGAATTGTTTGACAGCAACTGCCACGTAGGACGAGAGGGATATCCCTATGATAAGACAGGCTCTAGAGAGCGCAAGCTGAGTTCTAATAAAATGAAAATGTTCTACGTCACTTGTCCCCGTTTTTTCTTTATTTTCGATTCATGTTACTAGTATTTTGAACTAAAAGTGAGATATGGTACTCAAAGCGTGTTTTTTCTTTTTCTTTTCTTTTCTTTTCATTTTTTTTTTTTTGTGACAAAACAGTAATTTTTGTGCTTTCTAGTACATGGTGGTGATGTGGAGTTGCTAAATGCTAATTAAAGTTAACTAAAAGTCAAGTTCATTTTAATGTGCGTTTGATCATGATTACACTAGTACTGCTTTAATTGATGGGTAACTAAAAGTCAAGTTCATTTTAATGTGCGTTTGATCTTGATTACACTAGTACTGCTTTAATTGATGGGCAATAAACAATATGTATCATATTTTTCATGATTGATGTTAAAGGTTCCCTCCAAATGTGTGTTTTTTTACAGGGCAAACTCCTGTATTACTGGATTTCACCGACAACACAAAGGACAGATTCGACGAGGGGCAGCCGTTAGCGGGAGCAACGTTAGAATTAACTTGCAAAGTGAATTTTCAACCAAGGTCTGAGCTGATGCAGTCATTCAAATGGCTATTCAATGGCGAAGAGATCCCAGTATCTCCCTTTGATCCTAGCAAACCACAGCAGAAGGACAGAATCAACATCGCTGGAGGGGAAGCGGACTCGACCCTCTACTACCCCGGGGTTACTCTAGAGAACAGTGGACTGTATACATGCACCCTAGACGGGACATTCGTGGGGGAGTTCCATAAAGAGATTTATGTAATAGAAGGTACTATTCTTTTTTAGACAGTATTATTTATCTCAATTTGAAAATATTGTTTTCAGGTCTTCTTGTTCGCTGTGCTTCAAGACAAATACTCGAAAATCAAAAGGTGTAGGTATATTAAGCTTATTGATGTAGACCTATATGGCAAAATTGATAGTGGTTTAATAATCATAGGGTGCCTTCCGAATTGGCCATGATAATTATGACTATCAAAAAGAAAAAATAGATTTTCCTGTCTGTCCAGAATATATATAAGAAGACGGCATACTGAATATGTCCTCTACGGTTTTATTTTATGCTTTCGGTTCCTTGCTATCCACAATGATATCGAGAGCCTATAATGACACACACTCACACTAAAAAAAACCTTTCTATCTCGTATATCTAACCTCCGAAACCTTGTAAATCAAAGCCACGTGCAAGTAAAGCTCCTGAATAAGGTCTTAGTTTAGAAAATGTCACAAGGTAGACATGCTTTGAAAGAATTAAGGAAATCTATCGACCAAATTTCTCACACTGCAACTAAAACGCAGAGCAAGGTTTTAAAAGATTATAAAAAGAAAAATTTTAATTAAAACTGATAAAAAACTCAAATAAATAACTCAAAATCATTCATTTCTATTTCGTCATGTCATGCTGGCATTCATTGCATTAACACTAAATCAACACTCTTTCAGTGGTCACAAATAATGTTACCCTGAATCGGACGGGCCAGAACGCCACGTTGGAGTGCACGGTTTACAACTGGCCTGCATATGACTACGACAGCTCTCTCTTCAAACGGGACGGCGTCCAGCTGAACTCGAACGGGAAGGATTATTTTCAGCCACCATATGCCAAGCCCATCTTCAAAAACGATTACATATCAGGTTCCGTGAACGAGCTGGTCATACTGAATGCCGGTACGTGACAGAGGAAAAAGAGACATGAAGGGGAAATGTTATTGACAATTTAGACTTAAAACAAATGATTATATAGCGAAAAGGTTAAATTTAATTACCACTTTGGTCCTTTTTTGTCTGACAAAATATTGTATTTTTCGTAACTTTCGGTAACTCTCAAGTGGAAGTCCTATAGCTGTTAACAAAATTTTACTTTAATCATCATTCGCTTACTAGCTCTATCGGATCTTTTTTTAATGTTTTGCATTTCCTTTTCCATTCCAGGACCTGAAGACGCTGGCGAGTACACTTGTGGCGTGTCTTTGATAGGCCCCCGGTCACATATTATTACCAAGAGTATTTTTGTCACAAGTAAGCTTATTCTTAATGCAATCAAGAAAAGAAACCAAGAAAATATGGTAATTTTAAGGCTATGTGTCAATTAGACCACATTACGCTTAAATCAGATCGATTATTTCAAGAAAAAAAATGCCCTTTTATTCTGCTTATGACTGAAGTATTCTTAGTATTTTTTAAAATACTTTATGTTATCCCTGGCAAAGTGCAGCATATTGAATCTTGTGTGTTAAATTATGACTCACAAAGCCAACTTTTACCCACTGAGATCTGAAATTTCCTTTGTCAATTGTTTAAATCTATTCGCAGCATTTTTTTCCTTTATATTTGTATTTTAGGTCCCACAAAAAAGGTAGCAAATGGCGCTTCTTTCCTCGAGAGCTCGACGTTGTCGTTTCATCTTTTGGTTTTATTGAGTGTTCTGTGGTCACTATAACTGGATTGTTGCGGAAGCTTAACTGGCACCGAAACTGTTATTTATTGCCAAGCAAGGAGGCGGTCACACAAATAAATCAACACTATAGCAGTCAGAGGAGCGAATACGCTGCTGATTCAACTTTGCCATCAATTTTTTAGGACTTTATTTCCGATAAGTTTTTCATATCGAAAACCTATATGGCATTGTTTAACACACTTGTTGTACTTTACGTCAAATATAAGAAACATTATGTCAAAGTAAAAGTCCCTTGAAAATGTCAAAATTTGAAATTACGAAAAGACTTATTAATTCAAGCACGTTGATTTAATCATTATAAAATGAAAACTCCACTGTCCTATGCCTGCATTTAAAAGCTTCTGCTCAGGAAGGTAGCATATCATAAAGCAGACTTTGGGTGATATTCTTGCTATTGTCATGTATTAGAGCAGGTCTCTTGTATATATACACACATATATTACATGTTTTTGTCTATTTTAAACTAAGAGCAGGTCTCTTTGGTTGTTTATGTAGTTTTTATTCACAGTTACGTCTACGTCTTCTACACGAATGCCTTATTTATTTATAGTGAAATAAATCGTATATAAAATAACATGTGTATTGAGTTTAAAAATCATTTGTGTCGAAGCGCTATTGTTTTAGTTATCTATACGTGTGTGCGTAAGTGCTTGTATGTATGTATGGGCACGGAAGTAGGGAATTGTTACAATAGGAAAATGGTGGAATTTGTATGTATCTAAAATGGAATAATTTGCAAATAACCTTTCAGTGTTAAATTTTACTTAGACACACAATTTTAACAAAATTGAAGAGAATTTCGACGATATCGGATTCAAGCTACCTTTTTCTATTCGTCAAAACATCAAAAAGAAAGATCCACTCATTTGCTTAAGGTCTGGTTAACCTGGGAACAGCAATGCAAATTTGTAACAAACTCTTGCATAGACTTTGATGCTGCACCTTTCTACACCCAAATGGTGTTGTGAAAAAAGCACAACGAATTTAATTGTGTTAGATGTGCTATAATGCATTCAAGAAAAGTTCCACATGAGAGTGATTTGTTCTACCCTCAAAATACGACAACGGGGTTTTCTCAAATCCACCACCATGTCTCAGAAACAGTTCTGGATATTACATCAATACCAGTAAAATTCCTATATTCTACCACCACCGCCGCAACACCATAAGGTTGTATCACTACCCCAACAGGTAGGCCTACAACACTTGAGACTTGGTTTTGAAGTTGATAAATAAAGAACAATATACTTAAGAAATTGAATTTCCACTTGTAATAATATTTACGGTCTTACTAGAACCAAATTCTGACTGATGCTTTTTGTGAAATGTAACCAAGCCAGAAAGAATTACCTATATTAATTGTACTGACTATCCCTTCCTCAATGCTTTTTGCAAATATCTCCAATATTTTATCCTCATAAGTCATTACAGATTTTATTTTTACTGACATATATTTATTTTATAATTTTGATAATACTAATAATATCAAAGAAAAGTAAAAAAAAAAAAAAAAAAAAAAAAAAAAAAAAAAAACGAAATCAAGTAGGCCTGAAATTTTATAAATATCTTTTGTATTTACCAGTCACATGGGTTTTGGTTAAATGGGTGAGTCATGGCGGATATCATAGCAGGAACAGGGGTTGCCCAGTTTACAGCCATCCTCCACGTGGTTATTTGCGTATTATTTACATAAGGCTAAGACAAAGAGGGAAACATGACAGACTTCTTATCATATAAGCAATTCATGTTCACTGTTGTTTTCTGTATAGGTTATTCCTCACGAGGTAAGTGTCTGCATGGTTTCAATCTTACCTCTCTGTTATATAAAATACTTCTTAGGCAAAGATTCTTCGATTTACAGACAGGAGTAATTCCCTTGAAAATACACGCAAGCTAATTACGTGTTTCGAAAAGTGATGCATTGTTTCTGGTTGTATTGTTGTTTGATTGTCTAATTTCTAACGCGTTTCGTGTTCAAGGAGGTGGGTTATGGTAATCCAAAATATGCTGTTGTTAAGTTTAATTCAACAAAAATTAATGTAAGAAAACAGTGAATGAACGGTGTAATGACCTGAAGTCACCTGGTGTGCCCGAGTCCACTGGGAGTTCACCTATGGTATCAGAAAATGCCGTTTCTAATGCTTGACACAAACGGAGAGCGTCGTGTTTTAGTTAAATAGAAATTACCATCAGTACTCTGAAACTTGTGACAGATAACATTTACAGGTACATATAAAGGAGTACGAATCATCACTAGCTGCAACGGGTCGTCATTCTTAATTTTGACTCTCATTTTGGAATAGATGCAAAGTCAAGTTGAAACTCTCGATTCCGACATTCATTTAGACATCTGTGATGTTGGCTAATTGTATTGGTGATGAGTTTCAATTGTTGTGAACAAAATGAATTAAGGAACGTAAAAGTATAGAGACACATGTTCCTTATAGGAGGTTTGATACATCATTAGGAAGAATTTTACCTGAAACGGGTCTTTACAAATTGTTTACCCATGCGTAAATTATTCCCTATTACGCAGTTTTCACTTAATTATCAATAGTGCTGAACTTATTAATAGGTGTTCGGAAAGACTTGGGCCTTTACATGCTATTACAGGTTCCTACATAGGCTACCCAGCCACTGCTTGCGGTTGGTTTGTGCGTTTTTAATAACTAGTCCCATTGTATTATTGATTTTGTTTGTACGCTGCATAAACGGCTCCCTCTTACAAAAGCCGCTTTATTTGGAATTTTGTTCATTTGATAATTATTAACTTTGTATACAATCACCATTTTGTGTAGCCAGATTTTGATGATAGACACTGCTACTCATTTGGTTTAATATGAAATTTAACACTTGAAGATATTTGTATATTGCGGATATTTCTAACTTTGAGATCATCGTAATTTTGTTAGTTTGGAGTTTGAAAGATAGCGTGACGGTTACTGAAAACTCCCAAAAAGTAACTTAAACTGTAATTTCATTAGAGTCATCATGACACTTATAAACTCATTACAATCAGAACCATCAAGAATCTATTTATTTTTATATCAGTAGAATCCGTTCCACGTCCTACAGCTGTCGCGTCGTTCTGGGAATCTTTTATCGAGAGTTGCATTATTAATTAATACATCCGATAAGTGTGCAAAGGTACTGCATATGTAAACGAAACTTACCACGGTTACCAAAATGCTTTTTTTTCTGTAATTTTTTGTAAGGAAACAGTTTGGAGGTAAATGTCACGTTTGAAGACAACACAGTTCACAAGTTTGGAGACTTCTTGCCGAACTACATAGCGAGTGACAGCCTGATATTCAAGTGTAATGCTAATATAACGGAGAGCGGTGCAACAGATTTCGGCTGGTATCTCAACAAAAAACCCATTTATACTTCCGACAAACCGGGACATCCCTCCAGTCATGGCCGCTTTCACGGTGGCGATGGACCTGACAGACCATCTGCTACAGTGCTGACCAGCACCCTGATATACCCGAACGTCACCGTGGACCAGAGTGGAGAGTATACATGTGAACTGAACGGCGTCAAGGGAGCCAATGCCACCAAGAGCGTGTACATTATTGACGGTATGGGGATGATGTTTATACATATTATTCCAAGTCAGTTCCAAGTTGCGTTAGTGAATTGCAATTATTTACAAATTGATGTTTCTAAAATGTGATACACTATTTCATTCATTCTTTATAATAACCTTTAAACCAAAATTACGTACTTTTGATAAATGCATTTCAGAAAAAAATAACACTGATGAAGGCTTAATCGGTTGCCATCTTGATCGGCTGTGGTTTTATTTATTATGTCATACGGGACTCATACCAGACCACCGTAGTAAAAAAAAAAAGTACTGCCAACATATACAAACACTGAAAATTAGTTCATCTCTATAAGATTTTGTGCTTGTTCACTTCCAGTCCTTACCAATGTGACAGGCCAGGTTGATAGGGACCCAAAGAACGTGACACTTGAATGTGTGGTCTACAACTGGCTGGCACACGATCCGCCAATATTCTCAAAGGGCAGCAAAGAACTGGGCTCGGATGGGAAGAAGTACATAAAATCAAAATTCTCCACATTCCGAGAGGAAGGAAAATACAGGACGGGATCAGCAAATAGTTTAGTTATACTAAATGCCGGTAGGAAGCTACAACTTTGAGATTGCTTTTGTCGTTTTGCCACTGTGTATGTAGAAGTTCTCTACACTCCCTTCGAACGCTTGTATTGCTTTCGTAATACCCCCTTTTCACTGGAAGGCGTCCTTTCTGCGACCATGAAATTTGTCATCGCTGTGGTCTTAATAAGGAGGAACGAGTATTGATTTTGTATCAGAATGAATGCTCAATGATCGGCCAGCTGTCGGCACGTAAAGTATTAGAATTTTTTAACTCTCAAATGGGGCCGTACTGCTGGACGCAGAAAGGATGCCGTCTATTGGAAAGGGGGCTTAATCTGTATTGTGCCGCGTTTTACCAATATAAATTGGGTGTTGTTTTGTAGGTGGATTAAAAACAGTGACATATCGCACATTCACTTGCTGTTGAGTAACGAGACTTTCTACGTATGGGTACATATATTAACATGTTTTTATGCATTTATTCTTCAGGACCAGAAGATATAGGCGAGTACAAGTGTTCCGTAACATTGAAATCTACAAATGACCACACAATTACGAGGTCCATGTTCGTTACTGCACCAAACACAGTTGCCGGTATGAATTTCTTCTCACAGCTCTTCATTATATTAATGGAGCCGTTTTTTGAAAGATCGCACTTAAAAATGTTTCTAGATATTTTGAAATCTCTCGACAGATGAGAATTTGGATAAGGTTTTACAATCACTAAAAGATTTATGATGAGAATCAAAGCTGCACTATCTCACATATTCTAATTCAATTTCGACTTTTGTAAAAGAAAAAAGTGCAATATTTATGGCAAAGCAAGTATAATCCAATTGTAGGTGGAAGCAAACCCCCCCTTGTGCCGAGTGTGTTGTGGACAGCTGGCTTGGTCGTCGCATGCATCCTCTGGATTCTTTCAGCCGAGACGTGAAACCAGTCTGTATAGCTTCTACCTGGGGCTCAAGAAAAACAGGTCTACAACGTATGAGACGTGGATAAAAATTCATCGTTTTCTTCACGTGACTTTTTTTCCAAAATAGGACTTTACTCCGCAGTTCTTACTTGGTCTGGATCTTATGCTTGTTAAACCGATACAGTTAAGCAAAAAAAAAAAAAAAAAAAAAAAATTCTTGCATTCTTTACTTTTTACATTCTACCCATATCAAGTCAACCATATGTAGTTAGCTTGTATTTTGGAGGACTTGGAATGCCCAACTTTAGTGTTAGAAACTAGATATATCAACATAAAAAAGTGGTAAAAACAATATTCAAACTGTCAAATCCATGAAAAACCCTTGTACCTTTAGTAAGATGCCAGTCCACTGCCTTGAGTGTGGCCTTCTCCATGGGATCCCCAACTAAATCATCATCCAACTGCACAAGGGCATGACATGTGGCCATTACCCATATTGTTTCTATGGGAGCCTCAGTGGCTGGGATCAGCTCCTCTTGGGTTCTAATAAAATAATGTTGACTATGATTCATATCATATTGATATAACATTAGTACCTAATCTACAAGATGCTTTTTGAAATGAAATATGCTTGGAATATTATAAATTTATATGAAAATATGGAGACAGCAAGATGCTGTATGGTGAACACNAAAAAAAAAAAATTCAAGGTCATCAATGCCTGCAGTTATCTCTAATAAGAGTATTTTTGTGTTCTCATCTTCGATGTTGCAAGTGGTATTTTTCTGACAATACCATTGTTAACTTAGGATTTTGAGAATCCAAGCCATTGTGTCAAGTCTTAATTATGACATCATAGTTTTGTCATACATTTCGGCCCCGTTTCATCAATGCCCGGAAGATGAATATTTTTCTGCTTTAAAATTGTAAAAGTCATATTAAAATGTTGGCCAATGCCGAAAAGAGCCCGATCCGTCCAGTTTTCAATTTTAAGTCCATCTTATTATTTTTTTAGCATGCATTTAAATTACAACATAACCTTTATCTAGCAAATGTGTAGTTTTTCTGGAAATACCTGTAAGACATACTTGAAAGACTCTCACCAACTCTTCTTTAATCGCAAAAGATGCCTGTTGTAATTAAAATTTCTCTCAGTATGTCAAACTACTTCAATGGAACAATCATAAGGTTGGGGTCACAAAAAGACAAGAGAAGATGCAGTGTTCAATTTAACTTTTTATTTCAGTTTGTCAAATTGTTTCACAATAAAAGCCCTGAATTTTAATATCATAATATGTAAGTTATTTGCTTACAATCTGCATATATCATAGCATATAGCAAACGTGCAAGAGCAAAGGCTGGTAAGATGGCTAATAAAGCTTTGGTTCATTCTCCCTAAAAATTATTATAAAAATTCAACTTTAGAACCGACTAGAACATAATAAACCAAAAAAGACCAGATTATAGTATTTCAGATTGACAGAAATAGGATGAGATTATTTTGCTCTAGTTTCTTTAGCACCTCAACTCAGTTGTACAAAACTTGGGTTTTCAAACTACTAAATCTTGTAATAACACTCAATGAAGTCAAGAAGTCCACTGTACACTACTAAGTCAACACATCCTGCCCAGTCAAAATATACAAATTGGTCATGTCTAATACCAGGTCACTACTATATAAATATTAATAAATATGATGATGTCATCTTAACTTACTATTAAAAAAATCTAAAGAAAATTTTGATTCATATAGGTAAATAAAAGCTGTTACTAGCTAAAGCATGCAAAAAAGCATCAGTTTTTTTTATTAATATAACCATATAATTTGACATATTTTCAAGCAAATTTGGGTAATAATATCAACAAGTCCAGCACTGCTCAACAGAGAAAAAAGTATACAAAAATAATTTGATATATCTTCTTTTCAAAAAAAAAAAGAAAAAAAAAAAAAAAAAAAAACAGTTCTACATCATGTTCATGGCTGTCTCTTGATGCCAGATTCCAGTTTATAATGATTTATTTATTGCTAAAGCATTTAATGACACCTGCAAAATCACCCAATTCCCTAATCTAATTGATAAATTGTCATTTAACAAGTGTTTTAAATTGTAAAAAATGCTGCAACCATATGTACTGTGGTAAAAATGCTGTTGTTTTCTCAACCTTATTGATTGAGGATAGAAACTTGCATATTTTTGTAACCTTATGGATATGAACACAAATGATTCTTTTGGTCGATTAACAAGTTCCAAAAAACACCACTTTAACTATTATATCCTGAGAATAAAACAGTGACAGGAAAAACAATCATATTAATTTTTAAATGTCCATACATAACAATAAAGTGATTTTTGTTTAAAAAAAAAATCTAAATGCAATACACATCTCAAACTCTTCCACTGGTGTCATCAAGATCATCTTCTGTCTCACTATCAAGAAGACTCTTGTCAGAATTCCCAGTTTTCAAACCTCGATACTCCCCCTTAGCAGCATCTACCCCATTGGCTTTCCTATTCCTCCAAAACAAATACCCATTACTGTATGCTTGGAAAAGGAAAAATATCAACAAAAACAGAACAATAGACGACACACAGAACAGTATAGCAATTGCAACCATCCATATGACTTTTGGTTCTATGTAAGACATGGGTCTCTCCCTCAGAGGCACACAAGCTCCCTTACTTTGGATATAGTTCTTATGGCAAGTAAGACACTGTTGAGGAGTGGGTCCCGAACACGTCTGGCATGACACATTGCACACTTTACACACTAGTTGGAGAGTACCGTTAGTGTTGTTTCTGGTAGAGGTGCTTGGGTAGTAACCCCCAGGGCAAGTCTCCAGGCAGTCTGAGCCCAAGGCATACATGCCATCTGTACAACCTGCAATGAAAAACAAACACATAAAAATAGGTTTACTTACTTAATAAAGAGACAATATTTGTATTTCAAAAATTACATTTACTTGCAAAATAAAAAAGATCTTGACATTCAAAGTACTTAATTTATTTTATTGATGATCTAAAACTAAAGCATTCTCAATGGCATTACTTTTGCGGAAACACTGTTACGACAAACTAAGTGAGAAAAACTGCAAAGCTGTTGCTCGAGGATGATGAGGATGAAATGACAGACAGAAGGTACAGAGCAGGCAAGCAAACTGGCTAAATCACAACATATCTCACATTCAGTCAGAATTTGAAAAAGACATCATTTCCATTGCTGTTAAGCCGAAAGCCTCCAACCCAAGAAATAAATCCCAGCCTCTTTACAGGTGCAGAACCATACCAACCCATTACTACACAGGTTGCTTTCCAGTAGTTTTCTGTGTGAATACAGCTAGAAAGAACTATTATTTTTGCATGAGGATTCAGTCTGTTGTTACTGCTGTGGTTGTCATTCACAAAGTTGAAACACTTAACTTTTATCTGAAGTGAACCAAACTTGCACTTTCAAATTTCTAAATGCTATTTTTCATGTCTTACTATCAAAATATTTTTGAAAAATATCATCAACTTTGGTCTGATTTTGTGAGCAAAACTACACAACAACCTGCCCATGTAAATGGCTCATGAAGATAAGTTGAAGCCCACTACAAGAGGTTAAATTGTAATTTAAAATGAAGATTCAACCTGTTCACTACAAAAGTGCACAGTAATACCAGAATTTTTTTCACAGAGCTCTTAGAAGCATTATATTATATTCCTCAGCCCATTAACTATTGGCAAGATGTTAACCATGTTTTTTAATGGCATGTTAGTAGAAAATATATCAATACACCAAAATTTAGTGTTCACCAGGCTAAAAGGCCATAGCAACAAAAAGACGGAATGCTTGTTCAATCAGAAAAGTCCCTAGTGTGGTATAAAATGTGCAGGGTATAACACATATGGCACTCAGACGTGACAGTGCAAGTGAAGTTGCATTTACATCAAGTTAAACACAGACATTTTCTGGGTTTTAACATGACAAACTGATTAACAGATGAGAAAATTAGCCATTTTAAAACCCAGAACAGGTTCATGTTAGATGTGATGTAAATTGTGCTCATTGCTTAGATATCGTACTGTTTCATCAACCATAGTGCACTGTCCTTACCCAGCTGTAAAACTATGCAATGCAATGCAACTATATGTACACTCTCAGCTTAAAGAAAAACAAAATAACAGCAGCAACAGTATGTCTCTTTTCTCTGACCTAATGCATGCAAAATGCCATCAACTACATAACATGCACACACTACAGGGTGATTCCATAATTTATTGTACTTTTTTTTCAATTATACTTTTGAGTTTCTTAGTAAGAAAAAATAACACAATATTACTTCATTAATAAACAAACTATGTTCAAAGCTAATCTCCATCTAAAACAGATTGGGTGGTATATTGTTATGTTGGTTTAAGCAATCTAAATAACACACATTTCACAATACATTCATGGTTAAAAAATAATGAAGTTCACTTAAATAAAAAATCAAATTAGTTAGGGACACAATAAACAAATAGCAAACTTTCTTAAGTACAAATGAATAAAGATGCGTGCTCAGAAAATTGATCTTGAGGTGTTGTATGGCATTTTAATCATCTATAGATATAGATCGGAAAACAGATGTGTCCATGCAACATGCACTCAGGGTATATAACAGTTGATCCTTAAATTTTAAACACTCAAAAAATTCTAAATCATATATTTCAACACCATCTGAATAATCCATGCACCAAGAAAACTGACTGCAGTTAAATTAAAAGTTAATTTCATGTTTTGACAGCAGCAGCAACAGGAAGTTGCACATAAATATGAAACTTAAAGCAATAAGATGTAAGGATGTAGTTTTGCATCTTGGTAAATTGATCCTATTGGCTTTCAGTTGGCTACAGGTACAATATGTGAATACAAAATACCACTGGTTTATCTTAATCCATCAGTCATCAAAACTAAGTTAATCTAACAACAAAATGTAAGCAATGTCCAGGCATGTCATTAGTAATATTCTAAGTAAGGTCCAACAGCAATCAATACAAGATCAATACAAATAGATACTTTGATAGGTGTTGCTGCACCATCAAATGACATGCCTGAAAATCAAACAATAAACAAATGAAGACTACAAGTTTACATAAATAAGCCTTGGTTACATAATTATAACACCTGTGGCATATCATGCGTGTACACAAGTACCATGCTGGATAACACAGCTCAACTTCATTTTAAAAGGTGAAAAGGCCCAAAATCACAGACAAGCATGCCTGGAAATAGGACATATTCCAACACATGCAGATAGTTAATGAAAAAGTTGCTTGGAATAAACAATTAGTTGTAATTTCTCAACTCTGCAGCCATGGTCTTTAACTCAGATCTACCACAATAACTGAACAAACAATTGGTTTGTTAGTGTTGATACATACACTCACCCTGGATACTTGAAGAGCTGAAACTAATAAGACTTGCTTCTGTTTGTCCATCACATTGAAATTTTGGACAAGGTAATTTTGTGATGAACCCAGTATTTATCATCATTATATTAACATTGAATGGATAGGTATTCATTTGAATCCCCCCCCCCCTTTTTTTCCTAAAACATTGCTTTTTTTCAAGAATAACAGTAAAGTAATCTTATTAATGTTTCCTTAAATTAATGCTCAAAGACACTCAGATGGCTATTTCTTTGCCTTGGTTGACCAAATCTCAAGATTTTTTTAAATATTTGATACCTCGTTTTTCCAATTTTGTTTCAATAAGCATTTATGTTTTACAATTTGGAAATGAACTGAAATGATGACATTAACATTAAAGGTATCAAAAAGTATTCAGATAGTTTTTTCTTTTCATCAAAATCTTCAATTTGCCAAAACAACAATTATCTTTTCTCTCTTTTTTCTTTAAAATACTGCTCCTCATTTGATTTTTTTTTCTGCAAAGACCTTCCAATATATATAACTCAACATAATAGCTGACTTATAAATACCTATAATTCAGATATTCACTTCTTTTGTACAAATCACCATTTCCAACCTATGGATTCATAGCGATTTCACTGTATATGTACACCAACACAGTATGTACAATCAGAAATTAGTTATCACATTAACTTGTGATGCTTACATCATTAATACATCAACATACAATCTATACCACATAAGTAAATATTTGTTTACACAAACAAAAGACAATACACTGAATAAATATATTATACAAGTATCTCTTTTCAAATTCTGTTCTACACCACAGATGACCAAATGTGATTTCAAAATTCATTTACTTAATTACACTGTAATTTCAAATAGCTTATTTGCACTTAGAGAATGTCTTCCATAATGAAAGAACTGGTATACCACACCAAGGGATGTAAAGGTGGAAAGAAATGCACTATTAAGAAGTAAAGGGTAGCTGATGAAAAAGAGACTTCAGTTTCTTGTCAAATTCCTTCAATCATAAATATCAGTTAATTACTTGGTATATACACCTGCTGCCAATTGTAAAATATGAATATAACCTTGCAATTTTACAGGATAAGATTAATTTGATTGTCTTCAAGTTTAACCAAAGTAAAGAAAACATCACAAACAAGAAAAAATGCATTACCTGAATGAATAAGCAGTGATTAAACTGATGAAATAATTTATCTAGAAAATTGGCATCCGCTGACAGTTGCTACTAATGAAAATTGTATGATAATATAGGCAATCAGTTGTACATGTTAAATGTTTTCTTTTTTAGGATACCCACTGAGCAGCCAAGACCACACATGTTCAATCTAATAGGACAAGCACATAGTTAATTGGATATTAGAGAATTCCACACAACCTTAACTTGGTTAATGAACTGAGGTCTGCCTATACAACATAAGGAAATTTTCTTAGAGTATGAAAACATTTCTAAATCACAAAAAATTCCCCAGCAGATATCGATAGAGATTACTAGTTCTCTACAACTAACAAGCATGGCAAAAATTTAGTGCTCTCTATCATTTGACATCAATGAATATGTTATATATCTGTCACATTAAAGAAAACTGACAGCATTTAAAATACAATATTTTATACTCTCCTAATGCAAGGTTAATGCATTCAATGTATTGGCTTTGAAAATTGTTCACATTGTTGCACATGTATGGTAGAATAACATGGCAAAGACATTTGAATAGCTCGTTTCTCATTCATTTGACCAAACTTATTGATGTGTATACAAAGCAAGCCATGCACTCACTGGGTTGTAACATAATTCAAAATGATTTGATCTGGTAAGTATATAGTATCTCTTCTGTGCCAAACTTTGAATAAATCCTCAATATGAGAAATATAAATGTACAAAAATAGTCTGAATGATATCATATAAATAATGAGGAATAACTAAAACACATAATTTATGAAAACAAAAGAGTTGTATTCATATAGCTAATAAATAACACATATACTATATTTAACTGAGGTCATTTTGTTTCATTATGGGGAAAATAAAGGTTTAACAAGCAAGAGAAATGCAAAATGAATGAAGAGAATTTATATTAAAAACAGTAGTGCCAATGCATTAAGATAATTCATTTTTCCCTTTTCTTGTTATCCTAAATCACATTCCTTGACAACACAATATAACTGCCAAATCCAAACAAAACAATCATAGTTGCATAGTAAAAATTATGCAGTTCATTATGAAAAAGATTAAAACCATGATTTTATCATAATTGTCAAGTAAGTAATCAGTGTCATTATAAGGCAAAGGGCAAAAAGTGTACTTAAATAAGAGATCGTAATTTAAGCATTTGCACAATAATTTGAAATTTTGGCACATTTTCCACATTTCAGATTGCACAGAAAATATATGGATGATTTAACAACAACCTACACAATACATATTCACACTGTTGTGAGAAAATATACATGGTAGCATCTCTATTTCTTCTGATTTATTACAAGAAACAGCCTGGACTTTCCTTCTTCTTTCCTGCCATTTTCTTTTAACTCGTGGCAATGTTCTGTGTGGAGTGATGCTGAAGCTAAGAAATGTTAGTTCAACCACCACCCACCAAAGAAAATAGTTAGTGTCACCCACTCACCAAAGCAAGTACAGTGGTAGAGAGAAGTCCTCTAGCAGTGCAAGTCACATGAGACACGAGACAAAAATGAAGAATATGAACACTTCAGTAGGTGGCTCTCCCTTCTGACAAAACATGGAATGTGACATGGTGCCCAGCTTCTGTATTTTCATCTTTTTTTCTCCATTTTTCACTTTGACCACTGTCATACAAACAGTGAAATAGAGACAGTCCCAAGCAATAGAGCAAGACAGGCAGAATTAGCAACTGTACTGCGTGAGTACATAAAACTAGGGAGGATTTGCCCACCTGATGACTTCTGGGAATCATTGTAGTTGCTCAGAGGATGCTGTGAGGTTCCATGAAGCACCAATGTGAAACCCTTCAACTCCGCCGCTGTAAACATAAAAAAGAAGTAAGTTTTTGAGCTCAATTTCAAAATTGACATTAATATCCAATTTTTACTGACTACTTAACTAATATTACCCTTAATGTGAATGGATATCGTATAAAACTTATAATAAATGGCTACAAAAAATGTAAAAATCAGAAACGTGTAATTTATATGTACATAAATTGATTTTTTTACCACACTTTCAATACAAATGTAAGTTAACTTTCTTTTAAGTGCAATCAATTGGTTAATGCAATCATTCCTATATAGCTTCATATATATATATATATGTACAGTGAGGAAGAAAAGCCAGCAAATGAACTGAAAAAAGAAAAAAATCAAGACTTAATAAAAGACACAAAGGGATATAAAACAATAAGGATAAATATGAACAACAATAATAATGCATAATGTGGTGTGTTCATTAATTGTGCATAATTAAAACCATGCATTAAAGTTACTACAAGCTGGTTCTACAGTACTTCATGACAAACTAATGCCTAACATTGTTTTGTTATCTCTTGTCAGGGCCTATTGCAGCCAATCATGATATTCTGCCCTTGCTAAGCATTTTTATACCAGGGCACATTATCAGCTGTTATAAGAACTGCTCTGCTAAGTTCTTTTTTTTTTCTAGAAAGCATACTTTGCAACTATTTAAAGACAAAATCTGTAGTCTATTGTTATCCACAGCAAATTACACCCCTTGATGGCACTCCTGTGCCTGAGATGATAGACTTTCAATCAGTTTTTAAATTAACTAAATCCATCCATGCAGCATTCAAATCCGTAAACAAATAAAGCAATGTGACATGCAGACAGTTTTGAGTGCACAACAAAACAACACCATCAAGACACAGAACACAGAAACGACACCAAGAATAGAAAGTATATATATATTGCCTTGCCTGTAGTCATAAAACTAGTGGTAGGAGTTGTGGAAATATGTGCTGGATAGCGATTCATGTAAGGTGGATCTTGTTCGTTTCTTGGGACATTAGGCTTATTGTAATTAGGCTTATCAGTCTTACTTGTGACCCTCAGGGGGTACTGATAGAAATGAGTGGTGGTAGTAGCAGTAGTGGGCTCAGTTGTTGTCTTTGTTGGCCATCGTATCTTTGTTTTCGTAGGAACAGGCGAGGTGGTTTTAAGGGGGGTGGTGGTTTTGGGGGAAGGTGTAGGTGGTGCGAGTGGGTCTGTTTCTGTTCCATACAAAACTAGAGTCCAGTCATGTAGGCGTGCTCGGCGGACTGCAAGCAAAAATGGAAGTCATTTGACATCTCACCATACAAACAATCATACATCTGAAACAATATCTGCCTTGAGACAGACAACAAATATATATATATAAATATATAAATATATCAACAGACAATACTATGACCTTACTTTCTCTCTGATAACACACAATAATATTTTCTTTTGTATATTAGTTTATGGCTGGAGCGAAATAAACAATCCCAATACCAGATTCACTGTTACTGCTATAAAATGTAGAAACTAACAGAAAACAAAAACCTTGTATAGAGCTCGAGTTAGCCTTTTATGACCTGAATTAAATCACTGATTTTATTTTACCTTTAAGCCCTGGCACCTATTTTAGTACTTAAAATAAAGTTCTCATATCAGACAGAAGAAATGTTTACGGAGATCAACACTATAGGATCACATGAGTGCAAGGGATAATGAAAGCTGCCAAATTACACTAAATAAGACTGGTATAATATAGTCACTGGCACTGATGACCTACAGGCTAAGAAGTAGAGTGCAATGTTAGTTTGGAGCAGTCACTACAATAAATATGCAGATTAAATCAGCTAGCGTGCATTCCTGTGTTCTCATGGGTAACTTCTTACTATAGGGATTGAACTTGGAGAACAAATGCTCTTCCCCTGACTCCCCCCTCCCCCCCAAACAGCCTGAGCAGAATTTCCAAATTGTTTGTTCTAACATTTACCCTAATTTACCAATTACAATTATGTCTGTAAAATTACAAACATGTACAAATATATCTGACACTTAACAGCTTTGCATCATTTGAGAAGTAACCAACAAAAAAGATGTATATAGACAATTACAAAAATACAGTGTTTCTATTATTCCTCTCATCAGACAACTTACATAGTTATTAATTGAATAGGATTCTCAACACCGATATTTCCACAAAAAACTGAAAATATCTACAGAAATATTACATCTTAGAAAGGGAATCAGTGGAAGTCAATCCCAAGTAAGAAGAAATTGCATCAGTAATTGTTGATTAGGAAAATACTGCAAGGTCAACTGAGACCAAGACCTGGTAAAGTCAGATAAATTAAGCTGACTAGTTCTGTGATTTGTTCACATTTGGAAAAAAAAGGGGGGGGGGAAGTAAATAGTTAACCCAACCTTAACAAAGAGCAAGTATCAAAAGTACCACTTACGCATAGCATCACTATTTTCTACTTCCAGTGTCCACTTTCCCTCTGCATTCTCCCCCCAGTTATGTGTGGTCATAAAGGCCCAGTCTCCAAACCCATCCTTTGAGGTATCCCGGGCTCTTTTGGCTAAAAGTGTAGATCTGGTGCCTGATGGAGATGTGAGGAAAATCTGAATGGCACCTCTGTGCTCTGAGGACAGTGTGATCTTGGCCTGAACATGTTCAAGGTAACGCACGTGGTGAGCAGTGCCAAAACATGCATCTGTTCGAATTGACACGGTTATCGTGTTTCTTGCAGTAATTGCCCTGGAAGAAAAGGATAATCATATCTATTCATTGGTTAAGTAAAAACATCGATAAAAGATGCTACTTTTTAGGCTCAATTTGCTATATTATATTGCAGCTTTGGCTAATGTGAAGCTTCCTGGCAGAGAACACTCATTTAGAAATTTCAACACCTCTTTATGGCTCCCATGGTATGCTTTTAATGTAGTTTGAGAACTAGCCACTGTAAACTGATGATCTTGGATGTCTTTCTCAAGAAAAACTGGAACCTGAATGATGCCCCATTCAATGATTTTCCTTCTTTCTGTAATCAATGAAATGGGCTGTAGATCATGTTACAGTGACAGCATTTTCTCTCTCTTTATATTTTTTGCATAATATGTGCTTTTGCATGAATGGATTGCTCTCTTCAGGAGTAATTTTATCATCAAAAGTGTATTACCTTCAATGGTAACAAATTGAAAAAGTACAATATACTTTAGTGGCTTTTATAGAGAAACAAGCATTTCAGATTTTTAATTTTTTTTTCCTTATAAGATCAGTGTTGCTACTAGCTAAAGGCCATTTAACAAGCAATGGAGCAGCAGGGATTTCATATCATTTATCATCAAGAATGAAAAGATAATGAGAATCACTCTTGGACTTCACAGTAGTGTAATTCAATTGTCTCAGGGGACAAAACATAATTTTTATGAGGAACCAATTACCTCTTACACTACAAGTAATCATACCACAGAGACACACTAGATGAGCATTTTGCACCTTTCTGGTACTTCACACCTTTGCTCCATTTGAGATGTATTTGTCATCCAAGAACAGGGTAAGCTTTAGTCAGAATAACAGCTATCCCTGAGTATGTCCTACTAAAAAAATTCTTGTAATAATGATCATAACTGACACAGCACTTAAACTTATAAGATGCCATTCCAATATTCTTAACCAAATATCATTGACACACCAGGCAGGAGTCAAGGACAAGATATATATTTTTACACTTTGTTGCACAGATGTGGTGTGTATGTGTGAGTGTGTGTGTGTGTGTGTCAGGGATGATTCATGGCAAACATCCACTAAATGAGCAACCTAATTGCAACTACCAATACACTCATCAATTACCATAATTATAATGTATTTACACATTGACAAGAAAACTGGCATCATTTCAGAAGGTTTTCAATGACAGATATTGCCAATTTTTGACAAATTCATCAATAGTAATTATCATAATGAAATTACAGAATTGTCAAGATGAGTTAGATATTAAAGTCAAATTACCAACTTTGCAAATTAGAGCCCTGAATCATGAGCATGTAGCCTAGAATGCTTGGTAACCCTCACCTGTTACTCTTGGGGACAGGGATTTCACAGATGAGCTGTTTTGGCACTGAGGTCCAGTTCTTAGCCATGGAGGCCATTGCACTTGCATCCATTAAACCATAACCAAAGGAATGACTAACTGGAAAAGTCAAAGAAATCAACCTGTTAAACATGGTCACTCAATCAGCTAAATGTTTGTAATCATATCAAGAAAATATCAAGAATAATTTATCAAGGAGCAATAATTGTGTTTACATTTAAATTTCCTTTAGATTTTGATTTAAGTTTTTGTAATATGCATGAATCTGGACAAATATTACTCTAAAAAAATCAAAACACTGTATGTTTTCATCAGATATACAGTTTGCTGATTGAGGACTTGATGAAGAAACTGACATGCAAATTCTCTGATGACAGGCTGGTAATTTTCTTGGGCAATGGATCAGAAGATTGCATGCTGCTGGATTGATCACAAAGTTAGAGCAGTGCTTTTACAGGCTGAAGAACATCATATAACAATCTAACAGCTTTTCTTTAAAAAATCATTTATCAAAATTGAAGTGGGGGACATATTGATCGATGGTCCTCAATTTTGTGAGACAGATACAGAAGTGCATTTACATGCTGTAGAACATTACATAACAACCTAACAGCCTTTTTAAGCACAAACTTTTTCATCCGCTGATGTAGGGAACATATTGATCAAAAGTTCCCATCTTTATTAACTCTGGTAAGAAAGCTTGCCCTTCTTGTGGTGAATCACTCCAATTATTTTCATCATCAGATATTGAAACCTGTTGGCATTTTCAATTATAAACTGAATGAAATTCTCATCAGAGATGGAAAAGACCAATCACAAAGATAGCAAATAAATTTCAATGCTTGCACTATAGTTTGCATTAACCTAAAGCATTCATAATGCCTCTGACACAACTTTGTGGGATTTTTTCTCAATTTGCTGAAATTTACTGGGCAGCAAATGCAAATGAAATCTGTGGAGTGCTTGATATATAAATAAGACAAAAATGTTTATATATCACTAAAAGTCCAAGATTTTGACGCGTTTTGTTAAAAAATTGCTTGCAAAAGTGGTTAGCCTAAAAATTCATAACATTCATCTAATATAAAATGTTGTCAAATGTGAAAGACATGGAAGACATTGTGGAATTGTAGACATCCTACCTTTTCTTCCCACCCCATTGGTGGTCCAGTCCCCTGCTCGTAATTTGTGGGGTTTGGCCGTCATCACAACAATATGCTGTAAATCTCTCCAAGACAGATTGGGGCTGCAAAGATCAATACATGTTCATTATGAAAGGGATAGAAGAAAAAACAAAATTCCTAAAGCTAGGAGAAAGGGTTCATGCGAACATCTATACAGTAATCAATGGAAAATGTACTCCCATGGGCACACGATAAGAAAAGGAGTAATCAAAATTTCATACCAAGGCACTAGTAGTTTTGATTCTCAGTTGATATCAGGACCCTGGAGTCAATAAATGCTAATCAAACTGGGGTCCCTGCACTGATGAAGCAATTCATAGGCATTGAAGCCTGCTAACTTGGCTTGATAACGTCTAGGAGATTGATTAAAGGAAAAAAATGATACCCCAATTATAAAATGGTCACTTTTGTACTTTGGTTAAGAAAAAAGATTTTTTTGGTAGCGATGCCTTCATTGATACTTTGGTTCACACAAATGGTTAATCACTTAAGTAAAATTCAAACAAAAAAGAAAAAAAAAAACGTTACTTATACTGTATCATATCTATAAAGGCAAAAATGTAAACAATTAACTGATACAATTGATCAACTGTTAAATATTAAACATCTAAATTTTTTAGCTGCACCTTTAGGCTTACAGGACAAGAGAATATGTTTTCCTTCATGAAGGAAGGAGTAAATAATTATCTTAGTGTCACAAAGCCATTTGTTCATAAACACAATTCAAAGGGACTCAGAATTCCAATTTGAACACGTTTTTAAATGAAAAACAAGCTTCCCGTAACCACAGATTAACCAGATTACAAACAAACAATGTTGTTTCTCTGTATACTGAAATTTATGTGTCTGTGTGAACAGTCCATCTATCAATGTGCACAGTCTTCTGTCTTTTAAAATCACATGGTTTGTCAACTTCATCCATCAGCAACCCCAGGTTCACCTTTTTCCAATTTTCTTATTACATGATATGGCAATTCATTACAGACCACAATCTATACCAAAGTGAAATCAAAACCAACTTTTCATCATATAGATTTTCCTTTTGCACTGAAACTAAAACTTTCATTAATTTCATTTCAGCAAATATATTAACCTGAGGAGTGAAAAGAGTAGGAACCGACATTATACTGATCTTTTTTTTGTCTTCTTTCTGATCAGGATCTAAGGATGGAAAAAAAGGATGTCTTTGCTTGTGGAGCTAAACTATTTATTCCAACAGTCAAACCTAAACTACATCAACCCTCTCTTACTTTGCTTGTAAGGCTAAAGCACATATCCCAGCTGCTAGTGGGGCACTGGCTGAGGTTCCAGTATGAGACTCAGTGCAAGCTTTTCTCAGGTCTGTGGTCACCTGAAATAATAAACATTTCATTTTCATCAGCCTCGTGCTTACTAATGGGTTTACATCCAATCACTTAGACTAGGTGTTTTTTTTTTACAAAAGTGGTAAGCCTTCAAAAATATCCATAATATTCATCTAACCTGAAATGTCAAATACGTAAGACATGGAAGACATTGTGAAATTGCAGACGAAGAAGACGAATATAGTTATGACACAGTAAGGTACCAAATGTCACCTTTTCTTCTTTTTTAATAATCAAATTAATAAAGATCACCTGCTACCTGATAGCTACATGAAGTGAGCTAACATATTTGCTTAATGCACACATCAGGCATATAACTGTGGAGCTATGCCACCCTAAACCTTTCAGATGCCTTTCAAATGGCAGTGCACCATTTCTGTAAATGCATTGCTAATGTTCCACTTTGTAAATAGAAAGCATTTAACATGAAGGCCATGAAGTTATAAGTGTCCCTAATTGTACCATTACTAACTATTAGTACTCCCAATCAACTTACTATTTGTCTCTCATTTCCTGAGCCACTGCTGTAAGTGGTGGCTAGAGTGGAGGAGCAGGCCTCTGAATACCATGGAATGTTCCCTGATTCAGTTGTACTACTAATGGACAGTGTGTAGATACTGTTGGTATACCCATCACAGTTACAGCTATCATCATCACGGCCACCATTCCCTGATGCCCACACAAAGATAGAACCCAGACCTTGGCGACCCTAAAACAATTCACAAAAATAGACATGCAGTAGCCAAAACAGTCAGAGATTCCATTTCCTCATATGAATAAATGCCACTACTAACAACATAATCAAGTTCTGCTATTATTGCTATGCAACAAATGGAACATTAGTGTTTTTACTGCATTTCAAAATAGAAAATATTTTTTCATATTTAAGTACAGCTGTAGATGTAGTGAATGAGAATATTTATTTCACAAGTAAAAGCATGACCTACTATTTCCAGTATTGTGAACTGGTTTATGAGGGATTTTCAAAATTATCTCCATGTACAATGCCTTAAACATACACTTAAAGGCTTTGGTACTGAACTTAATCATGAACCAAAGAATATTTTGATGGTTCATTTACGCTGCAAGATTGTCAGATGATTATGATAGCAAGATGATTAACTTTTCAATAAACAACCAAACCATGTCAAGCTCTGTTGTTAAAATGAGAATATGAGCTGGAACTTGTTGCAAACGTGATATTCTCTGCTTTAACTTTATAACACATTGACAGCTCTGAAAGCCTTTCTGTCATCAATGAAAGTGCTTTTACAGAGTAACATATTTTAATAATTTTATAGTTGGCTACACACTTATTAGATTCAATTCCATTATCACAGTGGACTATCATAACGCTTTCCTTATTTTCAAACAGTTGTGACAAAAGTATTCTTTGGAGTATTAAAAAAAAAACACCAAAAAATATTATAATTTAGATTTTATGTCCTTTAAAAAAAAGGAATTGGTAAACCTGAGTGAAATTTTTAAAGTGCATCATCTCATTTGGGAGACACACAACAACAAAAGGCACAAATAAGGGCCCACTGAAGATCTTTTTAAAAGAATCAGTGAAATCAAGCAAAGCATTTTTATTCAATAATGTAAGTTCATCATCCTCACTTTGGAGACCCCATCTTTAAAAGCTTTTTTGGCTAGTGTTGCTGGCCCATCCACTGTCCTTCCATCATCATCAGGCCCCCAGCTAGCACTGTAAATATCTATGTGGTCTCGACGGAGACTGAGAGATGTTGCTTCTACGGCATCTGTCACATCTCCATCTAACATACGAACACCTGAAACCAAATAAAAATGATAATAAAATTGTCAATACTTTCAAAGAAAATTCAGAGTTTTTTTGGATATATTGTATTCAGTTTTTAACCATCACCTCAAGGATATTTTGAAACTGATGACAAAGTTTTTGTTTCAAACATGAAAAAAGACATGATAAAAATTTATTTCAGCAACTTAAAAAGAAAAAAAAAAAAAAATCTGCTGCCAGGAGAAGAAAAAAAATCAATGTCTGATCAATGTTACTTCAAATCTAGAATTAAGCTTTATCTTAATTGCCATCTAATGCCAACAAAATTCAACTGGTATTTCCTATAATGAATGAATGGTTTATCCTATACTGAATGAATGAATCTTGACGTAAGATATAATTGTCTTCTGGTAAAAATACCACACACAACTGGCAAGGCACCTCATTTGATTTATATTCCCACTTTATATTGAAATTTCTTGTTTACTTTATTTTCCTTTCCACAAAACTAGGTACTAATTTTTAAGAAGAGTAACATAAAAAAAAAACAAAAAAAAAACATACACACTCCAAAGTTTCATGACAATATCAATCAGAGGTTGAGATTTTTTCTGCATGATTGTGAAAAATGTTCCCGATTTTTTAAAATGAAACTTAATTGGGGCACTGTCTAAATACAGACATTTCTATTCTGACATCCTGTAATATCATTGTACCTCCTATATTTGCATCATAAGCAATGCCAACACTGCACACATTGTTATTAGACGAGGCAGCTACTTCTCCAGCACAGCGCGTCCCATGTCTGAAATGAAATCAACAGTTGAAGTTAACAGGAAATCTATGTACTCACAAAATACTTACAATTTCACTGTAAGTAAAAACATATCAATAGAGATAACTTCTTTGAACCAATTAATGTAAATCTGTGGATCACTTTATCATATCTGATACTTGATGGGATACCTAATTTCAAAATCCAAGAGCAAACTGCAGTACAGACAAAAACTTCATCTTATCCATTGAGTTCAAGACCCACAACCAGGACACCTGTGTACTTAAATTGAAGGGTTTGGCATGTTTCCTTATCCAGGCCAGTGTTAATTCATTACAACTCTTTTTTAGTCACACCATGCAATGCATGACATATTGCCCTTTGGTTTAAAAGTGGTTTGATGTTACCTGAAAATCTGGCAACAGCAGTGAAGTAGTACATCAATTGGTATATTGCAAGGGTGTTAAGGAGCAGCATCTATCAACAGGACATTTTTCTCTTGAAATGCTTACAGCTTAGTTATAAACGATGACTTAAAATTTATAAATTACATAATATCTTATTATTGCCTTTCCTAGTTTTGTAGCTAAATAGTATTTGAAAGCCAAAGCAACAGGATTCCTCTGTCGATCTTACATTCAGTCTTATTATTTGATTGATTTTCAATGCAGCTAATACTGCTGGTAGATAATTCCTTAAGTTGTAGCCTTCTACAACTTACATCCATATATATAGATCTTTGGCCAAATTCCTTAACCTCGCTTTTGACAAAAGAAATTGTGCTACATCTTCCACTTTGTGTTGTCTATGATTATAAATAATTACTATACATATGAAGGTTTGTTTCACATAGTAGAATATAGTCATGTATACAATACTTGTAGTGTCATGCTAGCATATGATCAGTGCTGTGAGCAGTTGACTCGGCATTAAGACCGCACCTAGCTTATGATTATGAAATACTGAACTTGAATGTATAATAATGGTACATTTCTATATATGTAACCTTGGTGCTATTTATCTACGTATTTTATTATTATCATTACTATTGTTGCTATTAAGCATAAACTTGCAAAAGGATGTAACTGTAACCTTTTTATTCAAGTGCCCAATTTTCCCAGCTAAAAATCAAAAACTTTTCCAACTTTAATCTTTTTTTGGAGATGGCAGAAAAAGTCTGACATTACACCAGATGCTCAGATCACAGTACGCTTATCACTGTAGGAAATACATGACTGCATGGCCTGCTAAATGAGAATTTACCACTCACCCGGACAGATTCACACTTGCTATCTGTCATAATAAAGCTAAGAAACCCTTGATTTGTGAGATAGTTAACGGGTTTCATACATTTCCACTAGAAAATCACTAAATGCTGAAACACTGAAAGGATTTACTGACACATCCCTAAATGCCATTACCATTGTAGGGAAGCATTACTGCAGGACTAATGAGCTTGGGGATGACTTGCCACAGCTTGTATATCACACTGTATTTTACTTTAGTTCAACAAGTACAGCCTTGATAAAACCTTAAAATGAAAAAAGTATTCAACAATAATACTCTGTTCAGATGAATGTAAATAAGAATAATGAATACAACTGATCATCAAAGGACCAGAGGGTAGAGATCCTTTTCATCCTTTTTTCAACACTCCTTCAACTTGTAAAACAGGATGGTGTTTCAGGTTTAGAACTGAACATAAGGTGTCTCTGTATTTTTCAAATCTGCCCCAATACTGGCATGGGCCAAATGTAGCCAAAGCACTGAAATTACTTGGCTTAATTCCACAGGGAAAGAACTAGTTATTTTCTTTCGTCAATGAAAGCTGCAATGTTAGAAAAATTAATTATGGATATTCAATAGAATTGTGGCGTCAATTAAGCTTATCCAGAACTATAGCTGTTACATAGTGTCTGGCCAGCTGCTGATAAGGACTGCATTTCTCTTTGGTAATTGTATTGAGGAACTGAAATCTCTTTTCTAATGCTAATGACCTGAAACCTTTTTCCCTTTCAAATTACATTACAGTACTTAACTGATTTTCTCTTCCCACCTCCACCCCCATTATACTGACATAATGAGATGCTGATTGTCTTTTTCCAGCCTCCCTTTCTATTACTTTCCATCAAACTAAATCAAACTGCTTCATCAACTTCATTCATTCACTTTGTCAATGAGTACGAGCATAGTAAATATGCATATGTAGTACACCTGTCAAACAGAAGCTGTCATACTATCAGCAAATCTCAGAAATCCCAGATAAACCTCGTAGTTACATAACAGTGGCAGTGATGGAGCTGATAGCACTTGGAATTTAGGGGTTAAGTGATTGACTTCTTGAACCACACAGCTCAAGCATTGCTGTTCTTTCTACTTTGTTAGCCTGCTGGTGGCTGGCTTGGAGTCCGTCCAAAGCGGCAGTGAGGTAAACATGCGCTTTCACACATGAAAATGTATAACTGGAAAACAAGCTGAAGATCAATAAGGACTTGGACTGGATTCCAACAAACATCCATTGCCTTATCTGTCTGTGTCCACATGTATCCACTACTGGTATTAGTATCAACTAAGCAGTATACTTCAAAGTATAAAAAAAAACCTTTCCTGTAAAAGTTCAGTTATCCACAAACACACATGGCCTCTTTGCTGCTCTAATAAAATAAATTTTCATGTCATTACAAACTGGGTTTTAAGGAAAAAACTATTTATATTAAAAATAATAATAATAATACATAAATAAAAAGTAAATAACAATTTTGGGCTAAAAACTGTTTCATAACTTGCAAACAGGAATAGCAAAAAAGTACTTTGAACTCCTTTTCTTTTGTGATTTACAAGTTATCTTTTGTGTTGCAGAGGAAGTCTACAATGATATCATTCAAAGCTCCTGTGGAGTATCCATGTAACTGTTCTTAGCAGTTAAATGTTACCTTCAAAATACTTTGATTGATATTACTTTTGATCGACTCCCATTTATCAAAACAAGTTATGCCTGAAAACAAGTTAAGCTTTGTGCTGTGCTTATCCTAGTACATCTATCCCACCACAAGAGCTGCTGTTACGCATAAAATCGCCCCACTGGGATTTACTCGTTCAGAAAGCCTGACAATAGGGTCAGAATCGAATGGATGACAATTTTCTTAAAGTGACTTCTGCTCTGGACACTTTAGGTGACCTAATTCTTTTTATGGCAACAATGACAGAACAGCATCTGATACAAATCTCATACCTCAAGCTATTTTAAGGCAATGTAGCAAAAACTTTTCCAAACTGAAATGAGACTAGCTTTGGAATGGAGAACAATCAGTATTTTCTTTATAATTGCAATACCTACAAACTTAACTGTTTTCTGCAAAAGAATGTCATTTATTTGTCATTTTTCTGTTGTATACAGTGCATTATTCAAATCCAAAGAAAACGAATTAACCATAATTAGTCAACCTTACAGAGCAAGACCACCAATGAAACTCTTATGTCACACTATGACTGCCCCATATACTGGAGAGCGATAATTTAAATTCATTTATCACCAATGACCATCAAAGACATTTGTCTCACCACACTCCTCAGTCAAGTCTGCTAACTACAATAGAAAGAGATCTTTCGATTATCTGATATCATAGGAAGAAGTTGGGAGCTTTTGATCTTAGTTAGAATTACCTACCTATTTTCATTGGAGAAATCATATCTAGGCTGGGGATCGTCATCATTGCCATTAACATCATAACTTGCTTCAGAGTCCTAGAAGGAAACATAAAGTCAAATAAAGCAAATCAGTTTTGACTTCACTAGAAAACACCCCCCATTTTCCTTTGACATTCCACTGAAAATTAATCAGAAAAACATAAATTATGTTTGAAGCTGCAACATAAAGTTTATTATAATTAAATGAATAAAAAAGTGCAATTTATAAACAAAAAGAACAAAAACATGATAATTAATCTTAAAGAATTATACATAGATAGATTGCAAATTCCCAGTTCCCTGTGAGGTCAATCAGTACATTTTACAGGCAATGCGGTTACAATTGTTTTCTCTGATGATTTGTTACAGTCTGGAGAAGATAATCTAATCTAATCCTGAACATCATAAACAGAGACCCCTGCTTCAAACCAGACAAGTGGCAGGAAAAGCTCACAGAAAACTTGAGTAACTATTCTAAGCAGGTACAATTTACACTTGGACATAACAATAAGTTCTCTATAAATAAGCACTTCCACACAGAATGAAATTATTGATAATTTTGTCTCCAGTCAATAAGGTGACTGCAGGAGTAGACGTGCAGTGGAGCATTTTAAAGGATGTTCTACAATCATACCTTGGTTGGGTGTAGCAATGGTGTTTTGAAAGTAGTATCAAGTTAAGAGCAAACAGATTCTTTTAACAAGTGAAGTCATTAACTGAGTCAGGTGCTTTGCATTATCCAGTACTACACAACTTCTACAAGAAAGTCCAAAATGTATATGGCTTAGTGCAAACAGATTAGAGGCTGTATACTATCCACAAAACACCTGATACACAAGACAGCAACCTCCCAATTACTGTTATACAGGCTGCATTACTTACATAGTTTTTCTCCAAGTCTGGATGATCCTTTTCTATTCCATCATCTAAAATAGTGACAACCACCCCTTTGCCTGAGAAGCCATTTTCCCAAGCTGGTATGACATTCATTGTTAGCTCCAAGTCATTACGATTCTGAAATGTGAAAAGATATGAAAAATAAACAACCAAACATCAAAATATTTCTAACATTAATCACCTCAAAAGTGCCAAGAGATATAATAGTTATCTTCAGCATTAACACTTAAAATTGTGGCAACTAAAAAAAGTATATATGTATATACTAGTATACATTTTCTTTCTATTTAATCAAGCCCTACCTATCCTTGTGGGCAATCATGTTAAGTTAATAATCCACTTCACATAAAAAGCTACAGGCCTTCCTTCGTCAACATTATAGTGTTTATAAAACCATTGTAATTGCCTAAAGGAAACAAGTGACAAACCCCTTCAGAGGACAAAGTTGTACAGTGTTCAGATGCTGTAAACCCCAGTCACGAAGTTAATCAGTATTTTAGAACTCTTCCTTATTTGCAAAAGGACATTCATTGATAATTCTTTCAAAAGCCTGGGGTGGTCTTGCTTAAGACAGAAAAAAAAGGACATTTGACATGGAATGGTATGCTAGTGCTGATTTCCTTACATGTAAACTTCCTGAGGAGTGAGCTGGAGGTTGTAACCTTTTACACACTTAACACAGGACTTTTTCTATGTGTAGACATTAACAATTTATGTAAAAGAGATTTGAAATGCACACTGACATATTCAAGACCTCTTTGTTGAGAGAGAGAGAGAGAGAGAGAGAGAGAGAGAGAGAGAGAGAGGTGTTCATCACAAAAAGGATATCCAAAGAATAGCATCATTTTAATCACTTTTTTAATTTACCATTATGACAAATGTATAAACACAATAAGTGTTTTTTCCAGTGAATCATTTTAATGAGCAGTCACCATGAGCATCCAAAGCAAATAACATTATGGTCGTGCAACAACCAGTCTGTGAATGAACATCCTGTTCACTCCAATGTTCTGCAAGCCTGGCCAAAAAAATACAATTATTCCTGCAACAGATCAATAGGGATGACTGGAAATGCTAGGCCCCATAGAAAGCTGGAGTAAGCATAGTCATATGATACATGTATTTACTGTATTCATAAGCTCCTTGGGAGATTCAAGACAAAAGGTTCAATGAGTGAAATTATTGAATTAGATAGTGGAACGCAGATGAAATAGAATTTGGCAGTAGAAATTATATTACAGGCGGATGAAACTGTCAATAATGCTAAAACATGTAATTTTATGGATTTTTATCAAAAAGTATTTCTCTTCACCTGGCAATATCTGAAAATAAAACAAGGTAATCATCATTTGGTGAGCAAATACTGGACCAAGAAAAAATTAAAATCAATAAACCACTACATCATTGGAATGTAGCTGCCCTCTACTTGAACTGGGCACACATAGCTCTTGTTAGCCATGGTGTTCCCACATGTCCTACAGACAATGATTTCTGTTTAATTTGCTTCATAAAACCCAGGGTAAATTTGTCAGTTCCTAACCTAATGACAGGGATAATAACTGGACCGCAAGGACAATTCACTAGTGGCCAATGACCTCAATGGTAATTCTTCTGTGGAATGTTCTGGGTGAGATGCACTAATGTCAGGGTTATTGAAATCAAAATACAGAGCTGTCAATGCCACTTGGTGCTGGGTGTGTCTTTGTGAAAATGGGATGTCCCTGAGTGTTGCTTAATCAAAATTTGACTGGCAGATACCTGTTATTTATGGCCTAGGCAACTGTATGGGCCTCTTGGGATCCTGCTTAAAAACAGATGATGGATTAAGCAAACCCCATGAGCCCTGAGATGCCTTTATCAGATTCCATAAAAAAACCAAATAATAATTCAGGCAAAGCCCACCAGAACACAATTCCTTGTAAAGTTCAATGATCCTTTTCACAAGAAAAGAACATTTCTTTGACCAAGCATTTATGGAACATGAAAATAACTGAGAGCAATTAAGTAGCAAAGGTGTTTCTTCCCATAATTTCATATTCAAAAGCACTTGTGCCAATGGCATACTGGGTTGCACGTGACAGCTAGCTCTTATTCAAAAAGCTTCTAAAATATTTTCATTGGTTTTCTTCTATTTAAATCTGTGATGAATGGTCTACATAAAAAGGTGGCTATAATGAAGACTTCAATCAATACCCCAAGGCAACAAGATAATGATTGTCCGCAAAAGGTATTACAGTACTTGTATCAGGCAGGCTATACAAAGAAGGCTACTATCTTTATTTCAAGATTAATGACCATGTATTTTTGCCCAGAGGCAGTGACATGTAATGTCAAATTTAACAACTGGCTACTGGTCACCAATCTTGGTCTCTTATGGCTACCACTAATCCTTAATCATGTTGATTATGTTGACAGATATGGTCGTACTATGATGATTCATTGATCCTTAACTTGTCCAAGTGGGTGCTGATAAACAGAAAGGAAAATGGAAAGTGGTTGTTTCCACTGTATCTTGTCCTCTCACTTCCTGGTACACCAGGGTACCATGATGGACAGCCTATGTGGAAGCCTTACATGGTTACAAAATAGCCAATATACACTTAATACTGCTTAACAACAAAGACAGGCCCTTGAAAGGGAAAGACAGATAACCCTAAGTTAATGAAAATGTTGCATGCCATGTCTCTCTTTCTCTCTCTCTCACTTGCTTTTTTATTTATTTATTTTTTTTTTAGAAATGAATTTCCTGGTAGAAATAATTCTTTAGAAGGCCATAACCACACCATGACACTTATGACAATAGATAAATTATAACAAATGAAAAATGTAACTTAACAAATATAGGGCTGATGTTGTGATCATACAAGAAATACAATAGCACTACTATACTTGTCTGAACTGCAATACCAGATATCTTTGTTTCCTCACAGAAAGTGTGCTACTGTTAGATCACATAACAAGCCAATGTTCATTGATAGCCTGTGAGTACATTGGCTAAACAAGAACTGGAAGGTCATGAAATAGAATAAGCTTCATCTGTTTTATCTCCCTTAACTGGGTTCTTATCCCAGTGCACTCCTGGGTGAATTTAGAACTTGGTCAAATGTTAGATAGCCAGCAGCACAGACATCTGAACATTAAATCTCCATGGGATGTTTATTATCTCAGGAACAAATATTCAGAAAAAAATTGATGTGAAAAAGCTCTTCTTAAAGCTGTGTTATGGTTTTTACCCACAATATTTGCGTAACAGAATATGTTCAGAGATTACTGCATTAAGATATCAACACAAACTTCTTTTATTTTGAACTGTTTTTCAGTTCATCTATAATGTCAATCAAACAAAACCAATCCTATAGCCTTAAGAGTAGGCTATGGCACATAGAATATTAACAAACCACATGTGCACCAAAGAACAGGAGATTTATGAAAGGAAGACCCCATCCATCTTGACCCCTTGTATCATTAATAGATTAGGGCCTTAATGATAATTCTAATGCCTGAGGTGAGGATACCAAATACCTTACATCCTTATATATGTAACTAATATTTAAACAGTAATGGTGGGTTGCAGCTAAAACAAATTCAACTAGACTGGTTGCACAGGTGGCCAGAAATCTACCCAGTTACAGAACTAGACCGTGATCTACCTTGATGGTAATAGCTGGTGAACCATGGAGAAACACCTGACATAACACCAATAGCTTGTAATATCAAGTTTATCTGACTAGAATACAAATATATAAACAAATGAATTATAGCCAGCACTAGAACCAGAGCTGCCTTGCACTTTCTTTGCATGTTGTGGTTTATGATATCTGAATTAGAGGTGATAGGAAGGCGTCTCTGATGGTGGGTAAGCCAAATGGTGCATAAAGTTCATTCTCTATGTATTATTTTATAACTGGAGCTTTTCACTTTCAAAGCTGATATGCATTTTCAAGATGAGTTCAATAAAGCTGCCATCTGTCACCATGGTGTCAGGGCTGTGTATATTTTGCATCAGCTTACATAATTGACAGGCCACTTCATGAATAATCCGAAAGCAGGCAGTGCTTAATGTGGACTCATTGACTAGAATTTTAAGTGGTCGGAAATAATTCGGACTGTAAATGGTTATAGTGTGTGTGTGTGCGTGCGCGTGTTTAAACTCCACTTTTGAATCAGGAGTGGAAACATATGCTTAGATTGGACACCCCACAGAAAGTAAGCTACACCTATTAACACCTCAGTACCAACATGTTGGCTAATGAGTTAATACGGTAATGGCCACAGCACCTGTTTGGCAGGCAACTATAGGTTTGCTTGGTAAGGAGACCTTACATATAAAATTGTTTTTTTTTTTTTTTTTGTGTACAGACAAACTATTGAAGTGGCTTACCAACATTTTTTATGAAAAATAATTAATACTTTCAGAGAAATATCTGGTTCAGAAATATCTGGTTCAGCTATTCTTTCTTTCTTTCTNTTTTTTTTTTTGTGTACAGACAATAAACTATTGAAGTGGCTTACCAACATTTTTTATGAAAAATAATTAATACTTTCAGAGAAATATCTGGTTCAGAAATATCTGGTTCAGCTATTCTTTCTTTCTTTCTTTTATACTCTGAGTCAATGTTATTCTGGAATTCTAATTGAGTTAACTTATTCTGGGAACATACAGAGAGACAAAAAAATAAATAAATAAATAAGTAAATAAAATAAAAATAGTTATATGGGAAAAAATGACTACAAAAGAAATGGATTTCAAAAGAAAAAAGACAATGGACATAACCAGAAAAATAATATTGCCACTAGGCACACTGTCTCATGTCCTGATTTTCTTATTCCACTGAGAGATGTCTAAATAATTGCTAGTCCCATCATCCGTGAAGATGCCTTCTCTGTAATGATTGCCTGAAACAAGTTGCATGCACAGCTGTGAGTTGCTTTATCTGCTCTAATGAGTTTCACAGGATTATTAACAAGAAGCAGGTAAGACAGTATTTCATACCATAATATCTTATCAAGATTGCCACTCTGGCCCCAGGAGGATAAACTACAATATCTTCAGTGGTACCTTGGATAGCCACCAAAAGAGTGACTTTCGAGTTTTGAGATTTCATTCTAGAATTTTTTTCTGTGAAGAGAGCTTATTATTTTAAGGAACAATAAACCCACCCTGCCTCTTTCAATCATTTTCTTCTGACAATGTAAATATTGATTGATACAAGACTTCCTGCAATTTACCTTCTACAATGACATACCCATCCTTAAAAAAAGATCCAGAGTGGAAAATTTTCCACACCTAACATCATTTGTGATAATTTGATAATAGATTTTCAAAATCAATATCAAACAGCTAGTGTACTGTGCTTAGTAGTAAGAAACCCTTATATTATATGATTTGGATTATGTAATTGATGTAACCAGTCACAGGCTGGTGCCTGCCGGAATCTCATTTTAGAAACACTTGCCACACATTGCACAAGAGTCTGGTCACCACCAATTACATCAAACAAAGAAAAATGAACATCTGTTTGAAGCATGGTACAATGTTCTCCAGGAACTATTACAAATGGAATCGATAAAATGTTGAAAGGAAATCTACCATAGAAACAAATTAGGTACTCAAAACTAGAAATTTATAGACATCTGATCATCACCTGACTGAACACATGGTTGATTGATGTCGATGCCATTTTCATTGCTGAACAACAAATTGGATTGTGATAAAATGGACTTAAGTGTTGCAGAACAAATGGAAGACTTCCAATATTAGCTTAATTTCCATTGGATGATTTTGTCATCAAGTACAGATTTTAAATGACACTCAATACACATCTCCACTAAACAAGTTTATAGCTTGAAAAGGTTAGACACACTTTATTTGTTACATATACAGAAGTTCTATTAGCTATGTGGATCAAATATGTTCACAGTTCATTGCTCTTCTATAGCTATTTTTGAGAACAGAACACCATCTCTATCCTGAAAATGGATCAAATAAGGGTCTATTTTAATAGCATAGTATGCACCTTCTATTAATGTCAACATGGATAGACTTTAACAAGTCTGTTTAGAGATGGGCTTTAATGCTGCTGTAGGGTTGGGCAACCAAGCATGAGGACTATAAATCATACACATAAAACTAACCTGTTTTTAAAGACAGTCACATTGTACATATTATATTTGAGTTGAAGTCTAGGCTTATGAATTTAACTTGCCTTTAGTTCAAGATGAACATTAATATTTTTTTGAAATACTCTTAGAAACAGTCCATAGGCATTATTCTTAGTATAGAGAACCAGTAGTTACCAAGAGAGCAAGGGAGTCATCATTCACCCCATAGAATATTTTCCATCTTCACTTGATCAAAGTTAATCTATTTTCCATGCTGAAAGGGCATTTGGGTATGTTGAGCTATATCCTTATATTAGTTCATAATTCCAGAAACAAACACTGAAAGGAGATACATTGATTTACCGATTTCAAAATACAAGTTTTGTTTCACTCCTGACTGGACAATAACAGAAATACCTTCCCATTTTGAACCCACCCTCAGTACATACTCTTCATCCTCCAATTTTTTTCCTTAAATGACCTGCATTAAGTTGCCTTGCAAGATTACTGCATTTTTTCAGTATGTAATGAACAATGTTGAAAAACTACAGGATAACACTTAAATAAATTCTGATATTATATTTCATACAATAAAACCAAGGTCTACAATACCCTAGGATTTTTTCTCCCATTGCCAGACCACCTACTAAGCATTATTATGGCATAAACAGCTGCCTGGATTAACTGTCTGCAGTTTTCCTTATGATGGTGGGAGTACTAGCCATAAACCTCATTTCAGTGATTAAAAGATACAGGCTGAAGTTTGAAAAAAAATTGTAGAAGGGGTAATGCAAAGCATGCACAGAAACTCAAATAAATGCACCAGTGTGGGAAAACAGGTTAACTTGCTGAATGGGATTAGAAAATGTGATTTATCAGCAGTTAAGAAAAAAGACTGACAGGTGCCTCTTCATTATTTAATCAATGTAACAAACTGTACATAATAATAATACATAAAATTTATATCTCTACAAATAACTTTGAATAGGTCTTTGAAAAGTAAAATTATAAGAGCCCAGTCAGGCATGTTTCTTTTAATCACTCTGTGAGAACATGCTTGGCTACCAGCTAGCTGAAAGAAGCCGATAGAAAGCACATTTACAGATATGATAATGAAACAAAGTGCCTTTGGGTGCCAATGCAATTCAACTGTGAAAAAGTACCAGCCTATCAACCTCCCACATGATCTTGTATTGATTTCCATGTGCTTCAAGTAGCCTGCCGCCAGTAAAAGTCTCTGGAGAAGATGGACCCAGCCACTTCCATAATGGGATATGGATACTCACATCGGGATATCCATTAAAACTTATTTATTCATTTGAGAGCTGGGTTTTACATATGCATAATTTTTTCTCAAGGTTAATGTTTACACATATTTATAATAGATTTACATGGGCGTAACTAGGCATACGCACGGATGCACTGTGCGTACAATTTTTTGGCCATGCATGATATTATTTTATATAAATTTAGTGTATTTTTCACGGAATATAAAAGAAAATCCTCTGCTTATTAAAGTCACTTGTATGTACATATCCTCTGTATCAATTGAATAGGCACAATTGTTCTGCCCCCCCCCCCCCCCCCAATAAGAATATTGAAACTTTTTTTTTAATTGCAAAAATATTTCTGACTAAATGATGATTTTATTATTAATGGAAATTAAGCAGCGATGTGTGGTACATATGCTATAATTACGCTGTCCTTCATCTCTTGCGTTAGTCAACATTTTGCTGGGAATTTAAAAAATCTGTGCATACAATTTTTAAAGATCTGGTTACGCCCCTGTAGAATGGTGATTAAATGTTTGCGGCAAAATAGATCCAAGTCCCATAGAACCTCAGCTCACTAATACCCCGTTCACACTACGCTNAAATTGTAATAAGCTTCTCCATCAGCCATTTTGTATTATTTGTACCAATAGCAGCCAAAAACAGCATTTAAATGTAATAAGGTGTGATGATGGAGTAAGTACTTCCATAATCAATAGATAACAAACACCTCCATGTTTGTTAAATGCCTTATATCTTTAAAATGTCCATTCAACAGTGGGGGAAAAAGTGGGGAAAAACAACTACACTTAACTGATACCAAAGAGGCATAAATATATGTATGCACAGACCCTCTCTACAGGATATCATGCTTATTTTCTGTGCAGTTACATGCCTAATATATAAAGACTGCCACCACTGGACTGTAGTGCATCTGGTCCTTATATTGTCAGAAAACAAGACCTGACAAACTTGGCAGGAGACTTTATTTGAAAAAGTGTGTTTTGCAAAAACAAGAGGTTAGTATATTACATGTACAGAATTTTTTGTCAATGATCCCTACCAACAATCTTTTGAACAACAACAACAAAGGAATATGCACATATGGCCGTATACATATATATTTACTTATTGACCAAAGCCACTGCTCTTAAAAAACACTATTTTTTATGTCTGAAAACTGTCAATGTCTTATGGCACTTTGTCATTTCTAATTCCTGCCAATTACTAGCCAAAGAATCATGGATAATCTGGGATAAGCGGACACTGTCCCATCAATTCCTGCAAAGTAAAAAGGGGTGCAATGTGACAAATTTGCCAGCAGGATCATTCATGCTTCAACAGAGAAGGTAATTTGTTAACACTGTCCGAGCCTGGAGCCAACCACAAAGACTTTTACTTGTTTGACCATTTATACTGTATAGACAAGAATAACTTATTTTTATCATTTTAATCACTTTCATGACTCTCTGAATAGATCTGTAAAGGAAAATAATACTAGTCCTGTGTACGTACTAGCACCAGTAATTTCTCATCTTGGTTGATACCAGACATCTACCTGTACCTTGTCACTAACAAGACCTAACAAGTCCTGATGCTTAAGTAGTGGGCTATTGTTCACCCCAAGCAATAAGGCAAAACATTATTTTTCATTAACAGATATACAAACATTGAAAGAAACAAAAATGTCTGCTTCTTTAAATAAATTCTGTGAATATATAGGACTGCAATTTTTTCCACAGTTAACTCTAGTGGAGGAAAAAAAGAACAAAATATCCAGATGATAAAAAAAAAGTTCACTCTGGTTAACTTGGGCCAATTTTGACTTTTGCTGAGTTTACACTTACCAAATACCACATGCGGTTCCAATATGGATCATTAAACTGGACATTTCTTTTAACTCTTTTCTTCACAACTTGCTGCTCCAGCCACTTTACCTAAAACACACAAAAAATATAACAAACATATCAATTGTGTAGTAGTTTGTGGTCATGATGTAAATAATTAAAATTAAAACTATTTACCATATGTATCACATGTGCAGTAATTACAAAGCTTGTCAGTAAAAAACAAGAAGTCTATAAAACATGCACAGAAACTGAGACTTAAAAACAATGAGGAGAAATTATTTTCATGGACTGTGTCTTAAAAACATAACACGCACCGCGCTAACAACAGAAAATATCAATTAATTGCATTTCTCCTGAAATTCCCCTCAATTTTCCAACTTACCTAGACCATGGAATACACAATATCTATGAACCTACCCTTTACAAGGTCACCATTACTGACATATTGACAATAAAGCAAAAGGTAAAATATATTTTATGCAGTAATGACTGTAAATTCTTACACCTCAATTTAACATTTGTCATGGCCATTTTTTTGGTAGATCCAATTATGTCAATAAAAATGTATTTTTACTATAAATCTTCTGTCTTGAAAAAGCACTAATACTCTCCACATGAGAATATCATTTGGGTGTTGTTTTAATAAAGAATAGTGTCAATCTTTAATTTTAGGATATTTATGATTAACCAGCAAGTTCTTTCCCATTCTTCTTCACAGTTGTAGCACAGGAAAGGGACTACATGGCACAGAACTCCATGTGTGTTGCACTTAAAGTTGAGTCTGACATTTGAAGAGGTTTTAGTATAGTAATCTGGTAACACTTGAGTTGGTTTTCAAGAACAAAGTTACAACCATGGGTTCTGACCCTCTTTAAGTGGTTCCTTCTCCATGAACCTAACACCTTGGTGTGTGAAAAGGGTGAGAACACATGGGGCTGACCTTACTAGTATCTGCAACGACCTGACACTGGATACTGAAATAACCAATGGGTGAATAGATTTCTTTTGGTGATTATCTTGTGGCAGGGTGGGAAGATATTATTACTGCTGGTGATATACTTCTGAGCCAGAAAAGCAGTGATGGCTAGTTGTTGAATAGTGAGATAACATGCTGTGGAAATGAGGCACAACCAGAATTGGTTCAGAGTGGTGTCTGTCATGACAAACCAATCAATTTTAAAGTTTCTCTTCTTTGACTTATCAGATATATGCATATGTAGATGTTTTACATCTGGATTTTCTAACATCAATTATGTAATAGGACAAAAATGCCATGTTATATTACTGCTTATGTCCTATACTTTTCAATATTACCAGAAAGGTAACTGATCTACACTTGTAAACTCATAGTATTTACTGCAGTCTGCCTGGGAAGATATTTGGTTTGTACTTGCCTCACCAGAAATTTACAGTAAATGATCAGTGAGATATGCCAAACATTTCTACCATTGCAAATTCAGGTCACAATGACCATGAAAAGGACCTTCAGAAAAAGTGTACTGTGCATAACATAGGAAAGCAAAAACTGCTCCCTGTCTCTATCCAAACACTGAAGCAATCATATCAACATCTGAGAAATTGAAGTATAAACAGTGGGTCTTCTCACCTGTGGTTCTTTCACTAAATGTGTGTGGTGATGGGAGCTTGCAGAGGTGGACCGTTTGGCTACTTGTCGATGTTGAAAATGGTAGATATCGTCCATTATCTGAAAGCACACATTTTAACATATGAAATAAACCCATCTTATGGGCTATATATTTAATGTTTTACACTGATTTCGTGTATGCAAAGGCTGTGTTTGAGAAATACTAACAATGTTTGCCCTAAGCTCTTTGTCATGTTAAATTAAAGATAACCCATATGCCTGCAGTTGTCGCTGAAAGTTCAAAAACAAGTTTTTTTCTACCAAACAATGAGCTAAAACACACTGGACACATTGGAAAAAGCTCAACATTATATAATGAGAAGTACACAATCACGTAGAACAATTCTTAGTTTAATTTGAAATACAATCAGGGCATAACATAGAAACAGAACAGTAGAGGAATTAACATACATGTTTTTATACTTATCTGTATATGTTTAAGGCCCCATTCAGAATGGATGATCCAAATACACACTGATCCGCCGACTAAATATGGCTGACCACAGTTCAAAAGTGATGCCACTGATTCCTGATGGTCTTTCCGACTCCACACACGCCTTTAAATGGATTAAATCTCTGCTCCAAGTTTTAATTGGTAGGCCCTTTCAGCAGCAGCGCCTGTGGAGGGGGGGGGGGAAGACTTTCAGGAATCAGGCATCGCTTTTGAACTGTAGTCGGCCATATTTAGTTGGCGGATCAGTAAGTACTTGGATCATCTACTCTGAATGGGGCTTTACTGACACTCATGAATGTTTACATTACTCTGAGGATAATTTACATTCAAAGCATGTTGGCGATGCTAATTTCAGGTATAAAGCCAACTCACTGGATAATGGGCTGAAGACTGAATTTTTACTCCCAAATCTATTATACACAATATGGCATGCTTTTCAAATGGCTTAAGGAGAGGGGAACAAGTTAAGAGAATTAATAATAATAATGAAGATGCTTAATATCAGGTGATAAGGAAAAAAAAAACATTTAACATTTCAAAAACCATAAAGTAAATACTAGTACAGTACAGAGAATTTCCAGTAAATAAACACAATCCTCTTTGGACTCTTTCCAAGATGAAGGAAAATACTCTACTGTCAAAGAACAACTTCACATTACAATGTAGTTACATTTTGAGCTTCAGACAAAACAGATTTAGGTGAAAAAAAAAAGTTATTTATTCTACTCTCTTATCTGTGAGTTATCTATATTTGTCATGATTAACTGGATTCTCAGACTTCTGATACAATCTGAATCAGAATGTAAACGAATATCATATGTGATCTAATATTCACATTGTTGCTGATTACAGGCTTATAACAACAGAAATCCAATAGGTTTCAAAATACACACAGCCAAAGAAATTGTACATTTGATGGATATCTATTGATTTAATTTTAGATAATCTTCCCTGAACAGTAGAAGTCGCCTGGTCTTTCTCAGATATATTGTTGAAATATTAATAGTTAACAACACGTGTCACTTTTGTCCATTCAAACAAAAAAAGAGACAAAAATAATAGTGGCCTTATAATAAATTAATGACACGAGTCTTCTTAACCAGGAAGTTAAATATTCATGTTCATAGAACTCTTGGAAACTATTTTAATATTTTTAAAATGCAACTGTATAAAATTACTACAAAGTGCAAAATATATTTGATAAAGCTTAAATTATTCATTTTTCTATTACAGACTCATATTTTATCAGTTTCATGTTTTTTTCCTTTCTTTTTTATTTTTGACTGCCTTTTTGACATATGTTATACGTTAAATTAAAAAAAAAAAAAAAAAAAGAAACGCGCTTAAAATTTCATAAGGAAAAAAATCCAAACACTATCAACGTGCTTTTCGGGAAGTAATGTTGGGATTTGCTAGACCAAAACGACAAAAAGGAAAAAAGTACAAACCTTTCCCAGATAAGTAAATCCATGTTTTTCTGCCAACGACCTGGCCACCCTTTCTCCTCCTTCTATGTGGACTGCCCATTTATCCGAAAAAGTTTGTGTTTCTTTGGCATAAGATATACTAAGAAAGAACTGAATAATTACACCTAATGCGATCTTCAAGTTCATCGTCTTTAGAAAAAGTAAATTATCATGAAGAGAAAGGACGAATAGTGCTTGCGATAACTACAATCCCGCTTCTTCACTGTTTTGACCTGGGCTGACTGTGTGCCCGAATCGCGATCGCTCAAAAAACTTTACGAGCGTAGAAATACGCTTTACAAATAAAAATGTTGATGAATTTCGAAAAGAAAAGCCCCTCTGGTGTTGCCTCATAATAGCTCACTCTTATCGTGGATGTTTTCCATTCATAGCCGATACTGTTCTTGATGAAGCGAATGAAACTACCGGCCACACATCGTCCTATCGACTGAAACTTCAAGGCACAAATGGCGTATCCGGGGTCGTATTTGCGGATATGATGTCATAAATCACGACGCACGCGCATTCTGTTGCATTTACAAATAGCTAATAAAACTAAGATTCCAGTGGTTTTCAACCGAAAGATGAATTAAATAATAATTTCAGTGACTTTGCATTAACATATCATACCAAAACCATTCTTATAGCCACAAACTTAGATTGGTATTTGTATCAGTTGTTGTATCTCATATTATGGAATGAAGATCTTACATGTTATTAGATGTGTGTTTCGCATTGCACTCTTCTTGCTCTATGGTATGAATAACCAGCGTCAACAAACGAGCAAAGCAGGTGGGTGAGTTGAGTATTGTTTTTTCACGAAAACATCATATATCACTATGTTGTAAACATGTGTTTCATATTCTCCTTGCATTCTTATCGTATCTCAAGGTATAATTGAGAGTCAATAAACGGAATATTGCGTGCAGTGCATTGTTAAGTTGAAAAGAAAAGAAAGAGCCGGTTAATTCATTGAAAGTGACAGTGGTACTGACAAAAAAGTTGTTACTGTTTGTGTTGGTGTGTTACTAAAATTGCTGAAATTGTTACAGTGGTGATGGCAGTCCAAAAGTTCTCCAATGCGACAATGTTTGAAAAAACATGTACCTGCTGCAGCCATACTTGAAATCGGTTATTCAAATGCAAGGCGAGAAGCAATTCTAGTATACTACAAGTGTATTCCAGAAACGAAATCATAGCATAAGTGGCATAAGTCATACAAAAAATTGTGGTTAAGGTCGACAGTGAAACCAGTTGTCATACAAATCTACTTTAAAAATAATGGATTTCAATTTTAGAGTTTCAGTGTCAGGATCTGCAGTGTAGCCTTCATTAACATTAAAGTTCTAGATCTAACATATATGTACCAGTACTCATAGCAAGGGTTTACCAGTGAACTATCCAACCATCATTTGGACAGCCACCTGCATCACCAGACAGCCTATTGTTTTTTTTTTTTTTTTTGAAATTTGATGGCTTTAGGCATACTAGTACATGTACCTGGACTCCCTGAAATTTTGTAGGAAATTACAGGTGGTAATTTTGGACAGCCTGTACCATCAATCCTGGGAAAAGCCCTAACTCACAGTACCATTGAAGTACTGTGTAGTACCTTTGAATTGTTTCCTACTTGGAAGCAAACTTGAACAATCATGTGGGCCAAGCAACTTCCATTGTACACGATTCTGTGCAGTTCCTGGTGAGCACAAATCTTGCATTATGATTTGGCCTGTTTTGCACATTAAGACATCTGTTTATGATAGGAGGTATATTTCTTTGTTAACGGCAGTTTTTAGTGAGTGTACAATATCATAACATATATAGCATATATAGCAGCATCCCTGGCTGGTGAGTAGATAAATCTTACATCATCCATAGTGCTTTTGATGGGAAAATTGGTTGGCTTTTCATATGTACATGTATCTTATTAAAGAGGAAACAGGTAAGCAAGTCTGAAAAGATATAAGAGCTCTGACATGCAGCTACGTCAGTATTTCACTTTCTTTAACAGTTACATAAAGGGGTAAATCTACATGTATATCTTTCTTGTGCTAGCACATTGTCAATATCAGAAATCATAAATAGGTGTGAATTTTAATATTCCTATTAGGGAATTCCATAGATCAAAAGAGTTCCTGAGAATTATGTCACCTGTAGAAAACATTTTTTTTTACTTTGCTTGCTTACCACTTTAATAGCATGTGAGTCATATTTGTATGGCTTAAAATATACAGTCCTGACTTCTTGGGTGGTTTATCTTTTAAGTTCTACTCCTTGTCTACAGAGGATTTACCATGCTGTAGTACCAGTGTCACTAGTTATAGCAATGGGTATAATTAACATAAAAACTTCTGAATAGGTTACACATTCATTTTTGTGTGGAGTAAATGGATATAATATTTTTGTAGTTGTAGTATGATTTGGTTAAAGAGTTGCCTTATTTTGCATTATAAGCCTTAAGGATATTGTCACCCTTCACCCAAAACTCCTTATTTACTGCCTTACATACATTCTTTTGGGTAATAAATAAATCTTCAGTGTTTATTGACTAAATTAATTAACATTTATACATATGTCATCCTACGGGTGATACCATAATTGCGATTTTTGGGTAAAAACTGGAAAAAAAACGGTTTCTCAAATTTCTCTTTTACCTGAGCACCCATGATCACCATTTCAATGCTGATTTAATGACACCATTTAGTACTCCAAAACCCTGCTAGCAATTTTTCTTACAAGTCGTTGATAAAGCAAAATGATGCCTTTGTTTAATGAAAATCTGTAATTAGGGGCTCATATCTTTGTGACAAAAACATTTAAACCAAAACGACCTCACAGGATTGTAGTCTATGCACTCGTGGTCTACTCTGCCAATTTTTTTGTGATAAAATCTTGTTCAAGGATGAAGTTACACCCATACCGATTGCTATCTCACCTCAAAATAAAAAGGTATTAAATTGATTGTTAAAACTTTGAGTTACCTATGCTTATAATAACAAAAAATATAAAGGTCGATATTTTACATTTTCGAGGGCTTTTTCATTGTTTTAAATTGGCACAAAGATAGATGCATAATTGAATAATTAGATGCAAAAAAAAAAAAAAAAAAAGAAAAAAACAAACTCATTTTAAGTATCTGGATGATAAATAAAGGGTTACAATATCCTTAAAACTTTAACAAAATGATATCTAATGATATATTTCCATTTTATGTTTCAGTATTTCTTGATGTCAAGATTTGCCTTAAAGAATGCTAAAAACGGAACCTGTGACATGAATCAACATGTCAAAGATGAAAAATCTCTTCAAGTTCAAAAAGAGCACCAGTGATGTAAGTGATTTATTGATTGCAAATGATTTTAATTCTTTCATAGCCTGGTGTTCTTGAAAATCCTAATCTATGTGTCATTATTATACTTATTTTTTACTAATTGCATGGTTAAGTTATTTGGTTATTTTCTAAATGTAGTGTACATGCAAATTAATCTTTCAGGATTATGATGTAAAATTTATAAGCTATAAATTGACCCGCCAGTTTCAGTAATGAGAAAAACATATATAATGTGTTACCTTGACTTGGTTGTATTTAAGGTAATTACTCAATCTTTTCAATGGGAGTAATTTATGGATGTTACAGACACTGCATTTTTTAAGTCATAATTGCTTTAAATTAGAACATTCTTATTGAGTGGTATGAATTAATTAAAAAGCAGACTACTCAATAGTTCTATTCTATGCAGTTAAAAGCACCACAAATACCATATAGAAATATAATTTTTGTGATTACAAAATTATGTATCTGAAAGATTGATCATTTTTGTCCATGGAGAAGTTTGAGCCATTACCGTATATTTTTGTTTTTTGGTTGGATTATATTTCTGCTGTTTCATTGCCCAGTTGGAATACATATGGTTTTTGTTTGTAAATTTGTATAGATTATAATGTCTCTTCTTGAACACAGCTCTGTTTTGAAAATTTTCATTCTTAAAATGAATTTTCATGCTTCAGGTGGTGATATTGACTGTTAACAGACTCAGATATGTAATCTATTTGTCCTGGTAGTGGATTAGTTTGACAAAATAAAATAATAAAAAACATTAGAACTGTAAAATAGAGAATGCTGTTACCAAGTCACCTTTGTTGTTGCAGTGTAAACCTCTTCTTTTTTAATAAGCTGCATTCATCTCATATAACACAATATTTGTTTCTGTGTTATGTCAACTGGCTATGCTGTAGCAACATGCGGTGCATGTGGGTTACAAATAGAGGAAGAAGTTCATAAGGGTTTTGAAAAGACTTGCCAATAGCTGGGTATTGTTTATAATGTGTCAAATCAGAATTAGTTGATATAAAAATAAATAAATAAATTTTCTAGAGGTCACTGTTATGGGAGTTTTGAAAGGGATTGCATAAATTGCTGGTTAAATTAATTTTTAAAGGGATTGTTGTTGGTAAAATGTACAAGAGTCTGGGATAACTGAACAACCACTTCTCCATATTTCTGTTGCTGACATCATATTGCACAAACCTCCTAGTAACATAAAGCATCATGTGCTACAGAAAGTTTAGTATTTATGACTTGCTAAGTTTGCATTTAATTTTGCAACAGGTTAGCAAGCAGTATATGGCATTTGAAGCAAAGTGCTAATTGCCTATCCCATATTGATATAAAAGCAAGATATTTCTATGATTTTGAAAGTCAAAAAATTATCCTCCTGTGCTGATAATTTTTTTCCCTGAAAATACAATCATTATTTTTGTAGTTTTTTGTCACTGGATATTTTTTTATTTTAGGATGGTTATATCATTTTGATATTTCCTTCTGTAGCCTGTAGATCAAAGCTCAAAGGGTAAACTGCAGCTGTTTTTTAATCTCCACTTTATAATTTCTCTTTTAGTACAGCTGTTTAATGCTGTTTTAGTTTTAGGGTTATACCCCCATAAAATGTTTTTATGTTAGTGGACAGTGTACTGTTATTCTGTTTGTCATTAAACAAGCGATTCACTAGGTATTTTTCTCTTCTTTCTGAAAGAAGGTATGGGAAAAATAATTTTTTGTGAGTGTGATTTTGAATTCAATTTATTGAAGCCAGCAAAGTCCAGAATTCTTTTATAATGCAATGTTAATATTTTAAAAGAAAGAATTATTCTTTGAACATTCAGAAAGGCTTGTAGGTAATCTTGAAATTATTATCTAAAATTCAGGCATGTTAAAAAGTTCCCGGAAATAATAACAAGGTAAAATTGGAAATTTGCCTAAGTACTTCGGTTTGAAGAAGGTTAAAGGCAGTAATGCTGTGATTTATTCACCCACGAGTAAATGGTTGCTGATGTACCTGCCTGTATATAAACGCACTTTTCCTTATTTTACTTTCTTTATGAGTCTCAATTGAGTCTAATCATCAGCATCAATCAGTGGTTTATTTGATCTTGACATTTCCTTTGACATTTGCAGCATTTTCCAGGTGATAAGGAAGCCCTCTGTTTGACCCTCTCAGTTAGATCAGTGACCATAAAATGTTGGTTTTACTAACACTGACTATATACCTCATTAAACTTGTGGGATTTGGGTATAGTGTCAGTAAGGTCACTTAGGAGAGGAGAGTTGGGGAAGTTGCAATTAGAAAATGAAGTGTGAAAGTAGCAGTTTATAATTGCTGTCCCCTTTTATGAGCAGATTGCTAAAACAAAGACTTTTATGTATGAGAATGGCTTTACAAACAATATTTAAATAAAATTGCTCGATTATTCAGCAACATCTTAAAGGGTATTTAAGAGACATTTAGATTTAATTACAAATTAAACAAGAAAATGAAAGTTGTACTGGCAGCATATTTATTCTATCTAAATCTAACTTTGTTTTACACTGCATTATAATTGCATAAATGATTGCTATATTTTTAGTCTATTTCATAAATAGATATCTGATAATAATGTAACTATCTTTTCATATAAATAAATAAAACATTGTTAACATTTATTTAAATGTGGAACAAAAAAAAAAAAAAAAAAAGAAAAAAAAGAAAAAATAGAGCAAAAAAAAAAAATCACGTGTTAGACCAGGGATCGAACCTGGGACCTCTTGCTTACAAAACAGAGTGACTGCTCTACCACCTGAGCTATCTCGCTTTTTCAACTAGTTTTTAGCACTATAACACACATACTTGACATTCCCGAAAAAATTGTCTAAACAGTCCTTCGAACCACACTCGTGCTTGACCTTGAAATATGAGTAAACCGTCCTTTTCCAGCCACACTTTAACACTTAATAACTGCAAATTGAACGTCCCAATGGCCTGAACGAAGCAACCGGATGATATGTGATGCATACATTTACCCCCTAAAACACCTACCTCGTCTCAAAAAATGATTTCCACGTCAAAATGTCCAATTTGCATGTTTCATCGACGAGGTAATGGCTGCCGTTCAACGGCCTCTTCCATTTTAACCATGCATCTTATGGGCACAAAAGCCATAGAACGGGGCAGCTTACCCGCACAACCATATACTGCCTTCCTACGCCGAATCTGGCTGAACGAGCAATAGCCCTGCAAAATTCTTTTGCAAGGAATAAACTAATAAAATTTGTAGAATTAAAGTTACTTGATTTATTCAGCAACATCTTAAAGGGTATTTAAGAGATCTTTGAAAACAGAAAAATGTTTCATTTGCAAAAACTGATAAGGTTTTGATTACATATACATGTAGAATCTTAATTTGGTTTTATAGCTAACTGAGTGGAATAAGACTGATGAAAAACTTCTGCAAGCTGTTCAGAATGGTGACACACATAAGGTGGAGGCTTTGCTAAGCAAGAAGAACACCTCTGCGACAAAGCAAGATTTGCAGGGAAGGACTGTGTAAGTGCATTTGACATCTGTTACTGATTTATAGATTTCTTTATTCTTTGAGGAAAAAATGATCAATTAAATAAAAATTACAAGATTTTGGTTAAAAACATATTGATTACTGGTTCAATATCTCAATATGCTACTCAGTAGCCTTTAATGAAGACTACAAGAATGTGAATAAAACAAATAAAAATATCATAGAGTCATCATCATAAGATCCCAGTGTCAGGTGTGATTGATAGGTTAAGCTTATCTTTTTTTACCATGGTTAATTTAAATCTTGTGAATACTATAACACTTCTACATGTTTACTCTACAATTGTGTTTTTGGTACCTTTTAGAAAACCACCCCTGATACTGTATTGATCATTTCTGTGCTAGTTTCATGTTTGTTGTCCTTCATGGCACACATATGCAACTCGCTGTGAATTTCAGCAGCTTATCTTATGAAATACAGCATAATTTTAAGAGTGCCTTTTCCCAGAATTTTTTTGTGGAGCTTTTTGTAGACTTTGAAAAAAAAAAACATTGTTCCTGTTATGATTGAAATGATTACATGGCATATATATGGTATTTTGAAAGTTTATGAAAGGTGAAAATTTTTGATTGGAAGCCACTATTTCCTTAATAAAGTGCTAATAACTTATAAGGGAAGGGCAGTAATGTCATCTATTTCAGAATCTGAAGCAATTTCTCTTTAATGATGTAATTAATTGCTATAAGATTCTTCAGAAAGAATTCATTCACTTTATTAAAAACTAAATGTCCCTAACTTTTTTTAAGTCTTCATTACGCAGCCACTCACGGAAAAGATGATTCCCTAGAAATTTTATTGAGCCATGGGGCAGAGATTAATGCTGCAGATTTTCAAGGTAGGCTTCTAAGAAATCTTGAATCTTTTATCATTATATTGCATACATGCTAGGACTGATGATGCTTTATCTATTAATTAACAATGTTTTGTTTATGTTGATGATAATCTTGGTGTGCTTTTCAAGCAACTTATTCTTATTTTGTTCGTTTGGGCTTAGCTTTTTGTAGTATTAGGCATGCATTTTTTTTTCCACAGTGTGAATTTTCAAGAGGATTGCTTGTTTTAGAAAAATAACCATTATCTTCAAGTTGACTAGAATCATGTTTTGATTTTTTTTTTTATATATATACAGACACTGTAAGTATCTGTATATTTTCTGATTGGTCTGTCTGTCCGCGTCATCGCTGTTGCCATCACTGTTGGTGTCGCCGTTGCCAACGGTGTCGCTGTCCGACACATGACATTTGTCCCATAACTTCCAAATTGAATTTTTGTTTTACTTTAAATTTTCAGAGTGGCTTTGTTTGGTAAAGATGCAGGTTGCTTTTGAAAATCAGCATGATTGGTTAACATTTACTGTAATTGTTCTGGTAATTGTTCTGTTTTTTTGCACAATTTTGGTGATGTTCACCTTATAACTGGCAAACCATATTTTTGTTTCACTTTTAATTTACTGAATGGCTTTGTGTTGTAAAGAGGCAGGCTGCTTTCGAAGATCAGCATGATCAGTTTATATTTACGGTAATTCTGTTTTTTTTTACATAATTTTGGTGACGTTCGCCCCATATCTGCCAAACTGTATTTTGGTTTTACTCTAAATTTACTGAGTGGCTTTGTTTGCTCGAGGCAGGTTGCTTTCGAAAATCAGCATTATCAGTTTACATCTATGGTAATTATTTTGTTTTTTTTTATGTGTGAAATTTTCATTTTTCACACATTAGCATTTTTAGTGGCTTTTATATCACATGGAATTGAATCACTTGTGATTCAGCTATTTTAAAGCATTATGTAACAGTGCATCAAAATTGGCCAAAACATTTTTTGTGTACTTTTTTCTGTGTAATGTCTGAATATTTGACAGCTTTGCTGTGTTGTTTCCTGTATGGTGTCTGTATATTTGTCAGCTTTGCTGTCTAGTTATATTTATCAAAGAGATATAAAGAAGTTTTATGTTTGTCACTGGAAATATCTTTTTTCTCATTTAGGGAAGACATCTCTCCATTGTGCTGCCAGACATGGATGGGCAGGGCTTATTCAAAAATTGCTTCAGGTAATTTGAGGAAAGAGTCACTCTAACTTTTGAGATATTGGTAAATGCATCCCTCTGGATTCTTTGTTATTCTGTTAACTTTTGTTTTAGGCCAATGCAGGTCTAGAGTATATAGATGAGGCTGGCATGACAGCCCTGCACCATGCCTGTTTGGGAGGACATCTACATTGTGTTCAGGTGCTGATTAAAGCAGGGGCAAAGCTAAATGCTGCAAATAAAGTAAGCATGTAATTGGATTAATTGGTATATTACATGAAAACATGTCGTGTTACTTAGTTACAGGATAGGTTAAAAACACATATTGATTTCCATTTGTTTTTCTATTTACATCTGTGTAGCTTTTGTATGTTTTTCAATTAACTTACAGGCATTAATTAGTTAAGAGGAAAACCAAATTTTCTGATTTAATTTATTTTGTTAAATATCTTTTGACAAGAACAAATAAATGCACAAGATTTGCCATGTTTGACTTAGTTATGATAACATTGTGTTTGACAAGGATGGCCGCACCCCTCTCTTCCTGTCAGCTCAAATGGGAAGTGCATCCATCTGTATGGAGCTGATAAACCATGGTGCTAATTTAAATGCACAGGACAATGAGCTGAGGTATGCATTGTGACCATATGAGCAGCGTGTAAATTATGGAGAGTTGAGAAATGAAAGCAGCATTAGATCAAAATTTTAGTGGTGTTTTTTCCAAGGAATCCGATTTGTGGCACCAACTTGCTATATTGCTAATATGGTCTTGTAGCTTAACGAAACCATGTAGGGTACTTCTGTATGTATTGCAATTGTCTGCAGTCAGTTTAAATGTTATGAATTGTTGTCTTTACTTTTATAAAACCTTATTCATAACTGCAAAACAATACAGATAACGTGTAATCAGTATATCTCATCTTTTAAAAGGTTCGTGGCACCACAGCAACTACCTTGCTGCATAGCCTTTCACACATGTGCTCATACCTAAAGCCTGTCAAAAACCCATGCATGCCTCCTTAAATGTTTGATCTTTTATACATTTTTAAATGGTATTTTGAATGCCAGTTCATATAGAATTATGGTCAGTAAGTACCTACTTAAAATAGTCAATGATTGAAATAATAATTTTTTCTCTGTGCAGTTTTAATTAGTTCCATGTCATTTTCAACTATCATAATATTTTTAAAAATTATTTACTGTTGATGTTCTCAATAGAACTCCTCTGATGTTGGCTGCAGAACATGGAAACAAGGATATCTGTGAGATGTTCATCAAGAAAGGAGCCTTAGCTCAGATGACTGACAGACTAGGTATTACACACGCACAAAAGCATGCATGCATGCAGGCACGCACACAGTATATCAGTTATCAGAATGCAGTCTTAGCCTCTTGATGTATAATTTGTTTTATATTAACTTGTTTACTTTTTTTTTTTTTTGTAGTGGTGGCTACCACCATGAGTGCTGGTGGCTTTAATTTTTTTTTTTTATTTTATATGCCATATTGATGTAGAATAGACATTTAATCTGGCTGGCTGTTGGTAAGATATTATCTCTACTGTGTATAGTCCTACTGTTGGTTTAAATAACTTTTAGCCCATTACTGAAATGATGAAAAGCAAATATCATCAATAAAAGGTTGTGTTGGAAGGTATGTCAGGGAATATACAGTCTGCATTTTGGATTCATACTTGGGTTTGGTGAAAAAAGTTTCATATTTGAGAGAATTAAAAAAATTTTCAATCCCTTGATGATGAAACATCTGGGCCAAGTTGTAATATCAGCAGCTTGACAAACAATGTTATTTATAAGAAATGACAAGTTTGATATTGGCAAGATTGTATCGCAGCAGACGTAATACACAACATCCTTTTACATATCTATACTAATCATTGTGGTATAAGACAGTGACTTCATATTTGTATGATGTGTTTTTCTTGTGTCTCAGGTCGCAGTGCTGGCTGGTATGCCCTGGATAATGGTCATAGTAACATCAAGTATATTGTAGACAATGCTCCTGCTGCAGCATCCTGGGATGTAGGTAAGAGATAGGACAGATAAGCTTATAGTTCACAATTAGGATAAATATGGCTGGGGATAGTTTAATTACTGTCACCATATGACTAGATTGTTCAACATAGGGTTAGAATTTCTTGCAGTCCCTGTGAAATCTGGCTAATGGAATCACTGCAGAATGGGTGCAGGTCGTATTGGGCTGTAGCCTGAGCGCTTGGAGCAATTATTCCATGACGTCTTTTTGAGGAATAAGGTGCATTGTCATCCCCAGTTATGTGAACTTTTTTCTTGATGCCCTACAAAAGAGTTAGAGGGCAAAAATTTATATATATTTCCCCTTACAATTTCATTATAAACTTGGTGGTGTAAGGTGACAGAGAGTCCCACATGATAGGGAGTCTGCTTCCCATTAATTTGTACAGGTAAGTCTCGTCCTAGATTTTGACCCACTTAGGTCAGGCTAACCTTAACCATTATAACTGAATGGAGGACTGACTTTCTGTTACATGGGGCCTCAGTTTAGTTACAGTTAAGTACAAAAACTGAGCCAGTGGTTAGAGGGCCTTTTTTGTATGACATTGGTGTCATCATGTTGTATATATATATATATATATATATATATATATATATATATATATACACCACACTTCGTAAATCGCACTAAGACACTTAAATTTACTTCAGTGGATTCTTTCCATTATTCATGATGTAGCCAGGCATTGTACAATCTAAAAAATGAAATTAATGAAAAAGTCATAGAGAGCCATTTGCATTTTTTCAGGCATATTTAAAATTTGTTAATTTGTAAATTATAAAATGCATTATTATGCTTGCACCTTTAAAAATTAAAGTTCCTGTTGATAATTGCATTTTATTTTGTTTATCCATGTAAGTATTTTATTAAAGGGATAACAACTGTTCATTTTGGCCAAAAAATGAATTTTCCTGGGGTAAATGGCAATTTTTCCATACTTACCAATGATTAATGAATCCATTTCTACATTCAAAATTAGTCCCTGGTTATTTTTTTCTAAAAAGTTTGTTTTTTGTAATAATCTCTTAAGAGATTATTGCAGAGTATTGCCATCACATGGTCGGATGGCAAGCATAGATTTCAGATTAATTGCTATAACAACAACTGGCCAGTTCATTTGAGATCTTTTTCCTTTATTTATCCTGTTGTTAGTTATAGCAATTAATCTGAAATCTGTGCAGCCTTGTCCAACCTTCTTTAACACTTGGTTCAGTGGTGGGGTTCACTTCACGTGATATAAACAGTTGTGCAGAAGTTTCCAAATATTTTATTGTTTCAGCATTTTGCAAAAGTGAACCATTATGATTTTTGACAACTTAGTATTGACATAGAAGCACAAAGGACTTCAATTTTGACACCCTTATCTGACATTTACATCGATTATAATTCTTGGTTTAGCAAACCATAAGTAAATTGAAATCAATAATTTACTGAAAAATTTTCTTTAATTCAACTCCCTAAGATTATTTGGCATATCTTAGTTAAACTTTTGGAGCTCTTAGCCAATGACAATGCCAGGTCTCTTCGCAACTGAAAGGGTTATTTTGATACTGCTCTGGTTTGAAGAGAAAAGCCTTGGTTTTCAAAAATCATTAATTTTGTAGATAGTGAGTTTTACCTTTGAGGGCTTAACATCCCATTATAATCAGTCAGGTTCTCTAGTGTTATGAGTATATATAGATAGATCTCTATTAGCCAGGTTGAAAACACACCTTGTTAATTTGGCCAGGGTTCTGAAACATGATCTCAACTTGTATAGGTAATAGGTATTTGCAAGTGGGGATTAGGTATGCAGAGGCTGATTTTGATATTTTGATACACCTTTCTGTAATTTGATAGCATCGTAAAGGTCTTGCTGATGAGTTGGTACTCCATAAACCCTGGTTATTGAAGTTAGATATATAGTGTGTACCCCTTCCATGAACTTAAAGTAGTTTATATATTAAAGTCACCATTACATAACATTTTAATGTCTTAAAAGTTACTCTTTTGATAATAATCATTGTTATAGATTTTAAGGTGGTATTCTGTTTGTTGATGTTTTTGATATTTATGAAATGACTAACTTTACCTAATACTTTGAAATTTTTAAAAACACTGAAAAGTCAGTTTGGGGAAAAAGTTACTTGAAGTAATTGTATTTGTTATTATTATAATAGAAATAATTGCCATGTGAGATAGATTGTTTTGCCATTTTGAAATACTATGCTTTAGGTGCAGATGAAGTGACCCTTAAGCAACCAGAGCATGTGGATTATGTTGATGCTTTCATCAGTTCACAGAACAGGCTAGAGGGTGGAGATAGCACAGAGGATGAAGGGGGACATGATAATGAGAGTGATGAGGACAATACAATGCTAAACCAGTTGAATAAAGACACAAAGGTTTTATATAAGTTTATACTTGAACACATATGAAATCAAATATGTTACAAATCAAAACAATCGTAGCCCATGAAAAACATTTTCTTACATGAGCTATATGTTTGGAAATGTTTTAAAGCCATTCAACATTATTTTGATATGATCAGAAAGTAATCTGGTTGTTAAAGTGTGTTCCAGTTTGAATAAGAAAGATATTTATTTTATTTTAAGAACACCAAGCATTCATCTGTGAGCAAGAATATTCCGGAGCCAATCAATTCTGGTCAGCAAAGAGCATCTACTCAGATGACTATGGATCTGTATCGCGTGAGTGAGATACAGCCATTTCTATCAAAACAAGAACAAAAGAATGTATTATGTCCATAAAGTTCTCATATAATGTTATCTAAAGCTGAATACAATTAAAATTTGCCATTGGACCATTGCAAATACAATAAAATTGGTATTTTACATGAATTTACCAGAAGAAAATTCAGATAGGCTGATTTAAGATTATCTCTGACAAGTAGATAGTCAAAGAACTTATATGATAGTACTGTACATGAATTATTATGGATTTTCTTTTTCAGGAACTGGAAGAAGAACATGATCTTTTGAATCAAGAGTACAACCAACTAACTGTAAAATACAATAAATTAGTCCAGAAACAACAGCAGAAAGAAGGCCAAGGACAACAACAGGTGCAGGCTTGGCAAAAGGAAAATAAAAGTTTTGTTTTGGATTTAATGTTTTGTTTCATTGGACCATTCTCTAGTTTTGTTGAATATACACTGAAGAAAAGTTGTTAGTCAGTAACTACAATCCAGAGTTTTTAGCACTGCTGTTAACTCTCCTCTGCCCAGTTTATGCTCTCAGTCATCCCCTTGGTGCCAGTAATTGCAAAGGAGTGCTAATAGTCCGTGGGCCAAATACCGAAACCCTCCCCNGATAATAATCTTTGTTATAGATTTTAAGGTGGTATTCTGTTTGTTGATGTTTTTGATATTTATGAAATGACTAACTTTACCTAATACTTTGATATTTAAACACTGAAAAGTCAGTTTGGGGAAAAAGTTACTTGAAGTAATTGTATTTGTTATTATTATAATAGAAATAATTGCCATGTGAGATAGATTGTTTTGTCATTTTGAAATACTATGCTTTAGGTGCAGATGAAGTGACCCTTAAGCAACCAGAGCATGTGGATTTTGTTGATGCTTTCATCAGTTCACAGAACAGGCTAGAGGGTGGAGATAGCACAGAGGATGAAGGGGGACATGATAATGAGAGTGATGAGGACAATACAATGCTAAACCAGTTGAATAAAGACACAAAGGTTTTATATAAGTTTATACTTGAACACATATGAAATCAAATATGTTACAAATCAAAACAATCGTAGCCCATGAAAAACATTTTCTTACATGAGCTATATGTTTGGAAATGTTTTAAAGCCATTCAACATTATTTTGATATGATCAGAAAGTAATCTGGTTGTTAAAGTGTGTTCCAGTTTGAATAAGAAAGATATTTATTTTATTTTAAGAACACCAAGCATTCATCTGTGAGCAAGAATATTCCGGAGCCAATCAATTCTGGTCAGCAAAGAGCATCTACTCAGATGACTATGGATCTGTATCGCGTGAGTGAGATACAGCCATTTCTATCAAAACAAGAACATAAGAATGTATTATGTCCATAAAGTTCTCATATAATGTTATCTAAAGCTGAATACAATTATTGGACCATTGCAAATACAATAAAATTGGTATTTTACATGAATTTACTAGAAGAAAATTCAGATAGGCTGATTTAAGATTATCTCTGACAAGTAGATAGTCAAAGAACTTATATGATAGTACTGTACATGAATTATTATGGATTTTCTTTTTCAGGAACTGGAAGAAGAACATGATCTTTTGAATCAAGAGTACAACCAACTGACTGTAAAATACAATAAATTAGTCCAGAAACAACAGCAGAAAGAAGGCCAAGGACAACAACAGGTGCAGGCTTGGCAAAAGGAAAATAAAAGTTTTGTTTTGGATTTAACGTTTTGTTTCATTGGACCATTCTCTAGTTTTGTTGAATATACACTGAAGAAAAGTTGTTAGTCAGTAACTACAATCCAGAATTTTTAGCACTGCTGTTAACTCTCCTCTGCCCAGTTTATGCTCTCAGTCATCCCCTTGGTGCCAGTAATTGCAAAGGAGTGCTAATTATATATAGAAAGGTTTCCAATAGCCTCTGAAACTCAGGGTGTGTGCTGCATTAGCTGAATATGATAACCTTTTACACAAGAGACCTCATTCCCAATGAAACTATGGTTCAACATAGATCGAACCAACTCCACAGGGACTCTTGCTGAATGCAATCAGAAGAACAGATTAACACGGTTCTTCTTGTTTCCAGTGCACTTGTATAACTACCCTCTTTGCTGTATTCTATCCAATATCAGTTGAAGGCTTGTTTATCTGTTAATCTGATTGCATTCAGTGAGAATCCCAGCAGAGTTGGATCAATTTATGTAGAATGGGAATGAGCCCTTAGAGTAGGTAGTTGGAAACAGAACTTATGTGATATTTTGTTTCAGAATGCTATTGATGCCACATTGATAGAATCCTTAGAGGAGGAAGTTCAGAGATTGACCTCTCAGTTAACACAAGCCAAGGACAGGGAGCAAGAGTATGTTGAAGAGATACAGGGTCTGAAGGATCAACTCTCTGCTTTCCAAGTAAGCAATTTTATAATGCATACAGCAAGCTCAAGAATAATTCCCTTGATTTTGTAAAGAAATTATGCAGTGCCAGTGATTACTGTATTTTTAAATAGTTATTTATAATAAAGTTGCATATTTTACAGGTTGTGTCCCACTAAGATTTTAATTGAATAAATGGATAATGAACCTTTAATAAATCCTTAGTGAATAAGAAACAAAATTTGATTGATTTTTAGGCCTCAGATGTTGAGAAAGAAGGCAGTGATGTTGATAGCTGGGGAGACACTGATGATGAATTGTTTGATCTGCCAGGTAGGTGGCACTTAACTGAAAGTTTTCTAACTTATTAAAGGACAATAGACCCACAAAAATCCATCTCTCGAATTTTGAATATTCAGCACTCAATCTATACACTAGAGGTATGTTTTAATCGATCCCAGCCATTAAAAATTTATAAAAACAATCTATTAGTAGAAAAAAAGCGTTTTAGTAAACCTCACCTCAATATGNGCGGAAAAAAAAAGCTTAGGGCCTAAGCTATCAGAAAAACATAGTGAACGAAAATCACGAGGGGGGGGGAGGGGGGTCTACATTGGCCCATAGACTATAATTATATATAGAAAGGTTTCCAATAGCCTCTGAAACTCAGGGTGTGTGCTGCATTAGCTGAATATGATAACCTTTTACACAAGAGACCTCATTCCCAATGAAACTATGGTTCAACATAGATCAAACCAACTCCACAGGGACTCTTGCTGAATGCAATCAGAAGAACAGATTAACACGGTTCTTCTTGTTTCCAGTGCACTTGTATAACTACCCTCTTTGCTGTATTCTATCCAATATCAGTTGAAGGCTTGTTTATCTGTTAATCTGATTGCATTCAGTGAGAATCCCAGCAGAGTTGGATCAATTTATGTAGAATGGGAATGAGCCCTTAGAGTAGGTAGTTGGAAACAGAACTTACATTATATTTTGTTTCAGAATGCTATTGATGCCACATTGATAGAATCCTTAGAGGAGGAAGTTCAGAGATTGACCTCTCAGTTAACACAAGCCAAGGACAGGGAGCAAGAGTATGTTGAAGAGATACAGGGTCTGAAGGATCAACTCTCTGCTTTCCAAGTAAGCAATTTTATAATGCATACAGCAAGCTCAAAAATAATTCCCTTGATTTTGTAAAGAAATTATGCAGTGCCAGTGATTACTGTATTTTTAAATAGTTATTTATAATAATCTTAAGTTGCATATTTTACAGGTTGTGTCCCACTAAGATTTTAATTGAATAAATGGATAATGAACCTTTAATAAATCCTTACTGAATAAGAAACAAAATTTGATTGATTTTTAGGCCTCAGATGTTGAGAAAGAAGGCAGTGATGTTGATAGCTGGGGAGATACTGATGATGAATTGTTTGATCTGCTAGGTAGGTGGCACTTAACTGAAAGTTTTCTAACTTATTAAAGGACAATAGACCCACAAAAATCCATTTCTCGAATTTTGAATATTCAGCACTCAATCTATACACTAGAGGTATGTTTTAATCGATCCCAGCCATTAAAAATTTATAAAAACAATCTATTAGTAGAAAAAAAGCATTTTAGTAAACCTCACCTCAATATGCATAAATGAAGCAACAGATCTGGGTCATGTGGTACTGTGACGACAATGAGGATAAAGGTCTATGAGACTTAACTGAGCGGCATGGTGCATACAGACAATAGTTTAAGAAAGTTGTGTTGAACGGAGTTGAGCAATTTTCCTCATGCCTCAGTGTGTTGCCGTGGGATTCACGTGGGATGCAGCACTCCTTGACAATCTTTCTTTGTCTGTGATGGTCTTCCATGACTTACTAACTTTGGTGACAATAGTTGCGATGCTCGTGATCTCGGTCACCTCAGGTGTTTTAGATCATATGAAAAGCTGATAGTCTTTTAGATTAACTGCCATCAGTTGGCAAGCTTACTAATTGCTGATGCATTTTAAATGCATTGTAGTTGACCAAGAGCTCGTTAACAATAAAACCTGTTAATTATGCACTGCTGCAATTCCCAAGCCAGGTAATAACAGGTATCAAACTCGTCTTGGTGGGCTTTCATATTTTTCAATATATCTCATTTATTTCATGGGGTTATTTTATTGGTATTTGTAAATGACATTAAATATCAATATTTAAACAATTAAGATCAAACACGGTCGCGAACATTAATAACAGAAATTGCTCTCAGGGTATCTTGAAGCATGGGTATGCCCAGGCATTACTTCCTTGGAAGAAAACGTGTTGAGGAAAAACAGGAAAAAGAGTAAAGATTGAAAGATAATTTTAGACAATTAGACAAACTTTGACGAGGGAAATATCCACAAAGAGTAAAGGGCTATTGCACCAACATCTTGTTGAAATTTTTAAACTGCAATTCTATTTAAATAAGCTAAGGAACTAATTGCCAAATTTAAACTTTCATCACATAACAGGGGCGTAACCATACCTGCAAAAGTTGTACGCACAGATTAAAAAAATTACAAGCACGTACAGCAAAATGTAGACTAACGCAAAACATGAAGGACAGCGTAATATTTCCCTGTATGCTCCCCAGGGAGGTGAGACCGTCTAAGGAGTGCACCAGTGCAAAAATGACCAGGCTTCTTTGACTTAAATATTCATATATATGTAATTGTATAACTTCAACCTTCGGGTTGCCATTCTCCAATAAAGATTATTATATTATTATTATTATTATAGTAATCATAGCAAATGTACCTCATATAGTAGCTTAATTTCCATTAATAATAAAATCATCATTTAAGTCAAAAATATTCTCGTGATTTAATAAATATTCTAATTTACCCAGAACGGTATATTTATTTAAAAGGAGGCTAACTGAAATATAGTTTTATTATTTGTTTGTGAAAATTGCTCATGTCACCCTGTTAGTTTGGAGGTCTAAGCTGGATCAAGTCCATGTTAAAATTCCTATGAAGCTGTGCAGGAAAAATTCTTCCTTTGTTTCTCTAGCTCCTTGATAAACCTGGTGTTCAGATTTTATCTAGTACCTCCAGGTCTGCGGGAGCTGCTCTTTGAAACTAACGCACAGGTAAATTTTTTCCTGAGATAAATATCGCTGGATAGATACTCGCTACAGGAGAATTGAATGCCATTTAACCCTCTAATTAAGAGGTAAAGGAAGTTCCAGTTAGATGGATGATTAAGATAGGACTTGTAAAGGTAACGGGTATTGTTTACCTCAGTTTAATAAAAGTGTGCAAGATGGAGTGTCAGCGGTTTGATAAAATTAATTGAATTTCGCAAATAACATGGACCTCATATGCAATAATCAACAGTACCCTTTACTCATTCAAATGCAGTGTTTTATACAACTTGGGATAACCATAATTAAATGCTTGTTAAAGAATTAACTAGACGGGAAATGGTTTTACACAGCTTCACGAGGATTTAGACCCCTTGGTTAAGAGATTTGAATGAGTATAAACTTTTATCAGAAGCCAGAGAAGTCATCTTACAGGTAGACAATGCAGCTCAGTTTGACAGCTAAGCACGCTCTATTCTCCGGTGGCACGATTGTCGTCATCGGACCACTTGACCACATAGCTCATTAACTCCCAGGCCGAGCAAATAGGACATTTTTTAAAGCCAAAAATTTAAAAAATGAGCTTTTAATTTGTGTATTTGGATAACGATATCGTTAGTTGGGCATGTTTTTTGAAGAATATGTTCCGTTCAGTCCATTCTGACAGTATGGCGCAAATCCTTTAAAGATGTGGATAAAGTGAATGGGGTATATTTGTAGTCTATGCAATTTAGACCATTTGTTGATGCAACCTAATTTTAAAAGATATTATGATACTTAAAGAATGTAATACATTTTTCATAAGGCACTGATAAAAGACAACCTGGAACTATAACACAGAAATTGCCAAAGTCAACCTTAAGCAGTGAAGATCAGCAAAACAAGAAGCAAATTGCTGTTCTTAGGAGCCAATTACTAGAATTGACAAGAGATAATGATGCATTGAAGGAGAAGATGTCAAAGGTAAAAAGGAATTAGTAATAATACTATCGAACATAAATATGTAACAAAATTCTAAGTTGTTTTGTGACAGTTATAGGGTGTTTTATGTGTTTTTGTGACTGTATAGCATTAAGTGACTGAAAGTTTTTGTGAATAAATGTGATGGCTCATTATTGTAAGAGTTGAAGAATTTAACCAGTAATTTACCAGCTATGCTTTTATTAGTATTTTTATATTTCATATTATTAAAAAACCTTTTGAATTTCAGATGAAGCCAATGTCTGATTCCTCAGAGCCCGTAAGTTTGTCAAAATCAGAAGATGAAAGAGAAACTGTACCTTTATCACAGTATGAAGATTTAAAAAGAGCAAATGAATCTGAAGTCAGAGATTTAAAGCATAAAATTGCAGAGTTAGAGAGTGAAAAGCTGACGTTCATCACTGCCATTGAAACAACTGTCCCAGAAGAAAAATATGAAGAAATGCAGACCTCCTCAGAACTACAAATTGCAGATATGCAGGGGATAATATCAGGATTGGAAAAGGAACTGGAAAGAGTAAATGGACAGATGAGCTCAAATCAACAGTCTTCCAAAACTCTTGAAGAACATTTACAACAGAAGAGTTTGGAAGTAATGACTCTGCAGAATGAAATAGTTAACCTAGAAGCCAAGATTTCTCAGCTTAAGCAGACTGGAAGTCCAAGGGAAGGAAAACAACTTGAAGATACTTATGGAATGGAGATTGCAAAGTTAAAGCAATGTATATCTGAGTCTGAAATTAAAATACAGACACTGGAACAGGCCAGGGAAAATACTATACCAAATGACTTGTACAAAGAAATGAAGAAAAAGAATAACGAAGAAAAGCAAGTGCTTCAGTCACAAATTGACACACTGCAGGAACAGTTGGAATCGGTAGCAAAAGAGGTGATTTTTAGTTTAAAAAAAAACACTACATCAAACAGGTTACAATAGTCAATTAATGATTATCATATCTTATCCAAAATGTGATCTTCCCTTCAGTGGCTTTACATGAATTTGACTGTGTACATTTAAAGCTGATGTTTTATATTTTCATTTTAGCTCAATGAGTTGACTGTGCATACAGATAAACTTATGTCTGAGAAAGAAGGCCTTGCTGGAAAAAACAAGACATTGACACAGGAGGTAGAAAAACTGCAACTCCAACTGGAGAACCTACAACAATATCATGAGAAGACCCACACAGAGCGTGAAACAAGGCTAAAGCAAGCAGGGGAACTGACCTGTGAATTGGGAAGGATACAGGACACAATATCACACATGTCCACTGAGAATACCCAGCTAAAGGACACAGTGCAGCAGCAGGTGGAGGAAATAGTAGAACTGAAGGACCAACTGGAGAAAAAAGTTTGGTACGAGAGACAGCTGATGGATCAGTTAGCAGCCCTGAAAAAGGAAAATTCTCATCTTAAAGAATTGGAACTTGAAAAAGAAAATTTTGTAGCAGAAATGACTAATCTGAAGCATCATGTTGCAGAGCTTGAAAAAGAAAATTCACAAGTTAGAGAGTTAATAGATGAAAATGAAAAGTTGTTCAGTGAAAATGCTAGACTTAAACAGCAAAAAAAGACAGAAAATAAAAAAGATAGTCAGCTTACAGTAGACGTAAAAACTAAAATCGAAAAGTTAACTTATGATAACGCTCAACTGAAACAGCAAGTTACTGCCTCAAACAAAGAATCATCAAAATTAAAGAGGGACATTTGTAGTTTAAATGAAACCGTTGAAAAGTTGAACAAGGCTTTGTCAAGACACCAGGAGCAGCGAAGTCCAAGCCAGTCAGCAAGTGGAGATGGAAAACAACTTCAAGCTATGCAGAATCAGATTGAAAAACTAAAACAGCAGCTTGCAGTAAGTCATCCCAAACTTTATTTTTGTCACCAGATTGTTAAATCAATCTTGCTGGTTGTCTTTTTGATAAAGTACTATAGTAGTGGGCAAAGAAAAATAAATTGTGGCAGTTTATGTTAACTGAATACACGTTTATTGCCAGTAACTGTAAACAGTTAAACTGTAGTTTTTTTTATTCATAAGGAAATGTATTTTAAATTAGTGATAAACTCAATCAATAAACGCAAAAAACGTGATGCACCACATACAAAAAAAATCTTTATTATGTTCATGTTTCAGGAGGCAGATGTCAAGCACAGAGAGGTTGTCAATACCTACAGAACTCATTTGCTGTCTGCAGTACAGGTAAGGATATAATTTGTAGACTGCCAGCAAACATGTTTTTCAATGTTGGGGGGACAAACCTTTCTAGCTGTCTTTAAGTTTTTCAATACTAAATGAATCTAAAAGATATTTTTTTATTTATCCCTGTGCTGTAATGGTTAGATAGGAGCCCTCTCCAAATAACTGATTATCTATTTTTAAGTGAGAGAAAAAGAAAGTCATCTGTTATTGCTCTAATTCCAGGGCCGTATGGATCCAGATGTCCAGGAAGCTCTCCATCATATTATCAGTCTCCGGAGCAAGGAGCAGTTCTGTTAAATATCCTTCACTACAAAAGTCAGTACTTGAAATATTTAAACCAAAGCCAACTAGCTATTTAAAATTGGATCTTGCCATCAAGTGCTAGATGCTATTTTAAGAATCGACTGTTGCAGCATAATTTTGATGTTGCAGAAGCAACAGGTGCAAAGTTGATGGTACTAGGGATTGTTTTTTGGTCCTGGCATTACAGATGCCTTGAAATTTATTAAAGGGGTAGCATAATATATGTTTCATATATTGCATATGAAAATGATCAGATCATGCCAAAAAGATTTCAGGTTTAAAGCGCATTTGCAATGAATTTGAAGAGGGGCCTTTAACACCCATATAATTTTCAGAGCCAAAATTGTAAATTAGTTTTGATGTGACAGCAACTGCCAAATTATACATTAAAGTTATCAAGAAGTATTTTCTTTAATAGTGTTAGCATGTAGACACAAGTAAAATATGTAGCAAGTTCCCATGGCACATAACCCCCAACTCTTCAACAGTGCCATATGTCCTGTTTACTCTTGAAAATCCCCCTCATTCTCTTTATTTTACATGTAAAAAAAGTTCTGTTAAGACTTTCATCATACTTTATTGCAATTCTAAGAAAATGTACCACATTGAGATTATTAGAATGGTATCAGGGACCTAATTCTGATGAGGAAAATGTAAGCAGAAGAAATCAGATATAACTGTTATGGACATTTTTAATCTTTTTTCCAATGTTAAATATATACATAGGGTAATTCTACATAGAGACAAGATATTGTAAATCGTATGTTTTGCATATTCTTTTTGTAGACAATCATTTATTTTTAGATCAATATTTTATACTACTTCACTACTTTATGTGAAATGTACTTCTATTCTTTTAGAACGTTTTCTAAATACTTGCCATTTTTATACCTGACATTCTGTTATAATCAAAATTATATAAGACATGAATATGTTGTGAAATATTTTTGTTAATTTAAATCCTTCCTTAGGCCATGTTCCGCATTATTTGTTTATCACTTTATTTCAGAGGTTGCGTATAGTTTATAAAATTAAGCTTAGCTGTTGCCAGGTGTAAATCAAAAGTATATCACCAGAAGCATGGTTCTGAAAAGTTTTTGTATTGAGGAACTTCCATTGAAATAATAGGTGCTGGAATAGAATTGTCAGATATCAAACTGTACTTTCTTCACAAGTCAAGTCATACTTGCCATATCATAATTCAGTTTTGTTAGATGTATTATTCAAATATGAGTAATAAATCATTTATTACTTAAGGTATAATTCTTGTTAAGAATTTAAAGAAGAAAAACACTTGATCTTTCTTTATTGTTACACTTTCCAGGAAATGAAACATACTTTTTTTTTTTGCTAAGCAAAAATTTCAATCTTTTTCAATCTCAAATGCAGGTCCAACGAATCAATTAAATCATACAGTTTTAATAGAATAAAACCCTATTTTGTATAGATGTTTGACTTGGAGGGGTATGATCTGGTGACTATATATGATATGAAGGCTATGTCAGTATGTCATTGAAACAAATGGACAACAAACCAGTAGGAACTGGCAAATTATAGCCCAGTGTTTCCATTAAGTCTGAACCCATAACCATTTTAGTACAATTCCTACGTAATAAAAAGAGCAAGAAGATTCTTACAAGAAAGCTGTAAAACAGGTTAAAACTTTTAAAAGTATATCCCTTTTCATAATTTAAACTGGAGTGTTGGTTGAATAAGAACACTAAAAGAAGTACATACAAAGTTAAAAACCCCTTTCATTGCATATTGACCAACAACCCCCCACAAAACCTGCACTTAAATATCTACACCACCATGACACACAAGCTAAACTTGTGCTTGAGTATATATAAAAACCTTCAATGATTATATATGCCTGAATCATTATGGATGCACTCTGACTAACGATGCATTATTGGAAATAGTGTAGGTAAAGGGTGTAAAAATATATAAAATGTGCTACAATTAACTGTATATTAATTGTATATCTCATGCTCCTCTCCATTCATCGCTTGTGAGCAACCAGGACAAAATTCCTTGGGGACAGCAGAGGATCAAATATTGCCAGTAAATAGCTGTCTGCACCTATGCAAACAGAAAAAAAAATGTGATCTTGAGTTACTGAGCCATGTCACTTGGTAATTTTAAAAATATGTAAATTGCAGCAAATTTGACATGACTAATCAAATTGAAAGAACAATTAGTAAACTGTGTTAATGTGCTCTGGAATTTTAACCACAATTTCTAACAATCTGCATTGCCATCTATAAATGTATACTTTTTCTCTTTTATTTAAAAATTATCAAATCTTTGATCAATTTTTACAATTATATAACACAAATTTCCACACACAGTTCCCACTTGATCGGTGCAACAGAGTAGACAATCTATCATTTTCACCTTGTTCCCAAAGGTAGAGCATTCTGTCCAAGAGTATTACACTTTCCACCACAGGAGCCAAGGCCAGCCTTAGGACATAGAAGATGACAACAGACTTCCAGTCATTCACTTGAACTTGTGCTTTTCTAATCTGTTCTTCAGATAACTGGTCATCTAGACCAAGTTTTTTTAAAACTTCTTTGATATACCTGAAATTCACATACATATTTTTGACTATTAAAAAAACTAACTTTTATGTTTTGATCATATTATATTCTGCATTTTATCACAGTCTGGTTTTTGTCATGTAGACTGTATAGGAAGTGTTACAGAACACTAATATTTATGTAATCTTATTTCCAATAGCTAAGGGTTCAAGCAGAAATAAAATACTGACAAAAGTATCTTAATACCTGTCAACTGGCATTTGATGAGAATTCTTTACAGTGAGTTTGATTCTGCCATGTTGAAAGTTGGGTTTCTTGCCAAGAATAAATTGCTGTGCAACTGCTCTGTAGCAATGTGTTCTCAAGGCTGGGGAGTTGCCTGGAAAGTTATTTTTACAAAGAGTTTTAAAAAGATACACAGTTTATTATATCAAGTAATACTGGACACTACTAATTTATAATAGATGTACTACAAGCTGCTTTGCTACTATTCAAAAATTAAGTTTTTGTAGAAGTTCACTTTTTTCCAATAACTGACTTTGATTTACGGTACTGGACATGCTACAAACTGAAAGCTCTAATTATTTATTGCGCCACTTCTAGTGATGTATACCTTTTAACCTCTGAATGTAACAATCAACAAAGTGGCAAGCTAATTCTCTTGCTTCCCAGCTCATTTGGTGTCCAGATATGCTGGAAACAATACTGGACATTGGGTATCCTGGAATGGGACTGAAGTCAGAAATTGGTAATTGCCTAGGTTATAATTTCAGTGTGAATTTTAAATACATTACCCATGTTTATATATTAATGTTTAATATGCATATTTATTTTGTAAATTTAATGCACTGTATGCATTATTAAAATAATATTTCGACATTAAAATCATGAGATTTCTTTTAAACCAAATTCAAATGCTTCCTTTACAGTTATAAACAGTAAGTTTTAATGATTCATTACACAGTAAGCCCAACTGTTAACTTACTTTCCACATGAGAGTTTCATATAGCAACATGCCACTGAGGCCAATGCTACACACTCAGAACACTGAATAAATAACCTGAGCAAAGTTGATGACAGGTCTCCACAGGCATGGAGTCCTGTTAGCATAAAGTCATCTCCAGTGCATTCATCACTTCTATTGCTTGCACTGTCATCTTTCTTTGTAAATGCTTTACATTGATCTTCAGCTTTTTGCTTGTCCTCTGAACTGGTACTGTGATAAACTTCACTGCTTCCATCAGTTTTAATGTAGTAAGAAAATGAAGACACAATATTTTGACAAATTGGTTCTGGTTGTTGTGGATGTGGTAGTGGTGACAGTTGTTCAGAAATTCTTCCTGGTGAGTTGATACTTCTGCTTTCTTTAATCACAGATAAAAAGCCCTGTACTGAAATGTCTGGTTCAATTCTACAAACCACATGGTGTGGGACTAGAAGATCTCCACTCGTGAGACTGCTAGGGGTTTCTTCATCCTTCTCCTAAACCAGAAGTAGAAATTTATTGTAGTATAATTTTCCATTTAAGTTGTCTGCAAACTAGGATTTATAACATGTGGATTATCATACTAAAGCCCATTTACTTCATAATTTTTTTTATTGCATTTGCCATGATAATGACACCAAGAAGACAAAAACTTACTTTTGATCTTTTCTCTGCCTTAAAAATATCTTTCACAACTTCTCTGAAAAACAAAGGAAAAGTAATCACAATTTTTCAAACTAGATTCAAGTGTTCTCTTAACGACACCGTCTTTCTCTCCTGTTATACAAGATTAACAATTAAATTGCAAGTGACAGTACATTCAGATGTCTTTCTGGATATGTCTCCACTGGTGATAAGTACCAAAACATCATGTTAATATGTGCTTTATTCATTGTAACGTATGCATCTACATGGATAGATGAAAATGTACAAAGGAATGCAAATATATATGAATATGAATTATGATCAATAGTGATATTGTATGACTCCTTGTATGAAAAAAATACAAAACATATTTGGCAGAGCCCAAATAGCTCTACCTACTCAACTGGTTATGGGTGCAGCACAGTCCCTTTTTTGGAAGGCTAACCATAAATACTTGGCAAGAGCAATAATATGTTCTTTATTCTTACCAGTCATTAGGGTTTTAAATTTATCCATTCTGGTAAGATGCTCAAAGTGACTATGTTGTTTTTTGTATATTGAATTAATTCATCCCCTTACTTATCAAATGTCTGTGCCTTAGGTGCATGCACACTTGCAGCTTCCAGAGCTGTAACATCCAGTCCATGTCCAAAAGCCAGAAGTCTTGATAAATGACCATGACCAGCACCAACATCTACCACTCTGGAACACTGGCAACTTATGGAGAGCAGACTGACAACCTGGAAATAATATTTTTACATTCTTAAGTCACCACCATTTTCCAAATAACTAACCTAATATGTTATCATTCTTTACATTAAATTGGCCATCCATCCATCCACCTAATACATCATGTACATCAATAATAACAGGGTAGATGAAAATTATACTTCAGAAGTTAAGGAAGCTGTACTCCTGGGAGAGGCATGAATCATAATAGAAAATGTTAGTGTGCATAACACTATATCATCATTTCTAAGAAATCACCACCAAAACATTGAAATTGAAATATTTCTAGCTAGCATCATGTTTGTGGAAAATGAAGTCATAATAATCCATCAAGAGTGATGTTGCTTAATCAAATTTTATATTACTCACTGATTTACAGTATAATTAAAAATATTTCTATATGCATGTACCTGTGCCAAACCCTGTATTTCATGTTGTTTCTTTGGCTTGACATGCCTTCTGTAGCAGTGATCAAGAGACAAACACTGTCCATTACTAATCTCAGTTTTCTGGCATCCAGCTGCACTTGTTTGCTGAAAATCACTAGTGCATGTGGACTGAGATTGACAAGTGGATAGTCTTTTTCTTAACTCATCAGCTGAAAGGGGTTTTCTTGGTAAAGACAGAGCTTGCGTAGTAGCTTTGTACGCCAGAAGGGAAAGTGGCCAAACATGCCTAAAATTCATGATACCATATTTACTGACAATAATGTTTTAACTACATCATTTATGACTTAGCATCTTTAAATTCTAAAGTATCTATTGTACATACTGAGTATATTTATACATAAAGGTAAATTATTGTTATTAAAAACGCACATTTTTATAATGACCAGGTCTAAAAATTTAGCCTTTCTAAAACAAATAAATTTACCTAGAATCCTGCTTATTTGCATCTAGCAAAGACACTAACTCATCGGGCTGTAACTGCTCCAATGTGGCTTTCCAGCTGTTGTTTAATTTGTCCCATTTACGATCCACAAAAAAGTCCTGAAATTCGTATGCATATCAGACTGTAATCATAGGCAATCTGATATTTTATTGAAATATCAAGTAAATATATAACACATAATACATGGCTGTATTTACGAGGGCTAAGTTATTTCACTTTCTTCTACTCTGTCGTTTCTCTTTCCTCAAACTTTACTAGTACTGGTAACTCAATCAATGCAAAATGATGTCAAGAATCGTAGTACATTCAATAAGTTTTTAGTTCGTTTAAAAACTCACTGAAACATATGAATCAACCATCCATCTGTATTGGTCGATTAAACGGACAGCTTGAAGCAACCAAATGCGGATTTCTGCAACCGTATCTTTGCAGCAAATCACAGATTTCATTTTGCAAGTTCCAATGTGCACTAAAAGCAATCTTTTGTGTTTGAAGAGAGGAAACGACCCTGAAGGTAAAGGACGATGGAGCCGGTTGCATTTCTTCGTGATAAACATGTGAAATTTTTCACTCGCTGTTTACAGGTTCTTCCAGACAAATATGCAGCACTTGACACAAGCAGGTATATTAAGTATTGAAGCATGTTGGGATATATTTCTCTTCTATTCTGACTGATTCCCTGCTTCAAAAAGGGACAGACCACTTCCTTGAATGTTGTTTTCAGACAACTTTAGTGTACTACTTTAGTCTACTATTAGGTACTCATCCTCTCCCTTTCTTTAAATATCTATACCTCAGCACTATAGAGTACATGGTAATAAACATTCAGGCTAGTAAACAGCATGATAATTATTAATGTTGATTTTTGACATTTAGGACAAAGCATACTGTTCGTAATGGTTGAAAATGTTGTCAGTGATTCATATATATGTACGTGCATCTATCAGTACTATATTGATACGTAATTTTTTCAGGATGACAGTTGCATTTTTTGCCTTGTCAGGACTAGATATATTGAATGCTCTTCATATAATTGAAAAAGATAAAAATGATATAATAGAATGGATCTATTCATTACAAGTTCTTCCAGATGAAACAGGTAGGTAATAGTAATCCCTTGCCAACATCGGTAAGATTTCATTGGTTCCTAACTTAAGCAAAAGTAAATGTAACTGATCAAAACACTTCTGTTCAGAACAAATTGTATTAAAAATTGGCAAGACAGATGCCATAGACTCCATTCAGAATGGATGATCCGAGTACTTACAGATCGGCTGACTAAATATAGCCAATGTACCACAGTTCAAAAGCGTCACTGCTGATTCCTGATGGTCTCTCCACCTCCACATGTGCTGTCGCTGCAGGGGCCCAGCAATTAAACCTCAGAGCAGAGATTTAATCCATTTAAAGGCACGTGTGGAGTAAGTACTCGAATCATCCATTCTGAATGGGGCCATAAACTATTCATCTCTAATAAGGGACATGGCTCATAAAATGTATGAATTGAATTAAATCATTGTATTTGCTAATATGATTTACCTTAGATAAAGAAATACACATATTTCACTATTCTAATTCTAATTAATCATCATTGCAGTGTTTTTTTTTCTTAAAAATATTGCCTAATGAAAATCATGCTTGTGTAACCACTGAAGCTGCAAAATCTGGTGGCTTATGACAGTAGTTGATTTTGCTGTAAATTGGTATTCCTAACAATTGATGTGTAAAATTAATAGAATAAAATGGATATGTAAACATGTAATCAGGGTCATTATTGCTGTTTTTAGAATCAAACTTGGACAAATGTGGGTTCAGAGGCTCTTCTACCATTGGAATTCCCTATAATACTGAAGATAAGGTAGGTTACAACTAGCGAAAGATAAATGGTAAGAATAACTTTGTTTCTCTTCCTTCAATACAATACAATACAATACAATACACTACAATACAATACAATACAATACAATACAATACAATACAATACAATGGAGTTTAGTTCATGTCAGAAAGTTCTAAAATATAACATTTATCTAAATAGCTTGCAGTAGAAATCGGACTGCATAATAATATGATACTGCTCATATCAATCTTCACTTACCACCAGTAACCTCGTCAACAAACAAGTCCATTACTGAAGTTTGAATTTAAGGGGGGGCTGTACCCAAATAGGTCTAAAAATCATGTTGTTATAGATAAAATCAACAGTAAGTCTTTAAAGAAAAATCCCTGAACCCCTTTTGTAGTACTTTGTTCAAGTGTTATAATACTATTAAAAGCATGTTTGTAGCTATCCAGGTGCCTGAGAAAATCAGGAAACTGAAAATGATGTTTTTGCCCCCAAAAATCCCAATATTATGTCACACGATGAACTTGGAGCTGTGTTTCAAGTATAATTAGATGTTTTGAAGATACATTAAATGAATGCAACAGGAATAAAAAAAAAAGCGAGGACCTTTAATTTAAGATGAAATCTCCAACCTGCAGTCCTCCCTTCATAATAATAATAATAATAATAACAATAAAGTTTAAAATTGAGTTTATTCAGCCATTGTATATATAAAATACACATAAATTGTTTCAGCATCTTGGGTTTAAGAAAGAAGAAATAGATAAATAAAAATAGAATAAAATAGTACAAAACAATACCAGCAGAAATAAAAAAAAAAGATTAAGAGAAATTGTTCAGATTAATATATTTTACTATCAAAAGAGATTAGTTGGATAAAAACTTCTTTTAAATGCTTTACTTCTTCTAAAAGTTAAAAGTATGTATTTGCTTGGGAGAAATTTAAAAAGTTCATTAGCAGGGTGAGTGGTATTTATCATAAACTTATTGGTTTGAGAAGCCATCCTTTCCATGTAAATGCTTCTAAGAGAGGGGAGATCCAACCCCAAGATTCTTTTGCACGTCTCTGTTAACCCATTACTAGTTTCCTCTGTGGCTTGTCCAAACAATACTGCTTTAGCTAAGGTTAAAACACTTAAGGTGATATATCTATAAAAATTAGATAAAATCAATTAGTTTCCTGTAAAATATAAAAGTAATGCAACAATAAGGTGATCTGTGTCCATGTCATTTTTAAAGTATCCCAATCTGTAATTTCAAAAAAAAAAAATAAATAAATAAATAAAGCATGTCTGTGGCTGATTGAATGAACACTTGCATTATTTTTGATTTTGGTTTAGTCTCTTTGAAAGTTTGCTTGTAAGTTTGTATTAGTAAAACTGAACAGTGATCAGAGTTTGCAAAACATATTTCAGAAACACCATTTCTGCCCTAGTGATTTTGATAAAAATTGTAAGACAAAATCTACTTGCCATATGAGCACAAAATATAAAAAAAAAACATCACAGTTTGTAAACAAGTCATAAGTGGGTATGCTATGTCGTTAAAGTCAAAGCGTCACTGAGCCTTCTTTGCTAAACACAACATTTTTGACATATTCATAATGCTTTGGTCAAATAATAAAGCTTGATTAAAGGATGAATTGCATATTTTATTGCAAGTAATATTTTGATCATAGTTGCTGTCATAAAAAAGTTCTCGAGCTAACAAGAGAGAGCCTCTTTAATAGTACAATAACAGTGATCTAATGTGTTGTTGCCTCTAGTTGGAAAATTGATAAACTGCCAGTAGTTAGGCAATAACTTTTTCATGTTTGCCTTATGAAAATCACCAAGGAAAATGATTTTGAACTGAACTATTTATACAGACGATCACGTGAGACTAAAGGCGGTAAATATAAATAGAGTCACGTGAATGAGGAAAGGAGATATGGGGATCAAACAAGAAAAGAGCAAATAGTAACTGCTATTACAAAAGGTATACTTCCCATGTTTAAAAGTGTCCTAAAGTCATGTTTTTATCCTGCAAAACTTATATTTTTCAATGCAGATTTTTAAGTACCTTTAAAAAACAATAAAGCCCAATATTTAAAAATTTACCATGAAGGGTAATAAATCTTGTTTTTTGTTCTGAGCCTAAGAATAATGCAAGGCCAGGAAAATCACAGATAGGATACATAAATAACAGGGAATAAGGGTGCATTCCTAGAGATTTAGATAGATCCAGAGATTTAGATTTAGATCTACCTAACTCCCTGGGGGTTCACGCTTAATTGCAGTCAGCTGAGCGCACCATAGTTAATTACCCCCATACAGCTTTTAGTAGGCGGGACAGACGCTTAAGCCAGCTAAGCTGACAGTAATCTAGTGAGACTCCCCACAGGGATAGATCGATCTAAAATCTATGGGAATGGGGTCTAAAACAAAAACTGCAGGTACCAGACTAGCAGCTAAGCTTAGCTTAATCAGAGTGATCAGCCTTGAGCACTGTGATTTGCCTGTTTTAATTTATATTAGCAATATAGAGAGATACTAACTGTATATAGGTAATGTTCTAATTAAATATTTATTTGTATGTTAATTTCAGCCCATAACGACAGCAATACCATATGATGGTGGTCACATAGCAATGACCTATACTGCTCTGGCTAGTTTGATTATCCTTGGTGACAATCTCTCCAGAGTGAACAAGAGGGCAGTCTTAGCTGGTTTAAGATCCCTACAGCTGGAAGATGGGAGGTATTGTATATCAAAATTGCAATTTGTCCTTAAATTAACAATTTATTATCAGCTTTTTTTTCTTCATTTCAAGTAAAACATGCTGAGGATTTTGTTAATTGAAAATGCATCTTAAAAAAATAATTAGTTTATGGGTATGCTCGGTGGTATTCCTTTAAATTCCAAAATTTGTACAGGATAAAGGTAACATTTTCAAAACCTGACATTATCATTTATATATATTTTTTTTTGACTTTTGAAACAAGGCCAAATGCAAAAAATTTGAAGCTTTTTTATTTCAGTTTTTGTGCAACCTCAGGAGGCAGTGAAAATGACATGAGGTTTGTTTTCTGTGCCTCTTGTATAAGTTACATGATGGATGACTGGAGTGGAATGGACCAGGAAAAAGCTGTGGAATATATTAAAAAAAGTTATGTAAGTATGTATTTATTATGAACATCAGATTACTTTATTAGTTGTTCCTTAAAAAAAAAGATATTGATGACAATCTATATTTATCACTTGAGTTTTCAAATTATGATAATCTGTGATATACTTTTTCAGAGCTATGAAGGAGGTTTATCTCAAGGACCACATCTAGAAGCACATGGTTTGTAATTCATTTGTGTATACTTTGGAATGAACATTGTAATGGTTTTGTATTTTTTCAACAGTTATTCTAAAACTTTTAAATACTGATCTTTAATTTTCAAGTGTATTCATAGATGATTTTAATGTCCTTAAAACTTTCTTTTTTTTTCTTTTTCAAAAACAGGTGGATCTACTTTTTGTGCAATTGCTTCACTGGTCCTCATGAACAGGTTACATAGCACATTTACTCCGTCTCAAATAGAGAAACTTAAAAGGTGGTGTATATTTAGGCAACAGTCAGGTTTCCAAGGAAGACCAAATAAACCAGTAGACACTTGCTACTCATTCTGGGTGGGAGCCACACTCCAAGTAAGTTAACTGAGACATACAATTTTTAATATTTCATTTCTTTTGTCTGAGTTTTGTTGCTATCTGCTGTTAAATTCTAGCTGAGAATAAAAATAATTTTGCAGAAATTGAAAAGTAAGTATAATTAATGTTGATTGAAAATTCCTTTATTACAAAATAGCATCATGGGATCGAATATAAGTGATTTAGTTACATTAAAAGTAATTTTTTTTATACACATTTATACAGGGGCGGATTTAGGCCGTCTTCTGGGTCTTCCGGAAGATGGTCAGATTTTCAAGTTTACATTGATGGGTATCTAATTTTTTCTGTCGGAAGACGGTCAAAAATGAACAATGGATCAACAAAGATAATTTGGAAGACTGTCAGAAAATATCTCTGTTTATATGCCAAATAGTTCCTATTCCAAACTATTGTTTTTTTACCCCTGAAATTGAAAGTTTTTTTCTTTTTATTTCAGCTTTTAGATATTTATTCTATGGTGGATAAAGCTTGTAACAGGGGATTCATCTTAGAAACTCAGGATAATATTGTTGGAGGGTTTGCTAAGTGGCCAGATCATACTCCAGGTAAAATGAAATGGTGGTTAAAGGGATAACAACTCTTCATGTAAAATTTGAAATTCCACAAAAAATAAATTGTAAACCACACATAGAAATATATTAAATAACATTTTGCCACCAAAACGGCAGTAATCACAGTTTAATTTGTGCTTGCCATCCGACCACATGGACCTTCATAGATGGCTATACCCATGTCATACTCTCTTAATAAAGTTTTACAAAAAATACACAAAACAAAAGAAAAAAAAACAATCCAACTACATTTGAATGTCAGAATAGATTCGTTACCCATTGGAATGTATGAGAAAATTGTCATTTACCCCAGGAAAATCCATTTTGTGGCACTTTCCTGCCAAAATAAAGAGTTGTAATCCCTTAAAGGTACATACGAACCGAGCATCGGTGGAGCGTGGATTCCCATTAACACATGTAAACCACTTCTACTAGTTACTTATACGACTCAAATAAATCCGCCATGCCAAGGGATAAACTGAATAGATCACTTGATCAGCCATAAAAGAGCTTTAGACTGCTCTTTCTTTAAATTTTTGGACGGAAATTTAACCTACTTTTGTGACTTACTTTTCTGCCCCATTGACATACAGCATAGAATGCTAGCAGCAAAATCCATTCAAACATCATTTTCGGGTAAAATTAATGCCTTTTGGTAATTCTCTTAGTTATACTACTTGAAACTATATGCTGGCATTTGGTTGGTTTTTTGTGGCAAAAAATTGGCTTTGTATGCATCTTTAAATAATGATAACTTATGAAATGGGGGGGGGGAGGGGGAATTGAAATTTTGGCAGCTTGTCAACACATTAAAGAAAGGTTCATTGAATGTTTGTGTGAGACATATTATTCTGGTATGTAGTAGGAATATATTTCCTTGTTCAGACACCTGTAATTATCTTGTCATTTCTTACAGAGTTGTTATAAAAGACTTAAAAATTTAGTTGTGTACCAATATAAACCATAGAACTATTGGGAATGTAGGTCGGGTGTCTTTTTTACAATGACAAAATCCCATAAAGGTATGTCAGAAATATCACCGAGGGTTGTGCTTATAGATAAATAATTTAGCAACATACCACTTCTAAATTCCAATATGATTTATATGGTAATCTGGCTAAATTGTGGAGCCAGCTTATGATAATGATTGTAATAGCAAGGTTCTTGATAACATCTCTCTTAAAAGAGATATATTAACCTTTGATCTTTCTCATTGTTACTTCCAGATGCTTTGCATGCCTACTTTGGTGTCTGTGGACTGTCACTGATGTCTGAGCCAGGTTTGCTCCCAATGCATGCTGCGTTAAATGTCAGCACTAGGGCTGTGGAACACTTGCATCAACTCCATGAAAAGAACAAGCAAACGTGACAACATCTGTTGCATATAATAAAAAAATGTTGTCTGGGGACATTTAAGATGTATCACTGCTGATATCAAGTGCAAGCTTAGTATATACAGGCATTGGTGTGAATTGAAAAATCTGTTTCATACACAAATACTTATGTATGTCTAGGGTTTGCAGAATTTTTTTTTTTACTTGTGACCTTAGCATTAAAATTTAAGTATTTGATGTTAAAAAAAGCATGGAATTGCAATCAGAATGGTATTTTTAAAAAGATGTTCAAGTGTTGAAGTATCTTATTTTACAGAAAAAAAACCTTTTTTATTTAGTATTTGGGATTCTGAATTGCTCATAGCTAAGGTAAAGGAATAAAAAAAAAAAAAAACCTGCACTTGCACCTGTAAAATTATCAACACTTCAATCCTTTGTCAGATTGTTGACTTTCAATGAAAGTCACAGTGTGCCGTTTGGAATTAGTTCTTGATGGACCAGGTTGCTTGGTAACAGCCTGTCTGTAAAAGAAGTTTTGCAAAATATAAATTGTAACTGTATCTAATATTACACAAACTTCTGGCCTAATTGTGCAGTTTATTGATAAAGTTGACTGTAAAATGGCAGCATATGGTATTAAAATCAAGAGTTATTTTAGGGTGCAGCACTTATTAATGTACCACTGTGTCAATTGTTGTAAGATGTTATATATTAATGGATTATGCTACTTATAGATGGAGTCAATTATGTGATAACTTGTCAATTTATTATACTGGGACATTCATTCTATGTAATTAAAGGCATTTTGTTGCATTTGAAAATGTCCCTAGGTCATGTTTTTATCTATGCAAAGCTCATATTTTTTCCAATTCAATACTAAAAAAAATTTGAAGCATACTTGTCATTATTTCCTTCTTAGTACATCCTTGCAAGGTCCAAGCTATGGCATCTTACCATCTCCCGTAAAAGTGCTCCGTTTTCTTGTGTTAATAAGTGAAAATGAGGCCATTATCTATTCTGCACAGTCTGCCCGAGTATCAGGAAGGTGGACATTGTTCTAAATGTTATGGTACACATTTTGAACTAATTAAAAAGAAAAAAAAATTAAAATCCAATCCAAGTGCAGGGGCAGATTAGCGTTTTGTGAGTAGAAGAAAATTACTTTTTTCTAAAAAGAAAAATTGATTTTTCAGAAAAATTCTGGATAGGATACCTTTAATAAAATATCTATTCATAACTAATATCAAAACTGATATTTGTAATTCCAAACTAAAATTTGGTTGATTTTTGATTAGATTTATAATATATAGATTTTAATTTTTGCAGCTGTGAGGACTTAATGCATGAACTGTTATATTCATTTATATCTAAATAATTCGGAAGCAAAACCGAGTAGGGCACGTGAGCAGAATCTTACTACTTAAACCGATAAGTAAACACTTCATTTTACCCCTTGCATACATATCATTTGTATTCTTGCCAAAACACTGATATACAAGAACTGCCTAAACATAAATATATCATTAAAAAGAAACACTTGAGTTGCACTATAATATAGCACTTTTTATTCCTAAAAGAGCAAAGGCCAAACATGAGAAAGTGTACATACATAAACAGTAAACAAGAACAGACAAGATTACTTGTGATAGAAAATGCTGCTGTTATAAACAGCTCTCAAACTATCACATCCCTTTTCTTCCATATTTTAACAGTTGAAATAACGGCAGTAACAATCTTTCTGAGAGATAGATATTTAATTATCTGCCTCTTGTTGCCTTATGCATCCTCTTTCTTTTTAATCATTAACTATTTTGAACATGATTTTTTTGTTGAGTGATGCAATTTCAATATAAATAACTATAACCCTTTTTACTTTAAAGGAATATTCTAGTACACAAGACCTGCTTATGCAGTGATCAATTTGCATAAATGTTTGGTCATCAAGGTCCAGCCTGGTTCATAGTCCTTTTTTACCACAATTAATTTGCAACACCTGATTATTGCTAGTCAAAAATAGACAACCTTGATGAGTTCTATCTACTTACTACCATTACTTAAACCAAAGTGCTTAGATACATCTTAAGCTATATAGGTTTTACCTACACACTTCTGTACAGTTTGGCTGAAAATATCTCTTGAAAGTCTGTACAATGTACAAAGGCAGGATACATAAGTACAAAAGAGATGGTTGGCATTATAGTATGAATTCTGCCAACATATTGCGTACATATGATTTAAAGAATGGATACCCCTTTTTTAGACTAGCTGTAAGTCGGCATTTGAAAAGAGCTTCCAAACATAGGTATTAAGTTTCTATTTTAAATTACTGAAAATAGAAAACCTTTTATTTTTTACACAAAAACAAACTTTAAAAGTTTTCAGCTTCGTCTTTTGCTTTCACAAAAGCTTACAAGACTGGACTAACAATACAACACCATCACCAGGAAAAGAACAGCCACAATTTTTTCACACTTTAACAGGAACAAAAAAGCATACCTTTCTCTTGACTCCCATTTAAACGTTGCATGAGGATATTCTCTAACTATAACATGTCACAAATAGGTAGTACGAGATATCCCCCAATGATGATGGGAGTGGGAGGGAAAGCAAACCTTTTGGACCTTTTGTGTGGACGTCATGGTAACATCAACAATCACCTTACATAAGTATACCCATAGCTGGGAATACTTTGTATTAATTCCAGTCATACAACATTCCTGATCACCTGACAATGAAGTTATATTACAGTATATTAAAAAAAAATCCCAGGAGCATATTTTTGTTTCTTATTTAAATACCTGTACAGTGATAAAATATCATGTGCTTATATAATTTTCCACTCTTTTTTTTTTTTTTACTTAATCATATATTTGGCCTGAGCATGATTCTATATGATCTGGACAATTTACACAGCCAGCCACGTGGCTATAAAAGCAAATAAACATTTCTCATGATGCTTCCATCAAAGAGTCCTTGGGATTCTACGGATCAAAACATTCACTCCTTGTTCACACAAAATGCTTGAATAATAACTTAACATAATCAATACCCTGCAATATATTAATTTTATTACCAAAATAGAAGACATGAAAGTGCTTACAACTAAAATGAATAATAATTATTAATAATCTAAAATTGAAGGATAATGGATCACACGGGAATGTCAAATGAAAATAGCGACATGGAGATTTGAGCCCTCCTGCCTCCCTCCACTGGTCCTGACCCTTACCATCCCAAATGGCCACAGAATGCCCCCAGTTCTGAAGAATAAGCAACAAGGATCACAGTACCACAGAGAGGGAGACATTAGGACCCATATAATTCACTCCCCTGGGATACTGGTACATAGATCAATGCATGGTAGAAAAGTTGCATGCTTGCATGATAAAGAAACCCAGTTCAATAGATTTCTGCTTTGTATTTACAACTCCTTTTTTGCTCACCTAACAAGCAAACCTGGAGGAATGGATAGCCATGGTCTTCTTGGCTTATAAAGCTGATCAGTAGAGAATGCAGGCAGTCAGCCATCTGGTTAACTGGAAAGTGTTGAGAAGTTAGTTCAGGATGGGTGGACTGGATGATCGTTGTTTATACCTGCTGAACAAACAGCCAGGGCTAAGAACTGAGACATCTCTATAGAGGACCACCTGGGACTGTCTTCACCTCTCACAATCTGCTGACAGTGCTTTATACAAATGGTGTGAAGAGAGCTTATTCCACTTCTTATCTTTACTGAAATTTCTTAGCTTAGGATGACCAACCATCGTTCATACGTGAACGTTTCACGTTTGGCCCATCATAGTCCCCGCCACCTGTGCTTCCCCCTGGCGAGGAAGCATTACTATGAGCACCCATATGATTTGGTGACATGTGGCCTTGCATGTGTCCTGCCGAAGGAGGGCGTAAATGTTGGCCTGATGGTGTGTGACTCTCTCGATGTGATGGAGAGATGGGCTCACTTTTAATATTCATCTTGTTGCCAGTGTTCACTGAAAGGGTTGCCATGTGGTGGATACTTGTCGGAGTCGAACTAAAATAACAAATCAAACCTTATTTATTGACAATTACATATCACTAACTAGGCTCCCATCTACATACAGAAATAAAGGCACAAAAGAAAAACGTTGAACTTTAACAGTATGATTATGAAAATTTTATGAAACACTATGCTGGCCAACAGAATGATTTATTAGAGGATTCTGATTTTTAAAGGTCATCATGTACAGCTATTCAAACACCACCATAAAAGAGATACAATCAAGTTTTTAAGGCTCACTTCTCTCTAATAAATCTTATTTAAATCACACTAAAATCATAATTTATGCTTATTATAATGCCATAATGGTTTAAATGCCCAGACCTAAAACATCCTAAACTTATTATCTATAATAAGTATCATATCATAATCCATATCTACAAGTGAGTGAATTAGGCAAAGAAACATATTTAGCTATTTTTAACTTACAGTGGTGGTTGGTTCAGTCCGGCTGCCTGCACTGCTGCTGACAAAGGTCCTTGTGTTCCCCAGGCTGAAGGGAGTAGACCCCCAGGGGTATTAAAACCTTGCATGGCAGACAGGTCGGCAGAGTTTAGGTGAAAATCTGCTGCAAGAAAATTGTAATGAAACTCAAATGTGACAATTTTGGGAAATAAATATAATAAATTCCTTCTAAGATAACAAATTTTAACTAAAATTCAACTAAACTTCACAAATTGGTAAAAATTGACTCAAGAGAAGTTAACTATTAAGTTAGTTTATTTGAAGCTATCAATCTGTTAAATTTTAAGGATAAGTACACTGAAGTTAAGATTAATAAAATCAAAGAAGAAAATTAAGATAACTAAATTCAAATGTTAGCATCCTACAGCAAAGCAGAAAGAGCAAAGAGCAGACAGTGATCCAGTTCCCTCATAATATTCAAAGAAAATGCAGAAATCATGAGAATTTTAGTAAATTAATGACAGATACAGAAGAAGAAATCACAACTATTCCAAACCTACATAGTTTACAAATCAAAAATAAACACATCAATCTAAGACTATTCTCCTCTACAGCAAAAGTAAACCAAAGTAACCAAAAATATCCCTGTCTGCTCCGTCACCTGCCATTTGTTACAGACTGACTTACTATGTGCAAAAGATGTCGGCAGGCCGGAGGGATATGGACCAGTACCTGGTAAACTAGGAGTAGCCAAGGAAACGACAGGGGTTGCTAGGGTGTTGTTGGCTGTCCTTGGTTGTAATGGCTGGAAGAGAACCCATACTCAATTAAGAACACAAAATAAGATGCAGATAATTTTTGTGAGGTATTAAATGGTAAAATAGCATAGCATATTGAAATACTGTTATTTGTTAAGATAGCATTAAGTAGGAAAGTACTTGTGGCTTAAATATGAAGAATGAAAATAAGAAGATTAAGTCAAGAAAGAATTTTTTAATATTTTGAAGTATAAGAAGACAATCTTGTGGATGGGACATAATGTATGTCCCTTATATTTTAACTTTAAATATAATAAAACATTTGAAATCTCTGCCCGAGAAAACCCTTTCTTTGCGAGTGCTCAAGGATGCAAGCACACATCATAATTGGTGTGGAGTAATATAAGCAATTACACTCTGGGAACACAAAAACTATTGGTACAATGTTTATATTAATTTCAAATAAAATGTGGAAAACAGCAACATGCAACTTTGAAAGTTGTTGGTTTGGAATTGGGGCGGAAATGCAAAACAAAAATATTACAAGCACCAAGTTATGAGACATTTCTATTGTCAGAGAATACATCTACAACTAATAACTGTAAGGTGTACAAGCCACTAAACAAATCTATAGGTGTGACACCTTTAAATGCCAGATTTTTTAATGACAAAAAATACCAATGACTGTACATAAATAGGGTACATACAATACATTCACTGAATGAATAGGGATTATACATAAATATACAAGCTGGGGGCTACACTGCAGCTATCTACAATGCAAAGTGGACAACAAAAAGCAGTGCAATGGTAAAATATACACATCATTGAGCACCCCAAAGATGAGCTCTCAGGGAGTTTATATTTCTTCCTATGACCGCACCTCCTCTGTTTGTTCAGAGTTGCTTACCACCTCCCCTCGTGTGCTGGGAATCACCACTCGTAGATTGGGTCTGCCCTGGGTGGAAGGGGGCGACCCTCTAGACATGTTTCCCCCAGGGGATGTACTGCCTACGGCGGCAGGGTTGGGAGATGTACTCTGGGAGGGGTAATTGTTCTGGCTCAGGTCAAGCATACCACCTGTGAACAGTGTAAGTAAGGATAGAACAGTGACAGCAAGTAACGCCCGTATACATTTCCCATTGCTTACAGTTCATTTAAGTTTACTGTATACAAATTAGCAACAAGGGATAGATGTAGTTATTTTGTACCTATCTATCAGCCATCTTTATTGTGTTCAATAGTAAAATCCGTTACAATAAATTTGGTCTAACACATGAATTAGAAATTTGATCTAACACATGAATTAGAAACAACAATAATATTATAACCTGAAAAGGCTATAGCTGATAAGAAAAAGATGGGAAAAAATATATAATTACATTCACTGTTCACTACTGCCTGTACTAACCTGTGGAACTTGGCCTGGGGCTGCTGCTCTGTGGTATGGCTTGTGGGGGCATCAGAGTATTACTGATCATTCCTGCTGATTGCTGATGGTTGGGAAATCCAGAATTATGAGTAGCTGGTATTGGTACGGACACTGGCATGCTCTGGTAGCCCCCCACTCCCTTGAATGATAGATATGATGGATTTGAAACATATGACATTTTATAATATTACACAAATGGTGTATTTAATATAAGTGTGAATTTACACCAGTGGTATTCCATCTATTTCTGGATTTTGAAGATGAAAAAAATTACCACTTCTCTTTTGCATTTTTTAAAACAAGAAAAAAAAACAGACAACAGACTCAATTTATACCTAAAACAAAATTCATTAAAGAATAGACCCAATGAAACAATACAAGCATATATAAAAGAAAGGTCACAAAGAAAAATCCAAGAACAAGAAAATAACAATTGATCTTTTGATAATGAGCTAGGCTGATATAACAGGAAACTGATTAAATGGAAATAATAGGGTTAGTTTGGTTTGAGCAGCTTCATCCTTTCAATAAAGTGAAATAATTCATCATAAAAAAGCATATTTAAAGTGACATAAAGAATGCGTGGGTGGCTTCATTACAATGACAATCCATCAAAGTAATAGAATATTCACTTCTTGAAGGCATGCCTGTCGATCTCTACTAAATGTCAGTTGAATAAGATACCCAAAGACAATTTAGAAGGAAGTAGGTTTAATAGACCATGTACTTTGGTGGAACAAATGCCTTTAACAACAAAGCACTGAAAGATATCAATCACTGCATAGGCAGAAGATTCTGACTGAAATCCATAGTTTCAGCTGTTGCCCTTACTATCTATCAAGCACATGCAAACACAATCTTCATCTGTATATCCACCATACGACATCGCATGTAGAAATTCTCATAAATAACCTACAGCAGAACCGCTAGATTAATAACCTGTTTCACATAGCAGAGAAAGAGAAAAAAAAGGAAATGTTTCCAACCACACAGCAAGTGGTTCTTTCACATCACAAAGTCTCCTGTTCCACACACCCACTGCACAATGGCATCTGGGCGGAATCCAGATCCTCAGCAGGTGACATGTTATATAGCATACCGACAGCCAATATGGTCCATGTAGACCAGCTTACTCCACTCTACTGATTCCACCATTACACCACTGTCACATGGTGAAATTAAAATCATGTTCAACTGTCATTAACCAAATATTTGACCACACTAGACTTCAATTTTTAAAGGACTTTGATAGTCATCAATTTCCCTACAAACAAGTCACCTGATTTTTCCACATATATCAGATAAATTATTTTACTTAGACATGGTGCACTGTGCTGATCTGTTTAAGGCAAAGTCTGGCAAACAACTGAAACATATAACACAGCAGGTGATAAGTAATGACCTACCCCTCTCATGGTGCCTGTCTGCTTCATCATCATGTCCTGAAACTCCTGGTTGATCCTCTGGTAGCGTTCTTCTGTTCTGGGAGTCAGTGTGTACGACTCTGCATCTGGCTCTGGACTTTCACATCCTTTGTGTTCTTTTTTGTTTAATGCCTAAAATTCACAAGAAAGAATAAACTGAAATTAGTCTCTCTGCTACTACTCCACTAAAGAAAACAAACATGTTTTATACGTTTCCTCTAAAACTATGCTACAATATATATATGTGTGTGTGTGGATATGATGAACAAATTTGTTATAATAACCAATTTTTTTCTATGAAAGAGATTTTTCATGGTCTCTAGATAGGATAAAATAGAATTATTTCTTACTTAAAGACTTAATGTGTTGGAGCATTGGATAATGAAAAAAATCATATTACCTAGGTCCATAGGTGGTGGAATGAAACGTCATGTTTGACTGATTCTGTACCATCAAGAATAATTCTATTTTATCAACCTATTTCTTGTTGGTGTTATTTATTTTTGTAAATTTCATCCAGTCAAACATGTATTACAATGATTTCCATATGCATTTTCCATGTAAATCTGATCAGAGTACAAGTTTTAATTATCTGCCACTAGGAAATTGACTTTCCAAATGTAGAGGCATCAGAGGTGAATTAACTGTTTAAAGAAAGGTAAGGAGGTCTTGTTCATTGAGTATTACATTTCCTATTTTTTAGGGTTGCAAAGTTTTATTTATAAAATTTTGCACATTGACTACATTGTTACAGAACGATTCATTACATTTACATACATACAATAGGTTTTTATTTCAATATTCTGAATGGTAAATGTATCATACTGATGGAGCCAGATATCACCGCCCACAAACGCACACAGACAGATAAAAATATCTACACTGTCACAATGGTCTAAATATAGCCACAATTAGATATTTCACTATCACAATATCTCATTTCGGCTGGCAATGACTTCTTGCTTTCACTATGGTGCCAGCAGTTTATCACCTATAAAATGACAGCATGTGACAATAACTCAACTGAAACATATGCAGTCGCAATTGCAATACACCCCCTCCTCCTACCAGCCTTGCTGATAGCTTGAATCAGTATGTTTGTGCCATTTTCTTATTTCCTAGAGAACAGCTTTATTAATGAAAACATGAGTTCACATAAGTGAATATTTGATCTATCATTCTACTTCAAAAATCTATAAGTGAAAAAATCAGTAATGTAAAAATAACATAAAATAAAACAATAATTTTAAAGTTAAGTTCCTTGTGCCTCTAAAATTTCCTATTTCGTGTTCCAAATTCACTTTTAAGCTTATCCACTTCAGCATTTTATTTCAGCACTAACTTTGCATTCTACAGCTGTTGTCAGCTTTTTTTAGCCATAAATTTGCCTAGTCCCATCCCCCACAGTGAACTAGTGATATCCCTGCAGATACAAATCAGCCTGAGAACTTGTAACTTGCAGAGAACCAATTTGTTTGAACAATGCCGTTTCAATTTCTTTTAAAAAGGAAGTAGCTCATTGGAGTTTGTGCGTCTCTTAAAGACAGCCACATGTGAAATTGTCTACTGCTCTGTCGATCTGGCTTAACTAAATATAGCATACATGTGCTCTATCTATGGAACTCAAGAAATAGTACTGCCTGTTGCTAAGTTTAAAACATAATGTTTTTAATGGGTTGAACCTGAATAACCTGATGTAAGCCTATAACAAACGCATTAGATTTCGTTAATTTTTTACTGCCGTTAGGCTAGGTTAAAATGCCAGAACTTTTTGGTTGCCTGCTGGTAAAAGGCTTCACATCTGCTGACCTAAGAGGCATTTTGCATAAAAAACGCCTAACATGACAGGAAGTAGAATACACACCAGAAATATACCTTACGACGTGAAAAAAGTTTGGTCATTGAACTGGGAATATTAAAAAAAATTATTCTAGAGACTGCTATAGTTCCCATTTTACATATCAAAATTTTTTGTACTTTGAAATTGATTCATGTAATTAATTAAAAACATGTATAGAGAAAGCACATGTAAGTATTCAGGCTACTTCAGTACAAAAAGGCAAGAAAATTTCAATAACCCTAGGATGGAAGTCATGCTTTTTTTATGATTTCCTTTCCCACTTGGAGAACCTGCTGTTAAGGGGTTCTTGTATTCTAGATTTTTTCTTTCCTTTGATTGCATTTTCACCTTGATTTTGCATGGTAAGAGGAATCCTGACAGAGCTCATCTGGCTTTTCTGTTTGGGCGATCATCAAATATTGATTATTCATTGGCAAACACAATTTGCCCTTACTGATGAGAGGCATAATAATGTGTGTGTGCGTCACAGCTGACGTCAATGCAATCATGCTCTGGAGGATTAAATTTCCATTACAGTTTCCCAGTTGTAATGGCAGGGAGATAGGGATGGATCTACTTCCTGGCTGAACTGGTAGTGCCTGGGTACCAGTCAATAGCCCACCTATTTTCTTTTTTTTTTTTGCCAGATTAGAAAAATGCATGATGACATCTTTCAGTCACTCTCTTTTCCCTTAACACACGAACAGTCAAAGAATTGTGTATTGCTTTTTTTTTCATCCCAAATAGTTACATCAATCTTAACCATCCACTAAAAAAAAACTTTCACATTTCCTTTTTTCTCATTTTCTTTCTTTTGTTTATTTAAGATTACATATGTACACATTTTTATCTTACACACACACATTTATCATATTATACATAACATCTGAGCTTGAGAAAAAAAATCTTACAATTTTCCATTTGCTATATTTATGCAAACTCAATTAACATATTTTATGACCAATTGTCATTTTTTGAATATGATTAGTTATAATATCACATCAGCTGTCATTTTCCCCTTCTGCTACAACGGTCTAACTTTCCCTCATTTTCGTCCTGCTACACTGGTTGAATGAATATCTATGATTCATTTATAAATGCACACACATGAAGACATCTATGTGTACTCAACCAGATTTTGTTCTTTCAATCCTCTTTTTCTCTTGGTGGTATACGCACATCTGGTCAACAGAGTCAGCAGCAGCAAAAATTCTGTTTCTTGGTAACCTGAGTAGTCATTCATACTTTCACCTCACAACTCAAAACTCACATATCTTGAAATTACATGCTATATTGATTACCAAGGCTGAGCGGTGCTATTCTGAGTTTCCTTGATGGTTATATATAGCAAACTGGATAAGAGGAGAGCTATTTTTGGCTACTATAATCGATAAACTTGTCCCCACTTAAATAAATGCCACATTGTACAGTCTGTTAAAATAGCACAGACGTATTTAGTAACCAAGGGTTTTTCCGGTCTAGTTTTTATTAGCCTTGTTAAACATGTTCTTTAGAAGCAGTCATGTAATAGTTTAATTTCAATGAGATTCAAGGACCTTATACCGGAAGGCTCTTACGTCAATTATTTACATTATTCACAAGTAAATCTATCAAGTCAAGTGGCTGAGAGATTACCAGCTTGGATATTAACTTAATATAACTGCATTTGTTCTTCTCCACCATTTCACTGCCCTTTTCTTAACATTCTATTACAACAAAGAGAATACTTAGAGGGGGAAAAAAAGCAAAGTCAAAGCACCACTTCCACTCCTGCATGCCGTCTGGAAAGTTTTAACAGCTGTTAAACAAAATGACCAAAAGATCACAACTGCTGAAAGTTAATTAATAATTTACACAAGAAAAGATATCTCCACCAGTCTCTCCAATGTAATTCAATCCTAAGTGCTACCTATCCAGTTACTGCTATGTCTTTAATAAACTGATGTTCTTAATACAATACAACTACCCTGCATTCTTACAAGCAAACACCTATGACCCTTGTGATTATTTGCAATACCTTATTTCTTTTAAGGGTATTTTGGCAAAACTGAACTTTTCTTAAAATAACTAACCTTCAATTTATTTGAAAAGTTGGGAAAAAGTATCTATTGACTTAAAGTAAAAGTTCTTAAAGGGTGCAATATTTTTTTCAAGTGACCTTTTAAATGTACCCACATGGAATCAAGTTGTAGAGAAACACAAAACAAATGAAAAAACTTTCTTCTCGGAAGATTCAGTGCGCTTAACTCTGAAGATAATTATCAACTCACGATTTAAAAGTGCCATTTGACCCCAGAAATCTGTTGCCGCCTAGTAGAAAACTTATGTTAGCAGTCACTTATCTCGACTACAATATCAGAAAAACTTGGCAATCAATTCTAAAACAAAGCAATGTATTGAAAAACACTTAACCAATTTTCACTCAGAGTAAAAGATTCTGTAGAAACCAATACTTAAAGATAGCTAGTGCAAATACTGGTCAAGAAAAAGATCAATTGCTATAACAAACAGTAAAAAAACTTCCTAGGGCAAACAGCCATATCAAGTTTAAATTATTTTTATCTTCGGCCACACCTTACCCGAAGTATTCAACTATCAAAATCAATCTACTGCCTCATTTTGACTTATTTCCAAAAGATGACTAGCTAAAACATTTAGACAAGATTAAAATGTCATGAAGTCCCTATAGTGAAAAAATATACTGAATTACTTATTTCTGATGTATATACTTTGTTTATTTTCAATACACAGAGCTATGAGGATAGTCAGTACATATTCCCAGCCACATTCAGTGTGTTAAGTACACCAAATCACTCTTGTTTTAAAAGGTAAAATACCTCCCGATGAAGTTGTTCTGAAATGACCCAGTAAAAAAAACTTAGCATTGACTATCCAGCTTTCTCTTGTGTTATTTCAAAGTGAAAATCTATAGGTTTCACCATTCAAATCAATGAAGGTCTTTTTGAAAGGATGGTCAATGTGGCTGCCAAAATACACAGATATCAAAACTTCCTTGAAACAAGATCTGAATGTGCACCAAATTCTCAATGGGAAACCTGGCCCAAGGGAAACATAGCAATCTCCCAGAAAAGACTGGCACATCTAATAGATTTGTGTGTGACAAATACTTCCTGCAAATAAAGCCAGGCTGTATATCTAATGGGAAGATCCACCTTGAAAGTACTCGCTAAGATCATTGGGATAATCCTCAACTTAAAATATATTACAGGTAACTACCAAGGGATTCACACTGAGAAAACCTTTTATTACAGAGGAAGTGAGGACATGGTTTGTATGAGAAGCAAAGCAGCACCAAGCAAAGTTCACATCTAAGGACACTAAAAGAGCTTTACATCTGATAGTAGAAATGTAATGCACCTTTTATATTTGGAGCCTGGGGCATTAACACGTTAAACAAGAAAAATATTTAATTGTTTCAGCTGTTTCCAACATTTAACACCAGTAATTACAAGTTTTAAGCTATCAGTTTTGACATGAAGATGCTCCATGGCGTAAAGTGTGACAAGGTACCTGAGGATAAATGACAGTGAGCAAGCTATAAAATGTACCTCAATTATGTCCTTGTTTGTCCGACTTTCATGGGGCTCATTGTACTCTGTGTACTTAAGAAGCACCTTGTCCATATCTGTGCTGGCATACTGGAATAGCTTGTTGGCACTGTTGAAGATGATCAGGGCAATCTCGCAGTCGCACAAAACACTCAACTCATAAGCTTTCTTCATCAGGCCAAATTTCCTCTTGGTAAATGTCACCTGAAATTAAAACAAAAAGACCAAAAGTGGTCACAATCATTTTTCTTTTTCTCGCGCCTAGGTTAACCACGGTTACTTGTATATCAGAGTCAATCATTTTCCAAGTGTCTTTGATAATTAGGTTGAAAAAAAAAATTAGTTTCCTTTACAGTGTCTGTATGAAATGATCACACTAATGACATATCATACTGCATTTAAAGAAGTTATTTATTCATGAGTTCTTCTTTTTATGCAATAGCAATTAAATGCAGACTTAAATCATACTCATTGTGTTATATAATAAAGTGAATGTCAGTAATATTTCATGAGTAAAACAGCTGTGCAATTTAATAAATAATTCTCATCACTTTTTCTAAATTATATTTTTTAACCAAGATAAAAAACAAGTAAGATTTCTTTTGTGAAAAAAATGTCTTTTCTTATTCAGAAAAAAAAAGAAAAAAAACCCACAACACTTTCTCTTACAACTAAAGATTTTGTTTTCAACATGAAAACAGCACAGAGCTGGAGAGCCCTGCTGAGGAGGTAAACATGTCTTAACTTTCTTCAAATATCCTTTGGCGATTTTAAGGAAGTCAACCAACTGAGAATGTATTTAGTACAAGTTAGAACCCTTCCTTAGCACCTATCCTACAGCTAGTATCAATGACTGCCCTATATCTGCTATCTAAAATCAATAACAAGTGATGAATGGCTAGGTTTGTCATCTGGTCCAATGCTCCAGGAGCCCAAGCGAGGCCATATATTGACCAGAAGCCATTCTTATCATACATTATCTGGGCTTTCAATAAAATACCAACTTTGAAGCCAAATGAAAATAAATATTTGAGCATATAAAAAATCATTCAAAACAAGGGGGAAAAGAGCTTGCTGTCTATTCTGGACTTGCAATGCCTTTACCAGATATATCAGAACATAGAGTATGGACTTAGAAATAGAAAGAAAGATAAGTGGGAGGCGAATACATTTCTTAAACCACCTGGGATACAAATCTATTATTTTCATACTGCTGAGACAGGATTGCTGGAGTTGGGAAGCCATGAAAACATACTTGGTAAATTTTCTAGGTGAAGATGACTTAACAAATGCAATTATATGCTCAAAAATATTCAGTTACATTCAACACAAATCCTGTGGATTTTGCCCAGTCTGAAATATCTGACAAATTATTTTTGAATTCAAATTAACATTATCACAACATAACGTAAAAAATTATTTGTGTAAGACTTCAGTTAAGTTTAAGAGTCTTTTCAAAAAGCAGTAAAAATGACACTGCTCCAAGCATGAAACACATTTTAAGTAGCAAAAAAGGCAGTGCTTCCGGCTAGATGTAATAGGACTTGTAAATGGCTTAGTTTTTACAGCTTTATACTGCATTAGCAGCTAAATATAGTTACATGTGACGTAGGACTATAAAATTCTAGTCTTCTTTTTATTTTAATCACCTTTAATGATTCCAGCATAAAATCAAAACTGTTTTGATTTGTTTAAGTATTAAGATCCCCCAGTTTAATAACATATTAAAGTTGACAACCTTTGTCAAAAACCAAATTGACCCCCAGATTCTATGGCAGTTCCAACGAAACGTTTTACCAGTTTTGATAGTTATTAGGTTTTTGTTAAGATAAGCATTTTTTCAGCTCAATTACTTTTTAAAATAAATTTCTCATCATATTTAATTTTCTATCAATTTTATTCTATCCAATAATTTTACAGAAACATCACAATAAATTATTTACCTGTCGATTACGTTCATCTCCAATACGAGAAATCTGTATCTTTTTTCTTCCCATTCTTTCTGTACGTTATGTGTTGCTGCTGTTGTCAAAGTCTTCACAAGTTTCAAAAGAGCTGCTTTCTCAGGGCTGTTTTCCACTGCCTCCCACTTTTGTATGATTACCAGACCAGCCTCTTCTGTTCAAACACTTCTGGCCTGTAGTGTACTGAAACAGCAGAAGAGAACAATTAGAAGTCAGTTGGATAGAAACATTGAGGCAATTGGCATGATCTCTTCGTTTGCGCTGTGACAATACCTCCACCTAATGCAACTTGTCATTTACAAAATGGGCCATGGATGTGAAATGTGCTCTCAAGCTAGTGGCTGTGGTCCAAAAATTCATCATCTCAGTTCAAATTTACTGTACTAGTCTCAAGCAGCAGCTTCTTAGCTTAGCTTAACATGTCTGACTACAAGAGTGTTTCTCTCAATTAGTTGCTTAAATTGCTTCAACAAACTGGTCAGTTTTCACAAATATCTAGTAGCACATCCATAGTGCTTATTTCAGTGTTATGTTATGTTATGGTTATTCAGACAAAGGACAAGCGACTTTGTCATACTCTGAACTAAATCATTGATATCTAAAATCTGGATTATCGTTAGGAAAAAAAATTCTATTCCTGAAAAAAAAAATCAATAAAAACTTTGAAATTTGAATTTCCATTTTAAAAAAAACCCTCTCATTTATGCCACTAAAAAAACATAACTAGGACAAATTTACACAAATGAGCATATACAGCCGTACATATAAAAAGCTCATTAAAATAGAAAAAAAAAAAAAAAAGATATAGTAAAATAATCTGCCTTCAATCAAGGAGCCTATTTCTACCAACCAAGCAGTCTGCTAGCTTCACCAGGAATGGCTCATCTAGATACCCACAGCAATTAATGAATTTTATAATGCCACCAAAAACCAAGAGAGCTGGTCATTTAACATGTATGAGCTTCCAGCAATTGCCAATACAAGAATACATTACACACGTAATAGACCATGTATTTTTCAAAAAGTCAAAAGATGTGGGACAGACTTCTAAATTCAACTCCTTCCGGTTATACAACCCACTCTAATCTAGAATGTCAGGTACTTAAAAAGTCACAGGAAAGCTGTGAATATACAAACTCATTGAAAAGCACATTATACAAGTGGAGTCTTTGTGAACCTGAAAAGCAAAAAGAGAAATCACAGGCAATGGGTAGGTGTGTGATGAAGCTACTTGAGAAGGACAAAAGTGGGGGTGGTAGCAAAGAGAGGGGGTTCTGGAGTTGGGTTGCTATAACATGCACACATTTTACCTAGATGAAAGCAAGTCCTGCATGGAATTTCTCAAAAATATCTATAAACTTCCAAAAGATTTTCTAGGAAGCTGGAGCATGTTGAGTGGGATTTCCTGACCAAGGATAAATATGGCAATAGCCTCTCATCTCAGGTGATGTCAGAGGTCAGCAGCCAATAGGAAGCCAGTAATTATGCAACAAGACATAATAGGGATACCTGATACCTTGCCATGGAAAGATTTCCACTTACCATAAATTAATTACTTGTTTAATGAAAAACAACAAATTAACCTGCTGAACCTTTATCTTTTAAACACAAATACAAACACCCTTGTAATTCAAAAGATAAAAACACTCATATTTTCTTCATTTGCAGGTATTTTCCCTGAATCATTTATAGCCCTTAGTGCATTATCCTCAACTAGGAAGACAGTGCTGATGTAGAAATTGAGCATTTCTGTCTTTCAAAAATAGGCTTTCCAATTCCATACCAACCTACTTCCTAATTTTACTGTTCAACACTAAAAATAAATTTCCTGATGCCATTTTTAGCTAAATATATAACTGACACCGTCTGGGCTGGATTCAGTAGTTTTACAGGTTTTCTTGTAGCAGAATAGACCAGATAGTATTGTACAGGCACTCAAGCATTGGACACAGATACCCGAAAGCTCAAAAGTGAAAGGATATTATGTTTACCATGTGGAAACTAAAACAGATTTTAGGTAAGAAAGCAAAGATCAAGTATCTGCAAAGTAAAATAAATCACATTAGAACATCATACTTATTGGCAACTGGAAGGTTAATGGACAATTTGCATTTCCTCGGGGTTTGAACTACATCTGCATAGAAACCTACAAGTGAAATTTAATCTGGCTCTTCACTGCTGACGCAAGCAAAGGCCTCTGCAATGCAGCACATGAGCCTCGCTGAGCAGCTGTTAAATGCCTATCAAATCAGGGCAAAGCAGAAGAGCACTGCTCCTATACTATATCAAGGACAACATCCCCCATGGCCTGGTTACTTGCCCACTAAGTAGAATACAGCATGGGCAGCCAGTATGACCCATAAAACCTCTACCCATGGTTTGTGAGGGGCCTGATGCTGATAACCTAGCTCCAGGATATGTAACTCTATCAATTACAAGCATCATGTACAGATAAGCCTGGCCACCCTTATCAAGGAAGGATATTTCTGTGGCAAAACTCTTCACAAAAAAAGTTTTATAAAACAAACAGCAGCTGCCAAGGGCACAGAATACACAACTGCCTACCTTTAAATAATAATCTTCCTTACCTACAGGGAGTTATTTTCTGAGGAAATAGACATACTGTCTTAACAGTTGCATTTAATTCTGAGATGGACATGTCAGTCTGCACTAAATAAACTGCGCCTGGTTTTCATACTGGTAAGAAATAAAGAACATTAGACTTGATGAAGACCCTTTAATGACCATCACATGAAGGTGTTTAGACAGGTATATAGAGTAACATTGCCAAAACTAACAAGTATTTAACACCTGTTATAACAATACGGTCAACATTGCTATTCTACATTTTAAAGTCAGACTCTAATTTTCTAGTAGCCATGGAGTGATTTTTTTTCATGCAAAATGTGAATCATCTGACATTAAAATATATCTACTTCTCATTATTACTGATCTGATCTAATCTAAAATGTGATATCAAGTTATAATCTTGAAAAAATATATTATTAGTTACATTATAATTTTTTCATGAAAAAATAGAAAGGACAAGAAAGATAAATCTTAAGGTAATACTAATTTAATCTTTAAAATGATAAATACAAATATCAACCACATACTTCTGCACAACAACAGAAATGCACTAAAATACATGCACTGTTTAACAAAGAGGTATTAAGAGAGATATTTGACCTGAATTCAATAGAAATCCCCCTGAACTAGCTGTCAGGTCAAACCTCTCTACAATAGAAATGCAGATGTGAAAATAAACAAGGAAAAGAGAGCACATGCAAGTGATCAAGACCATGGAAGATGTTCCACACTGCAAAAAAATAGAACAACAGAAAACATCTGGAAAAGATAACAATAAATAGCAAGGAGACATTATCACCATCCCAATTTATTACCAAGACAATAATAAATCCAGGAAGCTACAAGGGTTGGAATCATGTGTGCAAGTTTAGAGAGGGCAGCAGGCTCCTAGGATTGAAAATAACTTTCCAAATGGGTATTTCTGTTCAGATCCTTGATTAGAGGGGGCAGTGAGGTACACAAGGATAGGAGGAAGGGACAAGGATGAATGAAGGCAGGGTTAACTACTGATATATCCCTCCTACCTATATAGTTAAAACAGATCTCCTCACTGGTGGCTTAGTTTAGCCAAAATGTTCAACCACTTATTGGCAAAAAGCAAACCTCAGACAGGTCTAACTTGGGCGCTTGTGCTAGAAACCAAACTGCCTCTCTGCTTTTCTAGTAGCAACATGAACTCTGTGCAGGGTTCCTTGCAGAGTTGGCCAGGTGCGCTGGCACCAAGAAAAATGCTGCTGGAATTGCTCTCCAGGCAGGTGGTGCATCTAGCCAGCACACCTAGGTCTACTCACAGGAAGTTCCACTATCAAATATCCAGCCTGCCTTCCATGGCATAGCTGGCTCAGGTAGTTAACCAAATTTTGTTGTTGCTACACCTGTAAGTACACTACTCAGGTTTCAGGCTACGTTGGCACTGTTGAAATTAACAGCAGTAATTATTATGAAGTAAAGGAGCAAAAAGATTGAGAGAAAGTTACTTAGGTTGCAAATTATATCTTTATGACATGTAAAAAAATCTTGCTGGCTAAGAAAAGAAAGCAATTTATTTAGGGCAACACATGGTGACAGAAAATATAAGCATATTAAAAAAACTTGAAAAGACTGATTCTTATATTCCATAATTATAACATGCATAACTTTGCCCAATAATTTCAAGGTATTGAAAATTACATGTAAAACTGTATCATATATATTTGAACAGCCAGGATTATTATTACAAAAAGGAAGTGTTAGCTTGCATTCTATGGGAACTAATTAGGGATGCATCAAATGGACAAGTGTCCTCATGAAAGGTGAAATTGAGGTCAAGAACATAAAGTAAGCATTATTACTGGTTTAACTTCCATAGACCCCCCCCCCCCAATAAAAAAATGACTTCTGCAGTTTTAAATATATTCAGCATTTTTGTTGGGTTTTCTCAGGTTGACTGAAGTCTGTACCTTTCCATCTTTTATATGAACAAAATGTACTGTAAAACTAGAAAACCTGACACTACACAGTTCAAGATAAGCTGTCTGATAACATGCACATGAAAATGTTCCTGATATCTGTGAGACTTGTCTCATGTTGAACAGAATTTCGTGTGGCCCTCTATGTGCATTGCTTTAACAGAATCTTGGAAAATATCTAAATATTATTTTTAATCAACCTTCCCTACTTTATTTCTGTTTCTGTAGTGTCTAACCTAGAACAACAAATTCTAATGCAAAATTACTATATACAGAAATGATGGAAAGTCCAGATTTAAGCGTATAATATAAATTAATTTCATAAGACTGGTTTGGGGGGGGGAGGATCCTTTGAAAACAAGAGGAGGTATTTTAAGATGTGAGACTGACTTCTACCTTCATACAAACATGCACAAACACAACAGTACAGTATCAAAAGACAAGTTGGAATCAAAGATCTCATTAATAAAGGGCAAAAATTCCGTGTTCCTGCAAGTATTAGAACACAATCACAAGAGAACAGAAATAATGGTATCTCCCAGAAAAAAATTTTTTTCTGATTTTAGTTTTTAATCTTAACAAACGTATTATTGTTATGCAGTAAGAGTACTTCACAAAAATTTTTAAATTTTTTTAAAAAAAGGG